TATATTCCACTTGGAGATATGTAAAAAGGTTCTGGAACAATAAGTGTGCTAGATACAATCAATCTCACTTCTCAGTATTGTTGTGAAAAGAGAAGAACAGTGTCGTAACAAAGTTCCTCGCAACTCCCTAGCGACAATGTAGCCCTTTAACAGAGTTGAGTTTGATCAATCTTGACTCTGCAAGGTAAATTTTAAACTTTTTGTGACCCTATTTTGATAACAAATCAAGAACGGTTTTGCTACAACCAGCTTTTGACTCGTTTTCGATCTGAGAACCTTTCTTTGTTGGTCACTCAAAATTTAGGAAAACTGTTTAAAGGTGTAAAATGGTCATTTTCTAATTTCAATGACGTTAACTCTGTTTGGCTTGCAATGTGAGAACTAGAACCTTTCCTTCTATGCAAATTACGCTCAAGGAGCAATCTTTTTTCGATTACGAGTTATAAAGAAGAATAAATCGTATATTGGACTGTAGAATTGGAAAGTATACAGAGGACAGGACGATAATAAAAAACTGACCAAAGGTTGGGAATACTTTTGTCTATACACAAATTCGTACATAAACTACTTACGATAAGGAGGATCGAACCTCAAAAGTTACAAGGGTCTCGCTTTGTTCTCTACACAAACAACTTGTAGAGAGTTTTGACTGGTATAACAACAGTAAAAGTGGTGATGCTTTTGCTTCTCCTTGCACATATATTTCAAGATTCATCTTTCCTTTTTACTTTGCCGAGAGGAGATGAAAGATTCTTATTTTTCCATTACTTCTCAATTTATATTCTTTTCTTTTCACTAGGAGACGAAATTGATCCAATATATTTAAAAGAACAAGACCATTACCAGTTTGGATAATCACAATCACAATATCATTTGACTCTGCAAAAGAATCAGATAACTTGTTTTATCTTATTCTGCTGAATATTGCTTGCGAGTTGACGATATTTTTATTCTTTGTAAAGCAACTTGGATAAAACAGCGTTTCTCTTCTTTTTCAAATTTGACTTGTCCCTAGTAGAAATGAACATTCCTTCTATTGATAGACCCGTTTTTTATACGAAACGTTGGGTTATCTTTGATTCTCGTTACCAATATCCAAAAGGAAGCCTCTACTAGTGTACCCATCAGGTTATATTTCGCAAGAGTCTTCTTTCAAGTGTCTAACGCAAGGAACTTTTGTACAGTGACTCACTTATTCAACGAGCTGATGGTTGAGAGTGGAAGAAGAATAGGACTCAACTGCAGCTGAGCAAATCGTTCTTTGAATTTGCAGAGCTTTTAAAAGTTTTGCCTTTTTTTATATTGAAAGAGATAATAGCTCCCTTGGAGTTATCTCGTTCCTAAAGCAGCTTTGTACTTTCTATAGTTTGCTTTCTTGTATATCTTTAAAAGTTGTAGTTTTTACAAAGTTTATCGTACAAGAGGATGCAGCAATTGTCTTTAAACCTAAACAGTCATGTTTACCTTCAAAAACACCTCAAATGTATAGTCGACTATTGAGGAGAAAGAATTCAACTATGATTCAAATGCTATGCAATGACAATATACGAGAAGAGAATAGATAGAATAGACTCAATTCGACTGAATTGAACTTTTCTTGAAAAATATCTTTTCTCCTCTTAACAGAATTCACAGTATCAAATGCCACTATTTTCAGAGGAGAAAGAAACAGGAGTTATTGCCTCTTACAGAAATTGAGTATTGATGATACACTTGTGTGAGTCAATGTTGTTTCTGAGATTTGATGACACCACGAGATATTTTGGATCCTTCTTTGTGCATTTGTTTTGGTTTGTCTTTTGCTATCATCAACTTTTGTAGCTTTAGTGATAAGCTGCTACTTGTCATGATATCGTAAGAAAGGAATTTGATGATTGCTGAGAATAAAGGAGTGTTATGCTTGTGGGTTTCTGCATTTCTACTAAATAATAATATTTCAACTGGAGCTTTTGAATAGACTGTAGAAGAGAATGACTTGGTTCATACTCTAGTTTCGTGTTTCGAAATGAAGCAAAAGTGACGTAAAAACTGTTCCATAAAATACAGAAAATCTAGAGAGAGACGTCTATGGAACAAATTCTTCATGAACAATCTATATTGCTTGGAACTCTCATGACTATTCTCGAAAATTCTGAAAGAAACTTTCTTATCTATGTGAGAATGGGCCATGTTTAATAGCTTTATACTCTCAAAGAGCATAAAAAACTTGTGAAATAAACATTGGCTTTCTTCCGATCCTCCTTGTACCCTATGAGAGTTACCATTATATTAGCATACGAGAATAAAAATATCGATAGTTGAAAAAGCCATATTGATCGTTCTTGCCATAGTTGTAGTCATCTCAGTCCAAGCCATAAAGGGTATGACATAGTCATCAGTTGATAAAGAGAAGAAGTTGGATTGGTATCCTTTACTGTTTTCCTTGTTGTTGTTGTGACCGACAAACAGTCAATCGTTCATTTGTTTATATTTGTACTCCGAAATAAACTGAAGGTTGTTTAATTTCTCTTTGGCGATGGCGAGTTTGGATGAAAAGTGGAAAGCTGTGGACAACTTTGAGTCTATTGTGGTAGATCGTGAAAGAGATGTTTTTCGAGTGACAGAAGAATTGTATGATCTTCATAAAGGCCGAAAGCAACTCAGGGGTGTAACAAGTAGTTGCGACTATCGCTTGACGATACCATTTGCCCCTCATCTCTTTGGCTCAGGCAAAACGACCTTTGCCCGAACCTATTTGGAGTTGGTGCAAAGGTTTGGTGAAACTTTTCTGTCGAATTTTGCTTCAGACCCTTTGAGAAGAACCTTTTTGGAGAAGCTGAAAAGGGCTTCGTTGCTCTTTGTGGATTTGAGGAAGTTGGAGCCCACAGAACCGAAAGAACGCAACCTAAAGTGGGCAGTCTACTATTTGTTAGTAAAGGCTGCTTTTTTGCAATCAGGTCTTCCGCAACCAGACCCGGACGAATGTTTCAAGGAACTGAAACTTAGGAGTGATGCTTTGGTTCAGAAAATCCGTTCAATCTTAAACATTCCTTCTGATCAATATCTTTTGTTGGCATTTGACGAAGTTGGTGTGTTTGATACAAAGGGAACCTTTTTTGAACTGGAGAAGAATGACAAAGGTGTGGTTCGACCTTACAACGACTTTTTCGGTATCATTAGTCAATTGTGCGAAGAACCCGACTTGTTTTTTATTGTTGTTGGGAAAAGCAAGGGTTTAAGTATTAAGAATGATGTGGCTTTTGGGCTATCAAGAGTTATATTACATTTTATCCCTTTATCACCTTTGGACGCTTCCAGTATCGTTGAATTCCTTGAAAAGACTCTTCTTGAGACACCTACTCAAGTTCCGGTTTGTAATGTCTTATGTAGTTCTTCATTTTCAGTAAATGAATTGGCAGATTCGTTATTGGAATGTACAGGTGGAGTTCCTGGTTTGTTGACTCGTGCAGTGAATATGCTTTTGAATTATATAGTAGTAAGAAATCAGCCTTTTATATCGAAAGAAGAATGTTTGACATGTATGAATGACTACGATTTCCGAAGAATTTGTGCTGAACCATTTGTGGAACGAATATTGAATTTGGACGAAGATAGAAAAAGTGTTTTTGATTTACTTTTGATGATGGCTCTTTATCGTATACCGTTTCAAGTAGATGACATATTGTCCTCGGAGTCTTTTTTATTTGATGCAGTCACTGAAATGGGATTCTATCGATATCCTATTGACGAGAATACTTTCCAAATTCTTATTCCAAAAGTATTTGTTGGAATCTTCAAGAAGGACCCTTCCATCTCTTCTTTGGAAAAGATACTTCTTGGATCACTTGATGTCGAACCAGTAGATTGTTTCTTCTATTCAAAGTGTCGTGTATTTGAAGGAATTGTTGCTTTACGACTAGTTTTGATGTTGTCTTCAAAGAATCGAAATGAGTTGAGGGAATTGTTTTGTCAATTGTCTCCGATATGGAAACAAATGAAACTTCCAATGAGTACAATATCACCTATTCACTATATGAAGTCTGTTGTTAGTTCTATAGAAACAAGAAGTGAATCGAACAAGAGTCGAAGAACTTTTGCCAATACTGAATGGAATAAGATTATTCGAGAGACACTTTATTTAGAGACTGTTTACATTCCTTTGGACGCTACTTCTCATAGTCCTGATATTATATTCCAATTACAATCTCCTGTGGAACCCAAAGTTCTTACTGTTGGAGTTGCTTGTAAAGGACGTTGGAGGTCGGAAGGAATTGGCTGGTCAGATATTATAGATGAAGCCAAGAAATTTTTAGATCCTTTTTATGATCAAGTCTTATCCAGTGCAATGGATTCTCATCATTGTATGCTTATTATTGTTAGTACAAAGTTATCATTGAATGTTTCTAATGAGTTGGGTAATTAGAGTCGTTGTTACTCCAGTGGAATGTTTATTGGAAATGATTCTTTCAAAGTACCTGATAATTGTGAACTTGTTATTCTTTGTGAAAGAGATGTGGAAATGCTGATTGACAAAGAAATATTGAATGGACTTGAAAGAGCATTTTGTGTTTCTCATAATCCTACTTTTTGGGATTTTGGATTAGATTTACTTGATAGAATCCGTAACAGTTTCTTAAGTTGGCAATAGATTCTAACTCAGTCCTTCACTTTGTGATTTGTTTTGAAGAGCAAGTAAACTTTTTTTTGTATGTTTGAAACTCGGTTACAACTTATTTGCTTTCACTCTGAGGATTATTGTCTTAATATGGTACTAACCACGAAAATCAAAATAAGCCTATTGTTGTAAATGTCACTGTCACAGTTTGACAGGTCTTGTTTGCTTCTTGTTACTTCTCAGGAGAGTGTCTTAAAGTGTTGATGATTGGGTTTTATACAAGGTCTTGTATTCGTCATAGACTTTATTTATGGTTCGCCTCAAGTTGAAGGTTCCTCAGCTGGTCTATTTTCTAATAGCTCAGAGAAGTTGTTTTTATATACAATTGCACAGAAACCAATATCCACTCTTTATTACAAAAAAATGAAAAAGATAGTTTTTATCTAAAAGGCAAATCATGTTCTTATCAAGACTTGTCCTAAGCTTCGAAAGACTTTCGTCGCTCTCAAGAGTTTGAGAGCATTGGACTGTTGGAAGAAGATTGATCGATCATTGTTGTATTTTACTGTCGCATAGTTTACTTCATAGCTTACGATATGTCTAGTGAGCTTGAAGCAGAAAGCGTGTATGACATGGTTGTAGTAGACCGAGAACAAGATGTTGGTGTAGTAACACTGCAGTTATTTAGGCTATACACTCTACGTAAACTTGGTCGCCATTTCAAACCAGTCATACCCTTTGGTCCCCACCTCTTCGGAAGTGGAAAGACAAAATTCGTACAAAGTTACTTGGAACTGGTGAATAATATGGGTGAAAGTGCACTGATAGGTCTCGATTACGTTGGTGAGTCTGAGAAGGCCAACCGAAGAGGTTTCCTGGAGAAGCTGAAAAGGGCTTCATTGCTCTTTGTGGATTTGAGGGAGTTGGAGCCCACAGACCCGAAAGAACGCAACCTTGAGTGGGCAGTCTACTATTTGTTAATAAAGGTTGCTTGTCTGCAATCAGGTCTTCCGCAACCAGACCCGGACGAATGTTTCAAGGAACTGAAACTTAGGACTGATGCTTTGGTTCAGAAAATCCGTTCAATCTTAAACATTCCTTCGGATCAATATCTTTTGTTGGCATTTGACGAAGTTGGTGTCCTTGACGAAAGTCTCGACGAATTTCATTTCAAGAGAACCAATGACGGTAGAGTTCGACCTTACAATGACTTTTTCGGTATTATTCGTGAGTTGTGTAAAGAACCCGACTTGTTTTTTATAGTTGTTGGGAAAAGTGAAGGCTTAAATATATATAATTACGTAGCTTCAGTCTCAAGAGTTCAGTTAGTGTTTATTCCTCTTTCGCCGCTTGAGAACCATAGTATCGTGGAACATTTGGAGAAAAGTTCTTCCTTTTTATTCCCTGGGAGCCCAAAGGTTTCAGAAATTCTTTGTCACGAAGACTTCTCAACTAGTGAACTTGCAGAATTGTTGTTGGAATTGACTGGTGGTGTTCCTGGTTTACTTGTTCGAGCAATCAGTTACCTTTTGCTGTATAAATCATCCATCAGCAATTTCTCATTATCTAAGGAAACCTTCTTGATCATAATGAATGATCTTTCAGTAACAAATTATTGTGTTGCTCCATTCTTACCTCGTCTGATAAGTCTCAGTGAGCAGCGTAAGCGCTTGTTAAGAATGCTTACGTTATTATCTTTGTATCGTATTCGATTTGATTTTGATGAAACTGTGCAAATGAGCTCAAATTCTGATGTGTTTTTGTTTGATCTAGTTACAGATATGTGTCTCTATCGTCGATTGGTTATAGACCCATACCGCAACGAACGCTGTGAAGTGTTGATTCCCAGGTTACTGATTGAATATATTAACCAAGGCTTAAAGGATGATCGTTTAGAATGGTTACTTTTACAAACTCTCAAGTCTCAATTTATGGAATTCTTTTATGAGTCGAAATGTCGAATTTTTGAAGGTCTTATTGCTACACTGTTTTATTTACATTTTTCTCGGCGTCCTACAAACAGCTCAATGTTTTCTACTCTTGGTCAATTGTCTCGTGTTTGGAATGAAATGAATTTACAATTTTCTTCCGAATCTGCTGCTTATTATATGAAATCTATACATAATACCAGAACTGTATCAGGAACAGAGAGAATGACATTTGGAAGCAATGATGAATGGGAAAGGATAGTGAAAGAAATGTTAGAACTTGAAAAGATATATATTCCATTTCATTCAACATTCCATAGTCCAGAGATATTATTCAAGTTGCATGGAAGAACGAATGAGAAGAACTTGATGATTGTGGGTATTGCTTGTAAAGGCCGATGGAGTCGTAATGGTATTCGATGGAATGAAATTTTGGAAGAAGCTCACAAGTTTTTGAAACCAGTGCATGATCAAGTATTGACTAGTCATCCTACATGGCATTGTATGTTGATTATTATGAGTACTCAGTTAGCAACCAACGTATCTGAGGACTTGAATCATTCTAGTCGTTGTTATTCATCTGGCGATAGTGTTGAAGATTTCGTGATTCCTCACAACTGTGAATTGGTTATTCTTTCTGAAGCTGATGTAGAAAACTTTATTGGCAAAGACATTTTATCAAATTTAAGGAACGCTTTCAAATCTGTGGATAATCCACATTCGAGAAATATTGGCATTTCAACCCTACAAGAAATAGTTTTATCTCTTTCCAAAAATATTTAGGAATATTTTGTTTTAATATCTTAGAAGTTTTACAAAAACAAGCACTTTCAGAGGTTGTTATAAATCGGGCTATTTTATAAGACACTTTCAAAAACCATATCAAACTTGAGGAAATTATTCCTCTGACCACAGTTGTGTGATTTGGATGACATACTCCATTGTTTCGTGCTGTATAATGCATAAATGAAGCTAATAGCAACAAAGCTGAGCTCTGAGTGTAGCATTCATCTACTTTTCCATTGAAAACAACGAGGTAGATTGGACTTTGGAAATTCTTCAAAATTTGACAACTTGTTTCCACATATACTCGTGCTTGTCTTGAATCTTCTTCTGCCTGTCGCCAGAAAGAATATGACATTACCTTTTTATTCAATTAGATCATCTTATTGAAATGGTCTTCACAATTCCAGGTTTGCTGTTTTTACGATGCATACATTTCAACTTGTTGTTCTTAGGATCTCATCATCAAATAAGGCGGTAAAATATATCTAGTCAGAATAGTTGAGAAAATCACACGGTATTAACCTGAGTCCATATTGTAGTCTAGAAAAAGTATTTTCTGCGTACTGAAGGATCTAATAACAAAGCAATATACGAGTTTTTGAAAATATTAGCAAAACGAATAAGAAATTTAGGAACAACCAGACATCTGTAATCGTTTTGATGTAGCATAATATGAAACCACGCTGAAAAAGAATCAATCATATTTGCAAAGTTTCAAAACCTATATATACTATGGCAGGAATTTTTAAAAACTGACTTTGCGCTGTTATCAATTCAATTATAGCAACATTTTGGAAGATTGATAATAGTAATAATAATAACGAATGTGTCTTCAAAATATGGAAACAATCCTCCAGAAAGCACTCGAATATTCGAAACTCTTCTGTAATTTCAAAAGTTTTTCTGATTGCCTGGTCAAATATTATCAAGTACAATATACAAGATGCGAGTAAATCCCACCTAATGGGGATTNGTTGTCATTTTATCTTTCATTATTATCCAGGCAAATCATATCAGTCTTGAACTTTTAAACAAACTTCATATGACCTGTAGAGATTGACGTGTCATTGAGGCTTCAAGGAGAGATTCGCTTCGACTACGAGATATTGCCTCTTATATATGTATTAACATTATGGAAGTTTAGTCATCAACTAGAGAAACTGTTGAAGAAGGAAATATTGTGTCATTTGTGTCTAAATATTTCAATTGGATCTTTCTATGAAGGAGATGACATTCTATCACCATTTTCAAATTTATCTCTGATTGAAAGCAGTAGACATGCAACTTACAAGTTACAGAATGTAAAGACCAACCGAATACAATTATTGTTTCTCAAAAGGCACACTATAATTTGTTACATGAAACACTTCCAGTCCGTCGATAATTTTTGTACCACAATGGAGAGATGTATCAAAAGAAGAATTGAGGAACAAGGTAGAAAGCATTCTTATGCTTGAAAGTCTTTCTGTGAGATGGATAGAACGGGACCTACAGGATTTACTTTATTCTCTACGCTGCTTTTTGCTAGCATCTTCAAAATCCATATTCATTAGAGAGAAATATACTTTGGTCTTATGAACTTTAGCGAATATGCTGAATAAACTCTGGATATTGCTAGCCACTTTGGTTTTTATCAAGTCTCAAAAACAAGTTTACGTTTCACAATAAACTTCAACGGTTGTCGTAAGGATGTAAACTTGTAGTCCACGTCAACTTTCAGTTCTAAAAAACTTATGGTTCTTCCAAAATGTCGAATAAAAGGGCTACTAAGAACAAGAATAATAAGGGTAGGCGATAAATACATAAGCTTGGCTTAAATATACGCTGTCTGTTGAGCAGGAAACCGCGAAGGTGCCTCTAAAAACGATATCAAGACACAATTTCATACAGCAAAAAATCGAATTTTTCAATGAAGCAAGAATCCTCGAGCTCAAAAACCAGCAGTAGTCTCTGGTTGGCGGGGAGAACGAGTTGGATTGCTATATTTTGCTTCACTTATTGGTCATTGTTGTATTTCTTTAGAGTTGAACACTGAAAAGAACACTTGACTGGTCGTTACAAAAAAATAACAAGGATGTAATTCGAAGTTTCATGCCGCTCCTATCACCAATATAAAAATTTGTCTTTTTCTTTGTAAGAGGAAGCTACAAAAGTGTCTCACCAAATTGAGAGAGCAAAAAAGCCGGTCTGAACTCCCTCAAGTTCCTGCAACGGGCAACATTACATACCCGAAGCCCAGTCTTCAAGCGAGCCTATTCCTTAGCGAAAGAGACCTCTACCTGTGTTTAAAGTACTAGAGTACTAGCACAGGTTTCGAAAGCAACATCCAAAGGTTATTGACTTCCAACGAGACCTGCTAAGGAAGAGTGCGACAACAACAAGTCTCCGTAGAAAGACTCATCGTCAGTCCCTCACTACATAGGACTCGATACTACTTCCTTCTCCGAACTTGGGGACATCCTTCATCATCCTCGGCTAGGAGTTGATGTCTCTTTTGGAAGAAACATAGGATTTCGTTGACCTCTAGAACAGATCCTGTCCGAGCATGGTCTGTTATTATCATGTGTCGAATCCATATTTAAGGGAACGTATTCTCAAATTAAATTTGATGATGGGACAACTTTGTTAGGAAATTCTACAAGATTACGCCAACAGCATATTGCAGCTTCGCTAGGAGCTAAGCAGCAAGTAAAAAACAAAATTCAAATCTATCGAATTGAAAATTTGAATTCATGTGAAGAAAAAAAGTTTTGGGAACTTTAGACCTTGACGAAATAGTGACAAGTTGATTGAAACAAGCAAGATATGAATGATTCTCATTTGCAAAACTTTCGATTACGTCGCAGAACTTCCAACTTTTAATAAAGGCAAGAAATATGACCTCAGAAACATTCTGATAAAGCTTCGTGTCGTTATGCAGAACCGCTGCCTCACTATCCAGTCATCGAGATGGCAATATAAGAGAAAGTCTGCCACATAATAGACAAAAACGCTGCCATGTTGTAGTGACTTACACTCTACTAAAGAGTAAATACTTTCAAAACAAAATGTAGCAACTGGGCTATTTACGCACAAATAAAAGCACTAAAGTACTTTCATACACCTAACGTCTAACTTAGTTTCTAAACTTGAGTTGAAGACTTTAAGAAAGGTTAAAGTTATAATAATAGCGATAATAATAAAAGGTATAGAGAAGGAGGCAGCAGCGAAGAAGTCTAGAATCGACGGAGAGATATATCTCCTTACACAACTCCTCCTTTCTTCTCAACTTGTTCTATGACTGGACTGAATAGAAGGATTTTAATACCGTCCCAGCACTTCAAGGCAAAATCAAAAAAGTACGAAACATTTCAAGACTACAGCGTAAAATTTTTGAGAAGTAAAACAAGCACATGCGAAGCGTAAGGAATGTAAAAAAGTGAGCGGGTATAGAGTTGTTTAGAGTGACAGCAGAGAACCCAACATAGCAATATTATTCTTTAACAGCAGTTAATATCGACAAACTGTGCTCAAAAAGGAAAAAAGTATTTGTAAACTTTGTTCTTCAACACACAGGTCTGCTTGAGATATAGCTCCGGATTCATTTTCAATTTAAAAAGATTACTGTCCGTTACAAAATGAATGAGGAGATCATCTGTTTGCTGGAACGAGAGAGAGACAACTTCTTACAAAAAGGAAAGCATGACTTGGTAAAGTCTTTAGAAAAATCCATAGAGAGCGTAAAAGATTTGAAAGAACCAATAGATTCAATCAAGAAAGTTCGTTCACTCCCAATCGGGCTCATTCAGGCAGCTAAAGTAGAACGATTGATAACTCGAAGAGAAGACTCCTTCTCGTTTGTCGAAACAATGAACCAGAATTTAAAATCTATGCAACAATCCAAACTTAATTTGAAGTCAATCAAGAAAGGGAAAAAGCAAGTTGAAGAGAAAGTTTCCAGCAAGACTAGCAGCCAGGCTGAGCAGTCAACAAGGCCTCGACAGAAGACAAGATATATTCCAAAATTTCGTTCAGCTGCATATTCTTTGTTGTTAGGTCTTTATCAAGCAATAGTCGTACAAGGCCTTGAAGATATCGACAAACAAGGGTTGATTAATCTATCTCAACCGTTCTGTGATTCTATATTGCAGAGAGTAAGTTTCTCGTTAGTTTAAAGATTGCTTTGTCTCACTTGTAACAGAATGGTTTCGTGAGTTCTCAATCATACTCAGAGCAAGTTAGTGGTTGGACGAGCATGAGCAAGATTTTATTGAAACGGCAGCTTGCCAGAACTGTCCCTGGCAGACGACCACTAAGATACACATTAACTGAAGAGGGAAAGGAACTTGCCAATATTTTAATCAACAAATTTAGTGTACATTTTTTATGCAAAGAAACACCTTGTGAGGATAATGAGAGCATAGAACTAGGAAAAGTTGACCTTTATCGTGAAGTCGTCGAATGGGGACAACCATCAAAATGCATTATTTCATATGAAAGCACAAGTGAGTATACAAGCCCTTTTTTGATTCTCAATAATTACACGAACATTTGGATTGCTTAGAACTTTATTCTGTGAATGATACCCAAACCTCTGTTGTCAGTGAATGTCAGAAGGCGCAACTTTACGTTGTTTTAGATAATAGAGAAGTGAAAGGATTCGGAAAATCTAGAAAAAGGTTGATGGAATTTTTAGAGATACTCGGCGTACCCGTCATGGTAAGAGGAAAGATTCAACCTTTTGATTTCATTTACAATTATACTTCTCTAGTTGTATCAACTAGAATTAGGTGATATCTTATTTGTCGCAATGGCAGATTCTATCGATGCAGATAAATGCAATAACACTAAATTATCTATGTCTGAAGGAAGAGTCCTAGACTATTTAATTGAACGTAAACGAAATGACGATCTTGCATCATCTTTGCATGACAGAAGGTTTTCGAGGCAAAGATTTTGTATGAAACAAAGCAATATTAGCCACCTCATTTACCTTATCGAAGGCGACTTGAAAGCTCAGGAGAAGGAAAATGTGGATTCCCTTTGGCGAGTTTTAATGAGCACAGCTATGGTTGACAACTTCCATATTGAATATTCAAAGGACGTTTGGGTGAGTTCTTGGCATAATGAACCCGTGGTTTCCTAATAGTTGTTTGGATTCTTTGCAGGAAAGTGCTTGTTTTGTGAAAAATTTATATCAAGTAGTGAATTCGGAAGTACAGAAACTTGCATGGCGGGATATCATGGGAAATCCATCCCTTGAACAATGGAATAGAGCTCTTAGAGAAGCTAAGAAGCCCTCAGGATTGGATTTGTTTAAATGGCAGTTGATGTCAATACCAGGTAAGTTGTATGACTCACATTTATTGAATCATCCTTACATTTTACGAATCGAAGGTATTGATTATCGCAGAGCGCAAGATGTGGTATCTTGTGGCTTTCGTTCCTTGGTAGAACTTGGAGAAGGTTTGGATCGTTACTCAACTAGAAATGAAAGAATTTCTTATTTACAGGAAATATCACTTCAGTGTGGAAAAAAACGATGGTGTCGTAATTTATATGAGACGATTGAAGCGCTTTTTTGCTGTAATGAGATATATCCAGAATAGGCAAAAACATGCAATGCTACCTTACTCTATGTCTTGTAGATTTATTCTTAGGGACGCTCTGTAAATATACAAAAATTTATTAAAAAACAAGTATGCAAAATAGGTCATTTTAACGTCATAAGTTGTCAAGATAGAAACAGAGCTAGAATATTTCCTGTGGTCAGATCTGTGTTTACTACATACAGTTAGGCAGCAAAGACGGTTTTCAGAACTCTTTTCAAACGAGAGTTAAAAGACCAAAAGAAGCCTCTCGATATCTTTAAAAGTTTTTGAATCTCCCACAACAACTTTGGAACATATTGTGGTAAGGATTCAGCAACCAGGGTTCAAAGAGGCCCACTTTTCAGTGGAGAGGTACCTATTGGAGAGACCAATAGTTGAAATAAGGAGAGACCGAAGCAAGTGCCACAACTCAAGTAAATAACCCGTAGAAGATTGCTACCTTAAAAAAAGGAATGTAGTACAGCGTGTAAGAACGTTCACTTCGTTCAAGTTTTCGCTCATAGATAGACCTAAATTCTCTTAATCTTGCAATTCACAAGCAACACCATGAAGTTGCACAGACTGTTGCAAAACTGCTGTAGTCTACGGAATATGAGAATAGAATGAAATAAAAGTGACGCCAAATAGGAGAAATATGTGACATATTAGGTGATATCTCTCTCTGGATTAATCCAACACTAGCTTACTTAAGCGTTAATGGGAGATCGTAGTCCTTCACAGTTTTTCTCATCTTTTTAACAACGCAAAGAGATCACATAGCATTTTTCTCCAGGTTGAATCTTTCGCGCCACTTCTCAGACATGCATTCCTGATGGGTCCTGAAACAAGTTTTTCTTTCAGTGAAGTTCCGCTGCAATGCAGAAAAACAAGCGAGCAAAGTTGGAAAAATATGAGAAAACCAGGGTAAGCAATAAAAACTAGTTGGATTACTATTTCCATCTCACTGACTATCGACTTCAAACCAGCACTCATTTGATTCAAAGAGGGAACAAATTATCCGTGAATTAAGCAAAAGCGCTGAGACGTCTCAAATAACAAGCAAACGCATCTCTGCATTCCCCGTAACGTTTGTAGAGACAGACCAAAATTACTTTAGTGACAACCACGACAGGCAACGCCTGACTCAAAAGAACGAGTTACGAGAAGAAATCAATGAGACTTTGACCAACGTTTCTGCTTTTACAGACAAACACAACGGTATTTAAAACAATTTTCAAAAGGAAAAACGTGATAGTTTACGTGTACAGGCAACTTTTCTAACCAAGACTCGGAGGGTTCTGAAGATCCAAACGAGAGCGTTTCTGAAGATAAAAAAAACACCTTGGAAAAAGTTGACCAAGAAGATTTGCCACAAGACATATTTGATGATACTTTACTTGACGAAGAACTAGTTAGATTCTTTTGATATAACGTCCTTCGGAGCAGTACAAAAGCTTACTGAGCCCAACATATCCACAAAGGCAATTAAAAGTATCACTAATTTCTAAGATAGATAAATTATGTCCTCGCTGTCTGAAGAGTCTCTTCAAGAAAGCACCAAACAGGATAAGGTAGTCCTTAGTCCTGGTTGGTTCGCTCTTTCAAAAGCACCTCAAGAAGCGAAGGGAGTCGAAGAGAAGTTGAAGGGAACAGAACACCCCTCCAGCAGTTTAGGAGTGGCACATTTGTCTTCCACTAAAACAAGTCTCCCCTGTAGACATCGCTATTCAAAGGCAGAGTTAGAAGTATATTCTGCGAGGGCGAAACTTCCTATAAATTGTATTGAGTCGTCCTTGGAGGTTTTAGGGAACCTTAGGAGGTTGGAGAAGTCTCCGTTTGTCAAACCTAAGAATGGTCCTTCTTTTGATTCCAGTCCCATTTTTTCAAACAGCTGGCAACGAGGAAGCTTTCTCAGTGCTGGAGACGGTAGAGAGCCTTCACCAAACTTCAGGCATTTCCCAAGGAAGGAAGATTTATCAAGGAAGAAACAGCATAAGCAAAGCGAAGTTTCACGAACTCACGACACAAAGTCAAGATATAACAGGTATGGTCTTCGCCAAATGGTTTGTTAGCACTGAAATGAGAGGCTGTTTACTTAGAAATCAGAAACCTTATTCGGGTTCAAAGAGACTTCTTTCGGAAGTATGGTACTATAGAGATCCTCAGAATGACATTCAAGGCCCGTTTTCTCTGATACAGTTGAAACAATGGTTGGAAGCAGGTTACTATGACGGAACTTTGCCGATTTGTGAAAGTGGAAGTGACTCGTTTCAGTCGCTTGAATCAGTTTTGAAGGCAGTAAAAATTCACGATACTCCACCTGGAATTGGTAAAAAGAGAGACGATGCTGTTGAAAAAGGTACATTGGTCATTAACGAGTTTGAAACGTGAACTTATACATTATTCAAGATAATGCGGTATCGTCAGGTGAAACTAGACCACAAGTGGGAAAATTTGACTCGATGACAAATGAATGTCAGCAGTCTACAAAAGAAAAAGATGAAGTTTCAAACAACTCTTCTATGATGTCACAGAACGAGCCACAGAAAGAAGATCAAGCCGTTTTATGTGGCTTATCATCATCCAAAACGAAAGAAGGACTAACTAGTCTTGATAACTCAAACTTACAAAAACTCTCGAATGAAAAGGATAGTACAGATCTACATTCTCAGGTCGAAAGAGTGCAACAAGAGCAGTCACATGAGTTAGAAGATCAGACTTGTCACTTGATTTTTGGAAATGATATATCAGCATCTGTTGAAAGCGAAACCAGAAATGGTCAAGAGAATTTCCCTCTAGAGAGAGACATCGCAGAACTCGAAAGGGATCTTGTGTCTAACCTGGATCTGGATTCTGGAGCTTATTCATTTGATACGAATTTTGCCAGTTTTCCAGAGAGCTCTCTTACTGTTGGACAGTGGCAGTACAGTAGTCGCGGTTCTAAAGACAATGAAGAAATGAACAGGAGCCAGAAGCGTCCAATGAATCCTGCCGAGTATCTTATGTCTATTGATCCAGCCATTGCGAAGGCATCCGTCAGCAGTAAAAGTACAAGTCCAGATAAGAACTTACAAAATTCTAACGTTGTCGCTTCAAATATGTTGGCACTGGAACAAAATGAACTGTTCAACACACAGAGTTTGAATGAAACTAGCAGAACCTGTTTGGCGCAGAATGTACTGGAGTCGAATGCTAGCGTAAAAGACTCTACACAGACAAACTGTCAAACAGTCCTTTCGAACAAATATAATGAAGCTATCACGGCTTTCAACGAAGAACGCAACAACTTTCAAGAAGCTAAGAAAGTGAACGGGAAAAAGAAACGGTCTCATATTAAGCACAGTTCAAATTTTGTGGAAACTTCACAGCAGCAAACAGCAGGTGATAGCGAAAAGGTCGCAAGCTCTAGGAGAGAAAGTGGTCGTAAAGGAAAGGGTGAAGGTGAACATCAGATTCATGCTATTTCTCACTCACAGGGACAACGTTTGTCAGATTCGTTGAACCCAAAGATGGAAGTCTTTGATAATTTTTTCAAAGCGTTCTCTGATTCGTCAAAGCCTGCGTGGAATACTTGGTCTGCATCTGCTTCCAACTTGCGTTACCCGCTTTCATTAAGGGAAGTCCAGCTTGAAGAAGAAAGAAGGCAAAAGGAAGAAGCCTTGAAAGTAAACAAAGAAAGAAAAACGGATGGATTGGAGACGAAAAGATTTAGTCCTTGGGGTAGACAACCTGTAGAGAATGCTCCTTTTGTAGAGATTCAACGACGTGAAATGGAACAACAAGCTTCACGTATGAAGAGTAACGCACACTTTGAAGAGAACAGAGTCAAGGGACGAACTGGAATGAGTTGGTCAGATAAGCTAACAGGAAGCTTATCGACTCGTGTTTCACCTCGGCAATCTAGTTTATCGTCTGTAGAGAAATGGAAGGACACAAAGTCAGCCAACTGTCCCCAAAGTGTTGGATTTTGGGACTCTGTAGATCAATCATTGGAATCAAGTGAGTCGAATGTCAAGAGCGTGACGCCTAATATATCTACAAAGAGTTCTGTTGACAAGTATGAATCATTTAATACATTTAGAAATGGATCTTTTGGTGCAAATATTCCGGAAGATCTGAAAAAGTGGTGTGAGGAGCAGTTTTCTGAGCTGGTTAGTTCTCAAGATGTGACATTGGCAGAGTTTTTGGCTTCTTTGAATACTAGAGAAGAAATTCGGGAATATGCGATTATTTATTTGGGGAATTCGAAGAAAACAGAGGACTTTGTGGAGGAATTTGTAAGAAGACTTCAATTCGAGTTCGAGTCTCAAAAGGTTACACCAGGGTCCTCAGGTTCACAAGCTTTTAAGTCCGGTCGCAGAAGGAAAAAGTCATGAATATAGTAAAGTGCCAAGAAGACAGACCACGATATCGTCCATTGTAGCTTTCTCTGTTTGTTTCATTTGTGAAACAGGTTTCGACTGATGCTCTTGCTACTTTACGAACATCGACATTTCTGATTTTTTTCAAACATTATATATAAATGATGTTAGACGAATGCCACAAATGCAGTAAAAAAATATGTCAGCTTAGCATTTTACTATCTAGAAACTTTATTATCCAGGTCCTAAAGTTATCGTCCGATCACGAATGCAGGTCTAACGCCATAAAATAACACGGCGCTGGTCTCTAAAGACTTTTCTATTCATTTATTGCTGCATCTGAAGCGTTACTCGCTTCTGAATCCTCCTCGTCATATTCAAACATGGGCTGTTCACTATTCTGGTCTTCTAAATTTGTTTTGAAATGAGAAGTTATTAGTTCCAGTCTCCCTTCCAACTCTAGTATACTTTGAAACACGTCCATTCTTTCCTCCATCACTTCTTGAAGACGTTTGAGTTCATCTACCAACTCTCCAGTAGACGAAAGAAATGACGCGTGACGTATCAGAACAGATTGTATCCAAACCAAAAGAACTTTGGCACGGTTAGGGTTAGACTCAAAACGCAAAATCAGCTCACGAAGCAGCGGTACCACACAACTACTATCAAGTCTTCCTACAGTACGTTGAATCTGCCTTTTATCTGTCACGGAAGCTAACGCTCTTTCTAAAAGTTTAGTATCGTGATGACCGACAGCCTGCTCTAATATGCGAATCGAAGTTTCGAGATTTCTTCTTGGACGTTCCGCTTGTTTCTCAAACTTTTTGGGTGGTGCAGACTCCAATAAAGTTTCACTGACGTTCAAATGATTAAGCTTTGCTTCCAGTGTCTGCTCTTCTTCACTATCCGCTACTTCAGCAGCTCCATCTTTTACTGTATTGTTCATATCTTCACTGGCATTCTTCAAAACAGCTTGGGATGCAACTGAAAGCTGCTTGTTGCTTAATACTTCTGATTCTTTTTCTTCTCGCAAATGTTTCACTAGACGATTGGAAGCTTCATTCAAGTGAGAAAATGCATTGTTCACTCGTAATATTCCCCCTTTTTGTTTGGGCTTCAATCGGAAGCTGGCTTCTCTTTGAATTTCCGATAACGAAACTGCTTCGATAATAGGCTTTAAAAAGCCACCGTGTCCGAATAAAACAAAAGTATGCGTTGAGTCCATTGCTGTAGTAAAAATTGCATCATCACTAGTGGAAGTAACAGTCGTAAAAGACGGAGATTCTAATGAAAATGCTGCCTCATTCTCTTTTTCGAGTTGTTGCACGGACAATTCATAGCCGGATACGGTACCATCTGCAAGAATACAAGTTAGCAGGCAACATTTCTTCTTCCAGTCTTCAGACAGTACATTGACAAATTTGACCGGAAAGTTACTACGCAATACTCCAGACACAGTTCGTGGCATATGAACGTCGTCCGATGGTCTGGTTCTCTTCCAAGCTTTCTTGGATTCCACTTGTCCATTCAACTCGGGATAGCTCCGTTGATTTACTTCTGAGCCTCCAACCTCATTAGCCGAATTCAGCTTTTGACTTTCCTCATTACAAGACCAGATGTACGCATTGTTTTCATGAACACTGCAAGATACCAGGAAATTGTCTTCCAAAAAGAACGACAAACCACTTATTGGATTCCTATGACCACGAAAATAGAGTATTTTGCTTCCCTTTTCAACATCATATAAGGAAATTTCTGTATCTCCAACGGCTAAGCGAGTACCAGCTTTGTTACAAGCAATACAACTGATAGATTGACTGGCTCCATGAACTATTCTCCTTTTCGGATAGGGAGGTGAACTGAATGAGCTCCTTTCCCAGATAACTATATTTCCGTCATGTCCTGACGAAAACATTTTAGAAGCGTCTTGCGAGAAACAGATTCCAGATACTTGTCGCTTGTTATGTGCCTGAATACTTTCGGGACAACCATGAAAGACTTCCAGGTCAGAGAAGCCTCCGGACTTGCGCAACAAAACTTCACCGAGATGGAACCCTATAGCAATGATAATATCAAGAGCTTCGTTACTCTCAGGAATTTGTTTTCTCCTTTTGACAGTTTTTGACTTTTCATTCGGCAACGGTTGGTATGATATTGCCAAACAAGTAACTTTGCCAGCTTTACCAGAAGTTAATTGTGCTACAGCGTCTTGTTTGTTTTGTTTCAACTCGGTCTTTTTCCTCTGTTCACTCTGCAATGGAATTCGACTTTTGAACTCCAGAGTTCTCGTATCTGTGGATGTTCCAGCTGCATTCTCTGAAACTAGAGTGTCTATATTGGTCTGAAACAACGATAGATTTCCATTTGGAGACATCACGACCACATACTTCCCGTCTTTAGTGAAGGCACCGAAGGGGGTCTCTATGCTACCCAGAGAACCTTCTGTAGCAGATAGTCTATTTGACTCTTGAGTCTTCTCATTAACGCCATTTACATAAGATGAAGCGTTATCGACAGTGTTGCCACTATCTTCACCACTTGACACACTATTATTCTTCATTTATCTGTAAAAATCCGGTACACCGTTAGTGTCCAGACATGAGACAGGTACTCAATAATAATACAAAAAACTTGTGTCACCAAAAACAGTCACCAATTCCCCTCTGTTCTTCTCTATACAGTCAAGCGATATAACAGGGTACAGGTGTATATCAGAACAAAAGAACAAAGAGCCAAATTCCAAGACGCCGACGTCACTTGTCAATTGTTGTTCATTTTTGGGGTTTCAAGATGCCCGACAAACGAGTTGTCCTCCGTCGAAGACATCCCTACAATACAAGAAGTAATCGAATCAGAAAGTAAGCTACAGATTTTCACTAAAGGGATTATATTGTTGACGTTGTTTAGAGTAAGAACACCTGGTGGTAAGTTGGTTGTCCAATACCCTGGCAAAAAGGGGAAGCAGCCCAGATGTGGAGATACCGGAAAGCCGTTGCAGGGAATTCCAGCGTTACGACCTATTGAGTATAGCAGAATTTCGAAACGTCAAAAGAAAGTGAATCGAGCTTACGGAGGCAATTTATGTGCGCAAGCTGTCAGAGACCGGTAAGTCTATAAATCACCTTTGGAGAACACGCGATACTAATTGAGAATAGCATCCTTCGTGCGTTTTTGATAGAAGAGCAGAAATTAGTGAAGAAAGTTTTGAAAGCTCAAAAGTCTTCTAAGAAATAAACGTTACAAGTTCCTTGCTTTGATAAACTTGTTCGCACCATGAGCATAGCATAGTTGTATATCTGAACTATTATTCTTGGCTCGTATTTCTTATACGAAAAATGCAAAGTTGAGACTGCAGTTGGCAAAGAGTTGAAGACTACTCATTGACAAACAATTCATCTTTTCAGTTTCTTCATTTCGCAATGGTAAGAGAGATGATCTCCTCAGTTGTATTCTTTATTTCCGAGCACTCTTTTCACTTGACAAATAAGTTCAAGCTTCGTTTCCCAAGGCGTGCAAGTTGTGCGCAGTGCCATTCTCCATCATCTTTCCAACGTCGAACGTTGCTGAGATTTTTGTTCGCCTTTCCTTTGATCACCAGTGTCGGCAGTCATTCTGTTTTAGGAAGACCAGAAGGAGTAAATAAACCCAATCTACTTCCAAAGGAGAAGAAGTTAGTTATAGTATGGGATATTGGTAGTCTCATCTGTGAATGTTGATAGAGTCCAATATATAGGATTTGGAACACTACTTGACAAGTGGACAATTGAAGTCTCTGGAACGCCAAATTGAAGACTTGGAACGAAGATCGGGTTTCAAACTACGAGTCTTAACACAGAGATATCCCGTACTGAGCTTTTTTCTGAAATATGTTGTTTACACTTGACCTTTTTTCACGTTTAGGATACACCAGGACTAGCTATAAAGGATTATTGGCAACTGGATAGTCGTTCTGTTGTTATGGTTGCCGATTTTTTTGGAAATTCTGGCAAGTAAACATACTTCAAGATTGCATACTATAATAAAATTGTGATACTTTTAGGGAATCTTCTCAAGTTTAATGTTGGCAGCGACTTGGATGGGTTGTTGCCTCCAAGATATTGGTCGTTATTATCTTCCAAGGTCGGTTACTATTGAATATAGATTTATATGTGTCCCTATTTAACAAAAGTTTGCAGTATGGAAACAAATTTTTTGTTGAACAATATGGTGAAGATAGAGCGATATTAGATGCTGCCGATAACATATTCTCTTGTATTTTGCAAAAAGGATGTGCTACTCCTTAAAGTTGGTTGTTGTGGATGAAACGATAAAGTATTCCATTTGCTTGTTACAAACTTGGAAGGGTTCAGATTCTATTTCGTGTTTCCATGGCATTATGTATAACATTCTATTCACATATCATATTTGGTTTTCCCTGACACACACACACAAAGAGATAAGTGTGTGTGTGTGTGTGTGTGTGGCAAACATAAACTCATATGAAAATTTCACAGCGACCAATTTTATATAGTCTTTAGGTTATTCCACTTTATCACTTTCTGTGGGATAAGTTTTCAATATAATTCTTGATAGAATGAAGATTAGACGGGACATCTTCACGAATACGCCATTCCACAGCTTGAACTGGTACAAATCTTTTGGGTTGTACAGTTACCTGATAAATCAAATGTGTCCAATTTCTCTTCATAGGATACATCAACCACGAGCCTTCGAATACGTCAAAGTCTTGGCTATCCGCTAAGACAAAATCGATTTCTGCTCTGTCTTCTGAAAACTTTTCATACATATCCAAAATAACTGAAGCTCGAAAACGAAAACCTAGAACAGATTGAACACCCTCTTGTTCCAAACGAATACCACCTTGTGGATGGTAACGGAGTCTGCTAACTGCCAAATTGGGAATAAACTCTGCAAGATGTTCATAATCTGTTAACAAATCCCAAACGGCCTTCATATTAGCACATACCACGAGCCCACAGATAATAGTTCTTATGTTACGTGTAGGTCTCTCTATGATAACGTCACCGTTCTTCGGTATGGCTTCAGAGGATAACCTTTCTTTACTCAAAGCTACAATATAGCCACTTTTGTGAAGACAACTTCTCCAGGACCTTTGAAAGTGACAACATGGCGTATGTGGCTGCGAACGTTGTGTTTGAAACCATTTACCAAGTAGCAATTTATCATACGAACCATTTGGACAGAAGCAAGAACTCTTTTTGAATTTATGTCCAGAGAATTGCTCAACTTGAATAACAAACTTTGCACTGTAGCTACCAGGAACCGCACTGGTGACGAAAAAGAATCCTTTCATCATCTGCTTTTCAAACCAGAAAAGAATTGCTTTGGCTGTTGTTCTCGATCTGCTGAAAGTGACAATAGTGAAATATGAAGAAACGTTTGAAACAAAGAAAACAACCAACTTGGCTACTTCAACAACGTGCGTTTCTTGTCACTGCTTGTATTGCGGTACTATATGGAATATATATTCGAATAAACTATCAGGTAACTGTCCGTTGATAATGGATGACCAACTAAAACTTTTTGATAAAAGAGCAACTCAGAAGAAACCTCTGCATTTATTTCCTACTTTGAAGACTTCCTCCAATCCCACCAGCAAAGAGACTGGATAGATACGTCAGACCTTTTCGTTAGAACGGAATCCAACGATAATCCTTGGAACCTTGCTTTTCTTAAAGAACGATATCCCAACGTCGACTTGTCTTGGAATAAGTTGGAAGACCCAAAAACTTTTAAAAGGAAAGGTGTTATTGTTCATAAACATCGTAATGTAGTGGGATGTGGCGGAACTTATGTGGCTGGTGCAAGTTGGGGAGACTTTGTCCACCTCAGATTTATTGGAAAACTAGATAATGGCACCGTTTTTGATTCTACGAGAGGAAGGAAGCAATTGTTTCGTTTTCAGTTAGGCTGGAAGAATATTTCCAGAGGTTGGAATATTGGTTTACTTGGTATGTGTCCAGGTGAAATAAGAGAATTGGTATGTGGAGAATCTTAGTTGGAGAATGTCACTCTGAAAGTATTGTTCTGCTGAGGTAATAACGTCGAAACTATTCAGTAATGATGAAAAAAACCTTTATTTTCCTAATTGGAAAGATAGAAAACTATACTATTTGATACAACTTGTTTGCATTGGTGAGGATGCAAGTCCACCAGAGCATCATTTTCGACAATGGAAAGATCCCTACGAGTTACTTCGTGAGCATACGGTTATCATACCTGCAAAAAGAAAACAGAATTGTTATCGTGCTTGTCAACTCAAGAATCTTGTTTGTTTTAAGAAAGGATTTTCCATTTTGAACAATTGTCCTACTCTGTCAGAATACTTCGACTGCCGGGAATGTGAAATAGCCACTATGGAAAGTGCAGGTTCTGATATGCCATGTAGAGTAAGTCTTAAAGCGCCTTCAACTTATTCTTCAGGTGTATGTATGATTTCTCCTAATTTGTCACTTACCAGTTGCGAAGCTTCACATTCACAGACTGAAAGGCTTTGTCCTTGCGTGGTTGCCACCGATATGCTTCTCGAAAAGACACAGTATTTGAGAATATGATATTTGTTATATTTATAGGAAATGTTACTAAAATTTTTGGAATATGCTTTCAAATGATTTTATAAATGACATAGTTTTCAAGTTTTGATGTTATTTCAAAGAAGAAGATAATGTGTCCTTCAATTTGGTACATATCATGAGACTTGCTGCAATCCTTCACTCCAATATATTGGTTTGTTGGCAAGAACCAAATAAAAGCAAGCTATTTGTGGACTCTTTGGTAATAGATCCGAGAAATGGAAAGATAGTTTATGTTGGAGTAGCAACAGAAGCTCAAAAACTGATAAGAAGTCTCTATGACTCTCTTCCTGTTGGAGAATGGGTTGTTTTGTATGGAAAGAATTGCTTTATATATCCAGGTCTTATTGATGCACACATTCATGTTGAGTCTCTTGGAAATAGACTATTTTGGCCAAGTCTATCTTGTTGCACTAGTACTCTCGAAGTAAGAAGTTTTACTTGTTTGTGTCATATTTATTGATACGAAAAGAGCTCAGGCAAGATATATTTTAGAACGCTTTTGGCAATCAAAGGAGGGATTGGAAGGTCTCGAATATTTGTTGGCTTATGGTTGGAATGATGAACTTTGGAGTGACGAGGATAGAGTGAAGTGGAACGCTGACTTTATAGACCAATCTCCTATATTAGCAAACATACCCACAGTTCTCTATAGAAGATGTTTACACGTATGTTTATTGAACAAAAAGGCCATGGAATGGATTCACCGTGATGACTACTGGAATGAGTTACAAGAAAGAAGTTATGTCAAGACGGATAGTTTTGGAAGGTTGAATGGATTGCACGTAGAGAAAGCTGCTTTTCTTGTTCAGAAATATCTCCCTTCTCCTACAATAGAAGAGAGAGCTCTTAAAGTAGATTGTGCTATGAGATATCTTTCCTCTTTAGGTATTACTTCTGTTCAAACCAATGATACAGATGATGCATGGAAGGTCTATCATTATTTATTATGGAATCATTCACAAGAGAAAGATTTATGCGTACGAGTATATTTGACTTTTATGTGGGAAGAAGTATTTGATTCAGATACTTTTCAACCAAGACAATTGAAAGCAAAGGACTTGCCAGAATATCTTTGGCCTAAAAGAACGGGAGTGGGAAATGCCTATTTACGCTGGGGTCGACTAAAGCTGTTTGTGGATGGTTCATTGGGAGCTAAGACAGCAGCCCTTTTGCAGCCTTACCAAAATGAACAAGACAACTATGGAATTCTGTTGATGGATAAGGAAGAGTGTACTCGCAAAATTACTGTCGCCTATCAAAATGGTTGGCAATGTGAAACTCACGCTATTGGAGACCGAGCAGTAGAAATGACCAGTGAAATTTATGCCAATGTTACTTGTGCTAATCAACGACCAGTGTTGACTCATGCGCAATTGATTTCCCAAGCCAGTTTGCAATATATGAAACAATCTGGAACTATTGCAAATATTCAACCCAGTTTTCTTTCTTCAGATTATCCGTGGATAGAGTCAAGAATAGGTGCAGAAAGAATCTCTTTTGCTTATGCATGGAAAACAATAAGTGACTTTGGTATTCTTCTATCTGGTGGTTCTGATGCTCCTGTGGAAGATGCTTCACCTTGGAAGGGCATTTATGCAGCTATCGAGAGAAAGGATGAACAGAAAGAACCTCATCCAGATGGCTGGCATTCTGAAGAGAGATTATCTTTGGAAATGGCACTTTCGTTGTATACGGAAAATGCTGCTATAGCAGAATATTCAGAACAGGAAAAGGGTCAATTGAAAATAGGATATTATGCCGATATGGTTATTTTAGAACAAGATATTTTCTCTGTTTCTTCTGTAGATTGGTTGCACATGTCGGTCGTAGCTACTGTTGTTGGAGGAAAAGTTGTTTATCAGAAAGAGAATTTTTCTGATTACATTATTACTTTGGAACAACTTGAGTCTACACAATGGACAAGTTGAGCCAATGATGAAATGGATTGGAAGAATTGGCGGTGGGTTTAGCAATCGTTGGATACATAAAACACGTCCTTGTAAGCGGATTGATGCCGCCTCATTTGGTACGCAAACTATTTTGAAAACAACTTTACATAAGAATACAAAGAATATTGGTTTACCATTATCTTCGTGTTTACGACGATTCAGTTTTTGTACCATGTCAACGAACAAAGAGTCTTCCGTGGACCAGCTTACTTCTGCTTTGTTAGAACAAGATGAACGTGTTCGTAATATGCGTCTACAAAATTGTCAACACGAAGAGTTGGACTTGGAAGAAGTATGTTACTCAACTGTATTTTGGCGTCTTGTTTTACATTCTATATAGGAAAGACTAAAGGAACTGCATAGAAAGTTGAATCAATTGTTGAAGGAAACAGGAGCTGCTTCTGTCGATGACTCTGAAATGCAGACGAACTTTCCCAGAGAAGCCTTGGAAGGGTTGCTGAAAAGAAGATTTTTTATTGCTCCAAGTTTTGAAATCTACGGCGGAGTTGCAGGTCTCTATGATTATGGTCCTCCAGGGACAGCAGTGAAGAATAATATTATTCAGTTGTGGAGGCAACATTTCGTAGTGGAAGAGAATATGCTGGAATTGGAGGGTTCTTGTTTGACGCCTGACATAGTCTTACGTGCATCAGGCCACGTAGATAAATTCAGTGATATGTTGGTAAAGGATATAGAGACAGGTGACTGTTTTCGTGCAGATCATTTGTTGAAAGAACAACTCAACAAGTTGTTACAAGACAGTAACTTGTCAGTGGAGAAAAGAGAACTTGCGGAGACTACGTTGACGACCATCGACGAGATAGACTTGGACGAAATGGCAAAACAGTTGAAACATTGGAAAGTTTGTTCCCCAGAGACAGGAAATCGTTTAAGTGATCCTTATCCGTTTAATCTAATGTTTCAAACTTCTATTGGACCAACTGGATTGTTACCTGGTTTTTTACGTCCTGAGACAGCTCAAGGCATTTTTGTCAACTTTCGAAGGTTGTTAGATTATCAAGGAGATAAACTGCCTTTTGCGTGTGCTCAAATAGGAACTGCCTTTCGCAATGAAATTGCTCCCCGTTCTGGTTTATTAAGGGTTCGAGAATTCACTCAAGCAGAGATTGAACACTTTGTTCATCCAGAAAGGAAAGAACACCCTAAAATAGAAAAAGTTTGTCAAGTCAAGGTTCGTTTATTCCCCAGAAGAAGTCAGTTGACTACTCGACAAGCAGTTTCTATGACCATTCGGGAAGCGCTGGAGCAAAGAATCATCGATAATGAAACTTTGGGTTATTTCATTGCACGAACTCAACTTTTTGCGCTGAAGATTGGTTTAGATATTCATAAGATTCGTTTTAGACAACATTTACAACATGAAATGGCCCACTACGCCAAGGATTGTTGGGATTTAGAAGTGGAATCATCTTATGGTTGGATTGAATGTGCTGGTTTAGCTGATCGTGCATGCTACGACTTGCAAAATCACAGTGAGAAATCTCACGTTGATTTGACAGCCTTTGAAGTCTTTCCTGAAAAGAAACAAATGGAAGTTTGGGTTGCAGAGTTTAACAAAGGAGTGTTGGGTAAAACATTTCGACATGAGGCAGCTCCTATCATGAAAACAATAGATGCACTTTCTGAAGTTGAAAAACAAAATCTGCAAAGATGTCTTGAGAAGGAAGGTTCTATTTCAGTCAGTGTACAAGACAAGCAATACAACCTTACAAAAGATATGGTTTGCTTTAAGAAAGTTACAAAGTCACTAAGTGGTCAAAGCTATTATCCTTCAGTTATCGAACCTTCCTTTGGGATTGGTCGATTGTTGTACTGTGTTTGGGAACACAACTTTTATATTCGAAGTGGAGACGATGAGCAACGTGCAGTTTTGTCATTACCCGCTATGGTTGCACCTTATAAATGTACAGTTCTTCCACTCAGTAAGAACGTTGTATTTCAGACACTCATAACTCAAGTGGGAGAAAAGTTAACCCGTTTAGGTATTCAACACAAAGTGGATGAAAGTGGTGTCTCTATTGGAAAACGTTATGCTCGAGCTGATGAACTTGGAATTCCATTGGCTATCACTATCGATTTTGATAGTTTACAAGATGGCTCTGTCACTTTGAGAGAAAGAGACTCTACGAAGCAAGTTCGAGGTTCTGTTGATGAAATCATACAGGAAGTCAACTTATTATCCGATGGCAAAGCAGAATGGAAAGATGTGATGCAAAGACATCCCATCTTCGAAGCAAACAGCACATAAAGACTGCTTCTACAAGTCTTTAACTTTGGTTTCACAAATCCTCCAACCTTCGTCACCCAAATCTAGTTCGTCATCCATTTTCCATCCAAGTGTTGTTAGTTGCAATGTGATAGAGTAAAGTTGGTCCAACTTTAGATTCCTTTGCCCTTTGCTCAACGCAGTCATCACTACAAAACCAATCCATATCTCCTTTGCTGTGGCCAACTCATGTATATACATTTTGTATTGCCTCTTCCTTCGATGTTCCACTATAATGATTCGACCTTCAAAAAGTTTTTGAATGAAGAATTCTCCATATTTTTTAGTTTCATATTCTTTACTGATCACTGCCTTCTGTACCAATAATGGAGCGTCCAACAAAGAACAACCCACTCTTATTCGACTATTCAATAAAGGACGCCAAAATCTCTCTTTTTTGGATACTGATGATACATCTAATAGTTGTTTATGGCAAATGTAATGTTCAGCAACGATGTATCCTCGTTCCTTATTCAGAACTGCTAAATGAAGACTGCGAAGAGCTAAAATATTAAAGTAAATATGAAATACAGTCAAAAAACAAAACACTCCAAAAGAAAAAGGTAAAGAATTTTCCAATAAACTCGACGACCAAAAACACAAAGTACTCAATAACAGACCAACAAGACTTACAGCTCTACCAATATTGCCATGCTTGGAGCAGATATCTCCGATATTGTTACGTTTTGCAAAGTGCGCTTGAAAAGCAGTACAAGTAGCACCTCCTGCTATTCCACACAAACTATGGAAGATATTTGCACTTGAATGTAGAGCAAAAAATACTGGTGTAGGAAAAAGAGGAGCTGTCCACTCCATAGTAAGAGCAACATTGTTGATAACATCTGCAAAAAGCCTCCAACTCTTACTATCCTTATCAAATCTTGAACTCTTTCCCCAAGTAAATAGTAGACCTCCTACTACACCGAAACCTTCTCTCCAAAGCTACCACAAAACTTTTGAGTTGTCGATATGCCAAGTGAAAAAAGAAAGCCAATTACCAACATTAACGCTGCAGCCGTGGGATGTGCAAAATTATTACCAACACCGAGACCTGAAAGGGTCGAACGAGTGACCATCACCTGACGCAAATAAGAACAAAGACCTTGTAAAGAATCCCACCTATTTCCTTGAGTCAGCAATGTTTCTACAGTATTGCCTAGAAAAATGATATGCTTCTATTTACTTTTCAAAGTTGGCATAATCGTCAGTAACCGACTCTGGATAACCGCTAGGTAAGAAGAGTCTTCTCAGTACATTCTTCAGTGGGGAAGTGCGGATGCTCTGAAAGTATCCTTTGAGAAAAAGGTATATCTTAACTATTATTTGTAAGCAACTACTTGAAAAGTTGGAGTCTTTTCTATCGTTTGTGCAAAGACTCACTGTTCTTCTATTTCCGTTGGAATCTTTTAAAGTATATTCTTCCATCAGCGATGAATTCATTTCATAAATCTACAACTCCTCAACAACATGTTATCAATATAAACTTGAGAAATAGCATGCTTATCGATACTTTTTATTATCATCATCTCATTTTCTATTGCAAAAAGGTTTTGTCCGAAGATTCTCTACTTGCACATTTTATTTCAATTCTTTTGTCATTTAGCCTTTCCCAAAATGATTGACTTGAGTGACTCTTCTTGGTTTTTATTAGCGGTGTTCATTGTGGTAGTTTGGTGGCTAATACGAACTTACATACCTTCCTATGCCTCAGCTCTTGACTTTTTGGGGTTATCTTTAGTGGTCTCTCTTATTTTGCTCAATACTTTTATTTTTCTACATAGACTTGAAAATGCTCTCAGTTTGAGCCAATTTTTGAAGTTTTTTGCAGCAGGTGGTTTATGTGCTTGTATTACTCATGCAGCCTTTGTTCCATTAGACGTGATAAAAACTCGCCTTCAGACCAATCCTGACAAGTATAGTCGTATATGGCCCACTTTGAAACATATTTACAAGGAGGAAGGTTGCTTGATGTTGTTTCAAGGTTAGCTTTGTGTTTTGAATATGAGTTGAAAACCATTCTTAGTGTTGCAATAGGTTTCAGTGCTACTGCTATTGGATATTTTCTACACGGTGCTTTCAAGTTTTCCTTTTTTGAAGTTTTCAAGGCCTTAGTGACAGGAACGAACAAGGTTCAAACGCCCTTTGTATCCTTTTTGGTGGCTTCTGTAGCTTCCATTCTTGCTGAAACTGTTGCTTCCTTCTCTTTGTGTCCTATGGAAGCTGTAAGAATACGACTTGTTTCGGAGCCTTCGTTTGCTCGTGGTTTTGTGGATGGTCTTCCCAAAATGTGGAAAGGTGAAGGATATCGTGGGTTATACAAGGGTTTACCTTATGTATTATTGAAACAAATACCATACACGTATGGCCAATTTGTAAGTTATGAGGTTTGTATGAAACTTTTGAGTGGTACAAGTATTTCCTCTTCTGCTTCGAAGACTGTGGATTTGAGGCTCTCCGTTCTATGTGGTCTTTTTTCGGGTATTGTAGCTGCTGTAATATCACAACCAGGTGATACTTTGCTTTCTTTGGTGAATCGAGAAGGTTCAGATATGCCAGTATCTATTCACACTTTCCATATCCTAGTCAAACGTCATGGACCTCATAAGTTGTTTATAGGACTTGGTGCAAGAATGTTACTCGTTGCATGTATGTTGGCAGGCCAATTCTTCATTTACGATAGTTTGAAGGCTCTTGTGGGTGCAAGTTCTTCGCTGTCATCGCCTCCATCAACAGATGAAAATATCATCACGCAAATATCAGTACATCATTAATATCGTTATGTATACAATATAGGGATGGAAAATATCCAAAGAAGAACTTAACAAATGTCTTTAATGACTTTACGATATGCTCATTTGTTGTTGTGTTTGTGCTTCTGTGGCCTTATCTGCAGCATACTGATAATGTTTATCAAAGCCACTATCCTCATGACTGATAAACTTCCATCCATCAGGACCAATATAGTATACTAAACCCAATCTTTGTTAAGAAAATAGAATTACCTCATTTCCAACGTACCGTTGATATAACCACCACTAAAAGCATCCCTATGAGTGGCATGATAAATGGAACGTCTTCCAAGTTCGCAAGCTTCTTCCACTGACATATTCCATTTATAGCCCTGATCCAATACACCAAGTGCGTGGGTCGAACCAGAACCAACAGAAAACTTGCTACCTTTCAACCTTGTACCTTCACTATCCACATAGTAAATGTGTGGTCCTTTCTTGTCCCATCCCATAATCATGGTACCCTTCATAACAAAATGAGAACTACAGTGACCCAACAAGAAACCCTATAACCAACCATGGAAAGACCCATTCCTTTGTACTGATAGACGGTATTGCACAAGATTTTCGAAGCCGCAGCGACAGAAATGCGTTCCTTATTCTTCAGTTCAAAGATTCGACAACGCATTCCCAAATACCGCTCCCAGAAGGTACAATCTGCAGCACCTCCAGCCATAGTTCCTAACAAGTATTTGTTTATTTCGATGACCTTCTTCACTGAACCGGAACCTATGTATTGACCCATGCTTGCTCTGGAGTCAACCGCTGCAACTATACCCTCTGAGAATATAAAACTCAACGTAGTAGTACCATGATGAAACTTGACCAAGTCTTTCGGCGGACGATTATTCTAAATATCCTTTTTATCAATCCCGTTGACTTACAAGAGACATTAACTTGCCAACACATTATTCGAAAGACGAGGAGCCAAAGGTATGGCACTATACAGTTCTTCTTCTGGAACTATCCAGTCTTCTTCTATTCTATTCAACTCTTCAAAACCAAAAGTGGGGTTGAAAACGTCCAACTTCATTACAACACAAAGTCGACTAGTCACAAAAGACAACTCGAAGCACAAATTTTTGGATTTTATAAATTTCAGTTGACATACTTTCAAAACAGAATGGCTCTCTCTCTCTCTCTAGTAAGTGCTCGTTAAAGTTGGATTCATATGAGTCTCAACACTACTTGAATCTTGTGCTGAATATGCACCGTGCTTTATAAACATATATTCTGCCAACTTCCCAATGCTGTCCACTTCATAGAATAGTAACTTTAACTGTTCTAATGCCTCCCGTTCTTTTTCCATTCGAACACGTAACTGACGGTCACTAATATTCCTGTTTTCAACACCTTCAAACTCAAGTTCAAAGTTGAAACACTCTGATCCACCTGGAAGACTAAATACACTTTCAAACGCATACTTTGTTCTCTCCAAGTGAAATTGATTCGTAATAATCAATAGACGTCTCAACCTCAAAGGTTCACACAACATGAAGCGAGTAAAATATGCGTTTCCCAAAGTATCCAGTGACCACATATCCTTTACAATTTTCTGTGGATTTTGACCACCTAGTTGTATCAAGAAACGTGCACTAGCCGTTGCCTCATCTACAGGAAATCCGTGTTTATCCAAAGGAGGTGGCTTATGTGGTGTTCCTCTACTCAGTACAATAATATATTGTGCTCTATCAGCCACTTCAATGGCTCTTTCTAACCTTGCCTTTACCCAAGGCTGAGGCTGTGCAGTGGTATCCAAACCACCACCTAAAACGACAATCGCATCCCAATTCATGACTCAATGGCCTTTTTGTCTCAATGGTGTTTGAATCCTCCACGCGTTCTCACTACAAGGTTTATGGTTCAAAAACTTGAATATCAAAGAAAAAGTTCGTTTAATCAAGGTAAAAGGTTCAAGTCTATTTGTGTTGGTTACATTCCAGTATTGCATTTATGTAGAAAATGGACGGTTTGTCCTATTGTGGTCACCACTTGTTGGTTCAGCTGTTGGAATGTTGTTGAACAACACTTTGCTTTACAGCTATATCTTTTGAAAAGCAAACTCAAATTGTTGCTGTATTATCCTTTGATATATTCCACAAATATGTTGTTCGACTGGTTACTCGATCGGTTGAAAAGGTTCCAACAACGTCTCCGTCTTAACTTTTCTGATGTCATCACAAAAATAACAAATTACAAACCCTCTTTGAACTTTCCTTGGATGGACGGGCAGATTTATGTATTTCACTTTGAAAGAACAAGTCCTGAGAAAAAAACTCAGAAGCCTATGACAACAGTGGAAGAAGCATGCAATACGTTTGAAAGAAATTGTTTAAACAAATATGATGAAAGAGTGAACAGTTATAATAAATTATCAAATACAGAAGAGACGACTATGCTGCTTAACCAAGTCATCACCAAACAGCCATCGGAGAATGTCCCATCAAATGAGTCCTCAAAAGGGAATGATGACCGTCTATATATGAATTTACTGGAAGCAAAACGGATCATTGAATCTTGTATAGCTGACAAGTATAATCAGGCAGACTTTACTGAAAAGAAAACATCAACCAGTTGTCCCACATCGCCTAGTGAAACAACCGATATCGCAACTCAAAAGAGTCGTTGGTTATTCGTGTCTTACGATACGCTAACATTTTGTGAAACTTTTGCTGGACGAATAGCTATGCCTGCCTTGTTTATTTGTTTCCTCAGAGAATATTTTGAACCTGGACATCCCATGCTTACCTCTCAGATCCTATCACTTTTACCTTTACAAGTTTATGGTGATATAGCACCATCTGGATACAACCCTTATATTACTTATATTAGTGGATTGTTAAAATCCGAGACGGAAACAAGAGTCACCCAACTGGTACATGTAATCTTCAATTTGATACTGTCATCTCTTTTTGCGAAATTGAATATTGCTACCAATATTCTCAAAATCTTATTAGGCGCTTGAAATAGTCAGAAAAATAACAGTGACTTGATAACAGCATGATTGTTGAAGGTTAACATGGATATGCTGAATTCATAGGACATTATGTGTACATGAGTAGACTGCAATGGAATGATATGGATGACAAATTGATGTAGGAACAAACAATACTTAAAGTGTAGACCTAGATGAGAACAGATATTATCTAGCAATTTCTGTGAGAAAGACAGTAATCTGAGATTCCGAATCAACACGAAACATTTATTCTATACATCCCAAAAATTATAGCCACTCGTAATCTATCGCTATTATGAAGAATACAGTCGAAGCATTTTCCATTCTTCCAACTGTTTTCGTAACTTCTCGTTCTCTTTCAGAAGATTTTCTTTCTCTCTCAATAGACCAATATTTTTCAAACGCATTTCACGCAACTCCGACTCCACCGTAGCAAGTCGCTTCACAACTTCTTGTATAATATTTATAGTAAAATGTGTGGCTTCTGGATAATTCCCGTTACTCTTCACTGCTATTGTATTTGTTTCTGGTATGGATGAAACTTGTTTCATATTTCGAATAGATTGACTATTGTTCATAGAAACATCCTCTGTCAAAGGAACAACGTTCATAAAGCAAGTAGCGTCATTCTGCATATCGTTAGGAAAACTGGGTGGAACGCTCGAGTTGTCACATTTTGGCACTTGTTTAAGAGCTTGTCCTGTAGCTCCAGTATGAGAGTAGTCTTGAATTGCAGTATCATTCAAGCTAGTATGCGCACTTTGTTCATGCCAGTAATACATATAGCGGCGTCTTCGAGCAGCTGAATTCAGTAATTCTTCGGTTGCTTTCAGTTCTGACTGCAACTCTGAAGCAGCCAAAGTAGCACATTGGAGGGCTGCAGCTGAAAGATGTGGTTTGCTATTCGTATATTGCTCTGCTTCATGAATATCAAATGGAATTGGAGCCGCTTCTTTCCGACTATTATTCTCATCGCTCCCACTACTGCTAGATAAAGACCTTTGTCTTTGCTTACGAGACTCTATATCAACATCTTCACTAGTTTTCATATATGAATGGTTTCCCGTTGACATTCTTTGTCTCTTCATTGGCATGTTGTCTTTCGAATTCGCATCTTCTCTCCAATGTATCATGTCCTTCTCTTGATTATTATTATTTACTTGTTGCAACGAATGATCTAGTAGTTTAGTCTCCCTCTGTTGATGGTCGTTGTTTTGAGTTGTGCTAGACACGTTGGGCATAGGAGTACAAATTTGTTCTGCATTCGGTATCATTCTATCATCATAAAGTCTTTTGGTTTGTTTTTTGTTGCCTAGATCTTCAATCAATATATTTTTGTCGAGGCAAGTTTCCCCTACAGCTTGAGTATTACCCCTTTCGGATTCTTCACGATTGTTGAAGTTGCCTTCAGCGTTAGTAGTATGGAGCCAACTATCAAGACTTTTAAAAGAAGGCAACTTTTCTTCTCCTTCACTAATACTTTCATGGATACTTGCCTCGTGTTTTTGGTTCTCCCCAACCTGCACACAGTTGTAAACTGTTTCTCTTCGTTCTACCATAAAGTACACTCCTCCAACTACTATTCTAGTTATAAAGTCTTAGAAATTTTATATGAAAAACGAGGCTTGAAACATCATCATCCAGCTTGTGTGATACCAACGACGTTGCGCTTCCCTTCCCAACAAAGAGAGAGATGGATAGACACAGTGTAAGAATGCGACAGGAGAAAATGTCTTTTGGGTAAACCCATTCGGCTGAAGAGGAGTTTTCATCTAATTGTAGTCCTTCTTGACTGTCGATTGGACAAGGGGAAGATTCTCTCTTTTAACAACTCGTAAGTACTGTCTCCATATATGAATAAGAATTAAGCAACTTGTTTATTTCTCTTCCTACTTTACTATAGAATACGAGCATTTTGAGCAAGAAGAGGGGCATTTGAGTCCCTTGCGGTAATAAGTGGACTCAACTGCTCTTTCTTAGGTTGAATAAACTCAATATTGTTCACTCTAAGAAAAGTTATCGGCTGTCGATGAAACCATGCCCTTCGATAACGTTTCCTCTTCTTAAATCGAAAAGACACAACTTCACTGGTCAATGTTTGTTGTTCCACAGTCAACGTAACACTCGCAAAAGGTAAGTAAGGTCTACCAAACAAGGAATATTCCATAGTGCCAATAGCAAGAACACGGTCGGATACAATTTTTTCGTTGATATCCTGCTCAAGTTTTTCTGAAACAACGATATCATCAGGACATATCTTAAACTGCTTCCCTTTGAGAACTATCACAGCAAACATTCCACCGTAACCAGCCTCATACCCAATGCCACCCCACCACGAACCAGGTTCACCGTGAGTAGCATATACCGGCGGTAATATATCTACACAACTCGTACTGCCTTCTTCATTTGAAGTTTCTACACGATTGGGCCAATCGTTCACTTGAAACAATTGAATGCCGCGCTTCTCTTCCCCAGTCAACGGCGACTTTATGACACCGGGCAACTCGTCTAGCCGTTCTTCACTTGCTTCTACCAGTTTGTTGAACTGGGGTAACAAAATATTTTGAGAAAAGTTACGTCTTGACAATAAGTGAAAAGTATGGCGGCGATAACTAGTAAGCTTGAAAAAACTACTTGAGTCTAACAAGTTTCTATGACGACACAGACTCCACACCCTTTCAGCTAGTCGTGAGAGTTGCATCATAGTTCAGCGATGGAATAACCAACGTTGCAAACACAATAGACAAGACTAGAGAGCTCAACACATGAAACAATATCCTTTCCTTATGAGAGCTATACACACCAAGAATGTCTAACCTCCGTGTGCCCTGATCGATCAATCCGGAAATCTTTGTTAAGACTTATATGTTGGATGTTCCAAATAGAAATAAATAGCCTTGTGGTTGAGGTTCTCTCAGCAGAATCAAGTGAACAAAAGTATTCAATCAATATTCTGGGTTTCCTCCACTTCATTTTTATAAAGTCCAGTGTATTTCCTAAAGCATCCCATTTGGCTAAGTGATCTCCATTTCTTTAAGGTCAAAGCATGCAACGGTTTCTTTCTCTATTATTCTTATAGTATCTTGTTTCATTAAAGCGTGATCATCTTTCACTATTCTGAGTTTCCAATGAGGTGCATAACTTTCCACGAAAGCTTGAGCACTAGTGAGGGGAATCACTTGATCCTCAGAGCCATGAATCACGGTACCTTCACAAGCTACTGAAATAAACGGTGGATGTTTTTGGAGGTCTTCTACAAACTCAAAAGGGACCGAAAATGGTCTCGACTTGGGTCCAAGAAACTCTTGATATCCTTTCTATATCCAAGTGTGTGTCTTACTATCATCCATTTTGCCAAAAGTGGAAAACAACATACCTCTTTCCAATGGGAAAGTAAGTTATCGTTCGTTCCACTGTTCCATATTTCAACAAGATTAAAAGCAGGTGCTAATAGAACAAGTTTATCAACTCGCGAAGGAAAGAGACTGGCAAAACGTGCGGCAGTATACGCACCAAGGCTGGATCCAATCAGTCTCCAAGTAAACTGTACTTGGTTTGTTGTCTCCAAGATTTCAAAGTCCTTGTGCAACAACTTTGATATAGCATCTGAAACTAAAAAGTATGGTTTATCTTCTGCAATATTGAGGTCAAACAGGTGCAGTGGAATATCAAAATTGTTCTCAAGAAAACCTTTCAAATGAACTCCCTTCCAAGAATCTGGAGTACTTGCAAATCCGTGCAAGTAACCATAGTAATATCTACTCATTCTTTGAATAATCAACACTAGTACTTTATTCCCAACCCAAGAGTCTTGCAAGGATATGATAGCCAGACTGCAACTGAGAGCCTATCAAACCCACAACCACAAATGCCAATACAAAATGAATATTTCTGGCAGTGTTCTTTCCTTGTTGCATAAAAGGAGCCAACGAAGCCATGATGGACATTACTGTTACAGATCCTAACCCAGCATACAAATGGGGACCTGGAAACAGTTTTCCAGTTCGAGTGAAAGTATTTGCCTAAAAAATAGTGTAAGATATCACTTCTCAACTATATGGAAACAGCTTTTCACCATTCCTTCAAAAGTAAAAAATGTCAATACTGCCAAAAGAATAGCCGATGTCTGATAATGTCTTTGACCAAAACGACCCTTCACGAGCTGCTTTTTGGTTTCCGAGTCTGCTTCTCGAATCCTTCTCGACTGATAACCCAAATAGAAAGTATACAACGAGGTTCCTAAAACTCCAAGCATAACAAAGGGATGTACAAGGGACCCTGGTTTGCTCTTGAAAATATCTTGCAACACATCCAACGCTGAAGCTTCCGCACTTTCAGGTAGCAATAGCAATATGGCTGCCAGAATTCCTAAACTATATTGGCTGGAATATTCCTTTGACTCCACTACATCTGAGCCAGTAGGACTTGGAAGAGAAGCCTTGAATACTCCTCGATTGTTTAAAGAAACAGTGGCTGGTTTGCGGATTGGATGAAAACAAGAGTGTAGAGCATTTCGAAAGAAACTGACTCTTTTCCAAATAACTTGTTTGACATTGTGACTATAGCAAGTAGACGTACTCGTAAATCCAAGTTGCCGAGCCATGTGAGACTCAGAAACTGCACAATCTCCCCTTCTCAATAAACTTGTTCATGAGCCGCACAAGTCTTTATTTTTTGCGTTGTATCGACTTTGCCTATCCAACCTCAAGAGAAAAGAATATCAGTTGTAACTCTTCAAGTTTGGGCTTTTCACAAAGACTAATATATTCTCGTTCAATATGCTGTAGGCGAGTGCAAAGGAGAGCTTCTTTGGTAGCCAAGGCGGACAACGGGACAACCCAGAATCCTTCTGATATGTACAGTTTTCCAAAGAAAAGTGCAAGTCAACAATATTTGGATCAAATATGGAAGAACGAGAACTTGGAGGATTTTTCTGTGGAAGATGAGGAAACTGAAGAAGAAGAAGAAAAGGAAGGTAACTTTCTGTTAGATGACGAGTTTCTAAACTTGAGAACACCGAGCACATTGGTTACCAGTAATAAAGAACAACGGAATTCCATGGATGAGTGGTTCTCTTCTTCTCGAGACACTTTTGACCAAGTTGGAACTATGGAAGAAGAAGAAAGTCTCCCTTGGGTGGTTACTGTTATGAAAGCGGGAGAGGATCGAAAGGCAAAGGACATCACCGGTTTATGGGTTAGCGAGCTGACAACAATTACGTCCTTTTTAGTGAATATGTGTGGAAATAATGAGCCTCAAATTCAGGCTATTGCAAGAAATGTGGAAGGAAGTATGTGGAATATTCACCAACAAAAAGTGAAGAGGAGAACAGGGACAGCTGCCTCTGGTTGGATACTTCTTGACTATGGAGATATTATCGTCAATATAATGTCCATTTCGTTACGGAAACACTATAATTTGGAGGGTTTGNGGTACAAAGCGGAGAAATTCACCATAGAAAAGATACAAGAACTGAAAAAGTCGACAGTCTGAAACCTTCAATTGGAACAAGTCTGTTAAACGAAAACTTGGTTCGTTTAATAAAAATAAGGAACGAGACGATAAGGTACGCGACGACAGTACTCTTCCCAAAGAGCACCATATTTGTTTGCACATCGTTGTTCATCACGCATGTCTCTGTGTACTAATAATAACAAAAGATATAAAAAGTAAAAATAAGGAATAACCGTTTCTACAACATGTTATCCTTCGAAATCAAGCAAATGATCAACTACTTACTATAGCCACACGGTAAACAAAATGAAAGTGCCAATAGTAAATCTCCGGTATAATTGATATGTCTTGCAATACCCCAGAAACCAGAGACCAATAACTTCCCTCCTATACAATTGAGAACTATCTTCCATACCACGCCATCATAACTCACCGATTGTTTCCGGCTGTTTCCCCCAAATCTTAGCTTCTGGATGATGTTTGAATTGATGCTTTTGTGAATTCGAGCTACGAAACATAAAAATACCGACAAAGGCACATAAAGCAATCAATATCCATTCCCAGAATTTCATAGGAAGAAAATTATCGACTAAATAGCGACACTACATAAAAGTTAGAAAGTTATCTATGTTTGACTAAGGATTCTAACCTGAATAGAAAAGACAAATGGAATGAAAACTATGTCACCCCAAATAAGCATCAAACCAAAGTGCTCCGCAATGATATCCCAAGTTGTGGTCATCTTTACTTCATTGTAAAAGTAATCAATGATATAAAGATTGGTCAATAGCTGATAAACAACCATCCGAGCTGAAATACTCTGGTGCTGGATAAACTGGAAGAATAAATGAGAAAGATTGATAAGACACCAACCAATCATACTCGGCCTCAACCAAAAGAACTTGACGTTAATCTTCCAAATAAAGGGGTTCAGCTCACTCCCAAGAATAAAATCGGATAAGAAACTGCGATTCCTCAACCAGTTCTTCCTTCCAAATAGCTTATGCGATAAAAACAGATATGTAGCTAAACAAAGAGCAATCCAGTTTGCACTAACGAAAAGATCAAAGTAATGACGAGAAATCCAAGTTCCATCGATAACTCTGGCATAGTGACAAGTAACGAACATAGCAACGGTAGATAATAAAACTGAAAAGCCATTACACTTGTAATATAGGCGAGAACCGTCTTCTAAAGTAGAACCTGGAAACGTCTTACCAGGTAGTATTTCACCTAAGACTCTAATAACTCTACGTTAGAATGTTTGGGGTTACACCAAAACGGAAACCAACTCACGCTAGAAACAGTATGTACAAGACCGCTACAAAAGTAGTATTCTTATTTGGAAACCAATTTAAATTAAAGAATACCACAAAGTCTTTGGTTTGATAAAGCTGCTGAAATAATATAGCTATCACAAATGTACACAATAGCGAATAACCAATCAAGTTCATAACGAATGTCTATCAATGATTTTGTCAATAGGCAATTTTCAATCAATACTATTATAATCTGGCCTTGAAGGGAAAGCGGTGTTTAAGATATCGTTTTTGCTATCGACTCTTCCGTTCCTACAAAGATAAAGAAACACTAGGCTAAGGATGAAAACCTTTTATTTCTCAAGCCTTGGGCTAGTTATGGACATGTGATGTTTCAAGTATGATACCTTGTGTCTTCTTAGAATGTTGCCCTTGTCAGTATTAAAGGTATCTATTGTGAAACTAAAGTTATTTCTGAAAAAAAATTGGTTTTATTTCTAGTCTGTTCTTCCTGATTGAACGAGATAAGGATAATTATGATTGGACATGACCAAGTTTCATTTTCTCGCTTAGGCGGATTAGTTTTCTATCTTGTATTGCTTCAAACAGGTTGAACTTTGCAAGCGGACTGGGAAAAGTGATAAGATCGAGATTGGGAATAAGAATTATAACACAGAATTGCTGCTCTTTTCACAAGAACCGACCTAGCTCAGTCGGTAGAGCGCCAGACTCTTAATCTGGTGGTCGTGGGTTCGACCCCCACGGTCGGTGCTGCAAAATTTTTGTTCTAACGAAAGGACAAGACTCTTTTGTAAATTTTGTGATACAAGCTTACTTACCATTTCGACAGTACACAACTATAGTATATATTCATGTACAATGGCTTGTTTAGAAGAGAATGAACGACAAGAAATTTGATAGCGGTATATTGTAACATTCCAGTATTGGTGTATATTCATTGACGAGCTGCATATTTTCTCGTTACGAAACGTAAGTCTCTTTTTTACTGAGAAAGTATTCAAACAATACAAAAGCACACGAACTTCTAAGGATAATATTGGACTTTTTTGTCTTTTTTGTGTTGCTCAAAAAGTTACAATTTCGTTACGCTTCAAGTGAAAGAATCGCTCATTATTGGGTAAAGTGACGCAAATTGTCAGCTTCACTCAAACTTGAATTCATTCTGTGATTGTAATTTCTCGTCGTTGTTGGTCTGAAATGGTTCAGCCTTCCTCGTTTGTTACCAACTTGGTCCATTCGTCTTCGCACTGGAAAGGGACCAAGCGGCAATCAGTCTCACGAAAGAACAAGTAAGCGAACATTCACGCGGTTTATTTTTTTTAATAAGCTGTTCTTAGTGTTGCACATTTTTGTCCCAAAGAGACAAGCCGTTTCTCCCAAGCAAGTGGAAGAACAAAGTGTTGTCACAAGCATGGAAGCGAGACCTTTTATAGAAATGAAGCAGCTTCTAACAATGAACTTTCAGGAACGGCTCGAGTGGAACTTTCGGAACATAACGAGAGACTTGCGTTGAGTAGTTATCCAGCGGTGCCTTTTCCACAGCATCTATCAAGCAACCAAGCTTCCTTGTCTCTTTTGGCCACAGCAATTGTAGCTACTTTAGGGCAGTGGTTTGGGAAACTTGTTAGGAGTAAAGCGAAAGACGTGGACTTGCTTTCCCCACAATTTTTGCAAGCCAACGGTAGTGCAGGTAGTACCGATGGATCTGCTTCAGTAGGTGCAGATGGAATTGCCAAGGCTTTACCTCCCAAGAACGAGCTGAAAAAGATCCTTCCGTTGGGTGTCATGTTTTTTATGATTCTATTCAATTATACTATCCTGAGAGATACAAAAGACGTTCTCGTAGTGACAACTACAGGAGCAGAAATCATACCGTTTCTTAAAACATATGCAAATCTTCCTGGAGCAGTCTTATTTACTATTGCCTATTCAAAGTTATCGAATATGTTTGATCGGGAAACTCTATTTTATGTTTGTATCGTTCCCTTTATATTATTTTTCCTATCATTTGCTTTTGTGCTATACCCGTTGAGACATGCACTTCATCCTTATGCCTTTGTGGATTGGATAGCTGGTTATCTTCCCGCTTCCTTTTTTGCTCCTTTGGGAATCATTCGCAATTGGACTTTTGCTTTGTTCTACACCCTTGCCGAATTATGGGGATCTGTTGTTGTATCCTTGCTGTTTTGGGGTTTTGCTAATGAAGTAACTTCAGTAGATGAGGCAAAAAAGTATTATCCTCTGTTTGGCTTGGTTGCGAATGTTGCTCTTATTTTTTCAGGGCAGTATGTACGATTTGTTTCAGATATTCGTCGAAAGGTAGGCAGTTGTTGAATGTGATAAAAGTTATTGAATATTTGTAACTCATTCTTGTAGTTACCACCTGGTGTTGATGGTTGGGGTGTTTCATTGAAATATTTGATGACAATGATAGGAGTTGCTGGTTCAGTCATCATTCTTGCAATGCTATATATTCAGAAAAATGTGCTGACCGATCCCAATTGTGTGGATATGAGTAAAAGAAAGAACACTAAACAAAAGACCAAGCTGGGCTTAAAGGAGAGTGCTGTTTATCTGGCCAAGTCAGCTTATATTCGGAACTTGGCTTTGTTAGTCATTGCGTATGGTATGTCGATTAATATTGTTGAAGTATCATGGAAGAGCAAGTTGAAAGAAGCCTTTCCTGATCCTAATTCTTATTCAACCTTTATGGGTTGGTTCTCAACTTGTACTGGTTCGGTAACACTTATCATGATGCTTCTTGGTCGATTTATTTTCCGAAAGTTTGGTTGGGGATTTGCAGCTCTTATTACTCCAACTGTTTTGGGTATTACTGGCTTTTTATTCTTCTGTTTAACTCTCTTTAGTCGCCAGTTGCATCCAGTCGTTGGAATGCTTGGAACGACACCTTTGATGCTTGCAGTGCTTGTTGGTGCTGCACAAAATATTCTTTCTAAATCGAGCAAATATTCGTTGTTCGATCCTTGCAAGGAAATGGCTTATATTCCATTGGACGCTGAACAGAAATCTAAAGGAAAGGCTGCAATCGATGTAATTGGCAATCCTATGGGCAAGTCTGGTGGTTCGTTTATTCAACAGGGTCTTATTTTTGCAGTGGGTTCTTTAGCAGCCTCAACACCCTATCTTGCTTTTATATTGTTTGTTATTGTTGGTATGTGGATAGCAGCAGCTCGTTCTTTAGACAAACAGTTTCAAGAAGCCATGAAACGTTCAGAAGTTGCAGAAGTGATGGCGAAGACAGGAATCCAGGATCCTATAGAAGCCGCCAAAGTTGCAAAAGAGTCCAAACAATGAATGAAGCATGGCGTTGTGTGGTTGATTGTGGGTATTTTTGTTGAAAGAGTCGTTTAAAAGACAGATAAATCGTTTTTCTTTATGAATTTTTTTGGGTCGTGATATGGTTTGATAAATGTAAATAGAAAATCCGTTTGTTGTTGTGACAAGATGATGCCCACCATTGCTGCTAATGAATTGGTCTGTCATCAATTGATTGTACGTACGGGAGAGCTGGTGATATATATATATATATATATATATATATATATATATATGCCTGCAGCAGACATCGAGTTGTTAAAGACCTATCGAATATTATGCAAGTTAGCAAAAGCCATCCCTAGTCCGGCCATTCGAGAAGAAACACGGAGAGAAATCCGACAGTTATATCGTGATTATTATAAGAGAAACCAGGTGTGTTCTTCTCAATGTTTTCTCACTTCGTGCTTACAGCTGTACAAGTTGGAACAACTCGAAGAACTTGTTCAATCTAAATTATTTGGGTTAAAATGTATTATTCCCAAACAACTGTGGCCTCGTTGTGTCGCCCATTCCGGTCCTGAGATGGGTAACTTGACCAAGACTTTTGTTGTTCGCAACGGGAAACTGGAAGAAACGACAAGTTCAAGTCCTTATGAATATACAAGGTAGGTTCACGAATCCTTTGTTTTACGTCCAACTAACAGCAACGGAGAACTATTGACCCTGATGACTTACGACGTCATAAGGAGCTCTTGCGAAGAATGCGATATGGAAGAGTTGAATAGATGCATCCAAAATACTATTCCATTTATTCCAACTGTTCCAACCGATCGATCATTTGTTCCAATGTGTCTAGTTCCTTTTCAATAGCACGCAATAATTGCCTTTGATTCCATAAATACTCTTTCATGTAGTGGAGAGAACCACTAGGTTGAACACTCCATTGTTGTTGAGCCTTCGAAACCAACCNTTTCTTTTCCGATTGATGCCACAAAAACAAAATAAATAAAATAACAAAAATGAGAAATAGACAAACATTTTTCCAACTCAACAACATGAAACAAGATGAGCACAAACTCCGTAACTAAACAAACAAATGAGAACATACTCAAGGAAATATTATATTTATATACTTACCTGGTTTCTCTCCAATTGCTCTTCTCTCTTTGCTTTCGCATCCGTATTTTTGCCAAGCAACAAACGAATGGTATCCATAAACAATTCAAACCCTGCTCGACACTGTTTCTCTGTTTCTCTAAGAATAACACCTTTAAACATCGTTTTTTGCAAAAAGATAACAGAAAATTCTCGAATCAGCTCACATCCACCTTGTGCTTTGGCACGAATAAAGTCACGTTGATACACAAAAAAGGACTCCGAATTCGGGTTATGAAGTGTTTTTATGGTTGTTTCGATATCTAAACCAACAACAATTCCTTTTTCTGAAGTTACTTTACACCACTGCATTTCCACTACTTTAGTTTTCCAAGTCATCAAACCTGCCCAAATAGTTTTCATGTAACGAATCGAACGAGTGTAAGTCACATCCGACTGCAATTGAAAGAGAGCTTCTCCATTATGGAGTTTCTTTTTCTGTGACTTTGAAAGCTTCGAGTCATTCTTTTCATTGGGATCCAACTTCCACTTCGAAACATGAATATCCGTATTACCCAATCTTTTCTGAAAGTCGTAAGTTGCGACAGAAGTATCTGAAAATGCTAACTGAAACAGTTGTTCAACAGATATTGCAAAGGAATGATGACCGATATTTATCAAATGACCTTTGTCTGCAGGCCTCGGTATACCTTCCTCTTTTCCTGTAGCTAAATTATCTCGAGCAGCTGTGTCCCTTTCACTTGTTTTTATAGATACCGGTTTCTGAATGTCGTGATTGGTCTCTTCAGCAACTTTGTGGTAAGGCTCCATTGTAAGCGAGGAACTTGTAGTAAGTGATTTGGGAGATTCTGGATATCCTGTGCTGTCTCCGTGACTATGTGCACTTTGTGGGTCTCTTACTCTTGCTGGAAGGCGGTCTTCAAAGGCTCTTACTGCCATTATGTTCATCCAATATCGATACAAAGTTTCATATGTCTTCTCTCTCTTAAGAAAGGTAGCAAATAAATAGGGAGTTCCCTGTAATTCGATCTCAATCGCGGTATCAAAAGAAAGATAAGTTCTCTTTCTGATGGCAGTGATATCTGCAAAGGCAAAAACTCTGACTAACCGAGAACCCCAACCACCGAGAATACCAGCAGTAAAACACAAAAACTTGGGGGTAATATAAAGCCAGCCTTGTCGAAGTATATAATAATATTCCAGAGCACAGCTACAAAAATCGACTACCGGTTCTTCACTTGGTGAGGAGGTCTCTTCACTTGAAAAAGAACCATTTTGTAATAATCTTGACCACTCTTCGTCAAAGTTTTTCATAAGATTTTTTAGTTTGAGTTCATCTAAAGCCTGCTTTGGGTCGCCATGAGTGTCTGACTGTTTCTTATCTTCTCTCGTGCCTTCTTCACTTTGTCCGTCTGTACAGTTCGAGGACGTTGTTTCTTGCCATGCTTTGTCCGTCACTTGTTCTTCCAGTGAGGGCAGTGAAGACTGAACAGGAAAACTAGTAGCAGTTGGTTCGGTCTCTTTACTCTCTTCCCCTTTCCTTTCTGGAGTAACAACTGTAAGAGAGTTGACATCTCGTCTTTGAGCCAATGTTTCCATAAATCGACCTGCTGAGGGGGATTGCAGTGATAGTCTCTTCTCATAACGGAGCTCAAGTTGCGACTAGTCTTCTGTGATAGACAAGTAATATGTCAATATTACAAAAAGCTCAAATTTCCTGTTTCTTGTGTATAGGAACTCAATCTTGGTTATCGGTTTTCCGGCGAAGAAGAACACTTGTCGATGATATCGTCGTGAGTCGTTTTGGCGCCTTTTTGCAGCCGTTCACTTTAGTTAGACGATCAACAAGAGCAACCAGGAATATATTCACAACAAGAAAGTTCTGTAGTTGCTCCTTGAATCAACTTCAAGATCTATCTGTTTCACTGAATCTGGAAGAAGTAGTTGCAACTGCTAGTTTTCACTCTCCACAACAAGTACTTGACGCCCTACAGGTGGACGTACAACGTGGTCTAACAGAAGAACAAGTGAGACAACGCCAAGCAATATTTGGAAGAAACCAAGTGTTGCAAAAAGCGAGTGTCTCCTGGTGGCAACGAATAATGGAACAGTTTCAAGATCGTTTAGTATTGTTGTTATTGGCGGCTGCCTTCATTTCGTTGGTTTTGGCGTGGAATGAGCAATCGGATAACGGAACTTGGAATGTTTTTATAGAGCCTGTAGTTATCTTGACCATTCTCGTGATCAATGCTGTTATAGGAGTAGTACAACAAACCAATGCGGAGAGAGCAGTGGAAGCTTTGAAGGCATATGAGACTGATGAAGTGATTGTTATTCGAGATGCTGAAAAGTTTCCGATGGATGCGAAAGAGTTGGTTCCTGGTGATATTGTTGAGTTGAATACTGGAATGAAAGTGGCAGCAGATATGAGGATTGTGGAAATTCTCTCGAGTGTCTTGTTGGTAGACCAATCCATTTTGACGGGAGAAAGTATTTCCGCTTCCAAAGTATCCGAACCTATTCAACAAGTTTCTAATCAACGTTTGGTGATACAAGATAAAGCCAATATTCTCTTTCAAGGCACGACCATTACTCAAGGACGTTGTATTGCAGTGGTGGTTGGTATTGGCAGTGCAACTGAGTTTGGGAAGATACAATCTGATTTAAGTGACATGAGCCAGCAAAGTTTGCAGACTCCTTTGCAACAGAAATTGGATGAATTTGGTAAGTTGTTGACCAATCTAGTGTTGGTCATATGTGGAATCGTTTGGTGAGTTGTTGTTGTATTGGTAAAAGAAGGAATGACCTTTTGGATCCTTGGAACAGGATCATTCATATAGACAAGTTTTCGGAGCATGGAGGAATCATTGAAGGAGCGCTATATTACTTCAAAGTTGCAGTTGCATTAGCAGTTGCTGCAGTTCCTGAAGGACTACCTGCAGTTGTTACCACCTGTCTAGCATTGGGAGCTCAAAGAATGGCAAAAGAAAATGCTATTGTAAAGAATTTACCGTGTGTAGAAACTTTAGGCTGTACTAGTGTGATATGTTGTGATAAGACGGGTACTTTGACAACCAATCGAATGAGAGCTCAGCAAATATTTCTTGTGGATTGGCAACGAGATGAAAACTTACAGTGGATGGAGATTCAAATGGTAGAAACTTCCAATGTTGAAAATAGTGTGGAAACTACTTTTTTCAACAAACAGACGTCAGATACTATTCAACCTAGTTCGGTTCCCTCTCTTATTCAGTTGGGTTGCATTTCTAGTTTATGTAATGATGCTACCGTTAGCTTTCGTGATGGCAAGTCATATCCCTTAGGCGACCCAACGGAACTAGCATTATTATATTTAGCCGAAAAAATCGGCGTAGAACCTTTTTCTTCCGAGTCCTTTATCAATAACTTTTGTGCAAATCCTACAGACATCCAGTCAGCAAATCTTCCTGCTCGATCGTATTGGACATCTCATTATAGAAAGAGAAGAACCTTTGAATTTTCTCGCAGTCGCAAGTCGATGAGTGTGTTGGTGGAAAAACAAATTGAAAATAACGGAAAACAATTATCTTTGTTAGTAAAAGGTGCACCAGAAAATATACTGGATAGGTGCGGATATATTCAATCGTCACAAGGAAAGGTGATTCCACTTGATATTTCAAAGAAACAAACCATTCTTGAATATCTTCAAATTACATTATCCACAAGCTCTTTATCTTTGAGATGCATAGGTTTTGCTTACAAATCAGGTACAGCCGAATTGTTGTATGCTTCGAATAAGGATGATTGTGCTTATGAGGAGCTAGAAACCGACTTGATATTTATTGGTATAGTTGGAATAGCAGATCCTCCAAGAGAACAGGTAAAGGATGCCATAAGTCTGTGTAAGAGTGCTGGCATTCGAGTGATCATGGTTACGGGGGATAATCCGATTACTGCGCAAGGTGTTGCCCGTCAAATAGGATTGTTACCTTCGGAGGAAATGTCTTCATCCAGCAAGAAATTGAATGTTCTAACCAGCCACGATTTCGATCACTTGCAAACCAATTGCTCTTCTGAGTCTATCTATTCAGCTATTCGTGATTTAGTTATTTTAGCACGTGTTGAACCACTTCAAAAATTAAAACTGGTTGAGTATTTGCAAAAGGGTCATCAGATAGTTGCCATGACAGGAGATGGAGTCAACGATGCACCAGCTTTACAGAAAGCCGATATTGGTATTGCTATGGGTTCAGGGACTTGGGTAGCCAAGGCTGCTGCCAAAATTGTTTTGGTAGATGACGACTTTTCTACTATTGTTGCAGCAGTGAAGGAAGGACGTTCCATCTATATGAATTTGAAACATGTTATTCGTTATGTCATTTCGAGTAATATTGGAGAAGTTTGTTGTATTTTATTAGCTTCGGTCTTGGGAATGCCTGAAACGCTTATTCCAGTGCAGTTGTTATGGGTGAATTTGATAACAGATGGTTTACCTGCCACTGCATTATCTTTTAACGCTTCTGATTCCACTTTGATGGAGCAACCTCCTCGTTCTCCTCAAGCTCCTTTTGTGGATGGACCATTGTTATTTAGGTGAGAAAGTATTTTCATTTCTTTGTGTTGTATTTTATTATCTTCAAGATTTCTCACTGTTGGAGGTTATATTGGAGTTGCAAGTATTGGTGGTTTCGTTTATTGGTATTTGTTTTCACCCAATGGACCGCATCTTACTTGGCATGAATTGACTAGTTATGAACAAATGACTAACCTGTGGAAAAGCGACAATGAAGGCAAGACGATGGCACTCAGTGTACTAGTAATCAGTGAAATGTTCAATGCACTCAATGGATTATCCGAAAGTCAAAGTATATTTCAACTCACTCCTCTTTCCAATCCTTTGTTATTAGCTGCCATATCCATTTCAGTGACGTTGCATCTCATGATTGTTCATATTCCTTGGTTACAGCATGTCTTCTCGGTGACTCCTTTATCAGTTACCGAATGGTTGGTAGTTGTAGGACTTTCTATTCCTGTTGTAAGTATTGAGGAAGCTTTCAAATGGTTTTATCGTCAAAGAAGATGAAGAATGATTGAGTAGTGTGAAGAGGGGGGGATGTGGAGTGAGTCGTTGTTGATTCATCACTCTCTCTAAAACTTGTAATATCAATATCAATATATATATATATATATATATACATATATATATATATTTGTACTATTCCTACCTCTGAAGCTTGTCTACATCCCCTTTTACCACCTTTCTAAGAAAGGTACTATGGAGAATCGGTATCCTACTGCTTCTACCCAACACCCGATGGACAAGGAAAGAAAGGCAAAGGAAGAAGCTGAAGAAAGCGACTCATTCTTTGATGCAAGGCAAGATTCTTGTAACTTTTGTACTACTGAACTTGTCTCACTTGACTTTCCTTAGCATAATCAAGTTTCAAAAATATCAACTCGTGTCCAAGGTAACAGAACAAGAGTCAGAAATAAAGCGGTTACGGAAACAAAACCAAGAACTTTTACTCTCGTCACGCGTGTTGTTACCAACCTTGGAAAAGTGGCGAGAAAGGCTGACCAAAGTGATAAAACAGGAACATACCGAATGCAATGAAAACCAAGTAAAAAGGAGTGAAGAACACCAAGTATTGGTTCAAATACAAGAAGAACTAGAGGTACTATGGAACAATACGCAAACCAAAAGTTACTCGAAAGTTGCAGAGACAACCGTTGATGGCGCTGCTGTTGCAACAGAATCTAGTAAAATACAAAAGTTGGAAGCGGAAACGAGTCTATTGAGAGAAGAAATGGAAGAGTTGAAAGTGGAAAGAAGTTTTCTAGGCAGGCAGCTTGCAAGATTGCGTTATCAGCTGGACAACATGGTGAGTAGTCAACAAGAAGCAGAGAAGTCTACGGCTGCTAGTGCCGCTTTGAAAAAGGAAGAAGAAGAGTCCGCAAAGACAGAAGACTCTACAAAGGAACAAGAGTTATTAGCTCGATGTAAGGATGCGGAAGCTTTGGCAGACAGTCGATTAAAGGAACTGCAAGAAGCGTTAGAAGAAAGGAAGAAGTTGGTTGTAGAGTGGGAACGTTTGAAAAGTGAACGATTAGTGGCAACAGACGACGTAATAACTCAAAGTGCAGTTTACTGTTCCTTGAAAGCTGCTTTTGAAAAACTACAACTGCAACAGATAGAATGGGAAAAAGAGAAAGACAACTTGAAAAAAGAAAAGGAAGAGTTGGAACGGGTCATGGAGGAAAAATATGGCTTGCAGATTCAGAGATGGAAAAGAAGAGCATCTGAGTGGAAACAGCAGTTGGAGGACGCTATCCATGCAAGTAATGAAGCTAAAAGCCAAAGAGATCAAGCGCTTATGCGTTATGAAGCAAAAAAATTGGAAGCTGAAAACGATTCTCAAATAGAAAGTCTACGAAGATCTCTCACAATGTGGGAAACCAAGGGAGTATGTATGGATAAAAGTCTCAAGTCAAGGTAGCTGACAATTCAAAAGCAATTTTTAGAGCAAGAAAAGCAACATTTAGAGAAGCAAGTGGAGGATTGGAAACAAAAAACTCAACGTTTGGAAGAAAATGTTCTAAAGGAGATTAGGGTAAATATTCTGTTTGAGTTTTTTTCTTTGCTTAGATGCAACCATTTGTAGGATAGAAAACTTGTATCTAACGAAATTGTTGAACAGCTTCGACATGAAATCGAAGACGAAAGGAAAAAGTCGGATGAGTTGATTGGTGAAATAGAGTCGTTATCCAACATGTTTCGTGACGTGGAAGATAGTAATCGTAATTATATGAATCAGTTGATGGAGAAGGACGAACAGATATCGAAGCTATCAACCGAACGTTTAAAGCAACGTCAGCAAATCATCAGTTTGACGGAGTATAAGAAGACTATGCAAGTGAGTAGCATTTACAATGATTCAATTTTTTATATGAAACAATATGCCAAAGGTAAAAGCGAAATCAGATGAAGAAAGAATAGCAGCATTAGAAAATTCTGTTCAGGCTGCAAAGAGACATGGAGTCGAAATTCAGAATGTAAATAACAAATTGGTTCGTCGTTCCATTTTAATTGATTTAATGGTTGAAACTGTTATATAGAATGAGGAACTTCGAACGCTGAGTGCCGAAGTAGACAGACTTCGGAAGGTTTCTGAAGAACTAGGAACCAAGGCCCGTCAAGCAGAAGTTGAGAAAGAGGTTGAGTTTGAACTAAATGAGTTGAAACTTGAATGAATGGCGAGTTTGTGTTTTAGGAGATGAAGCGAATGCGTGATGTTACAGTAAGACGTTTAGAAGAAGTAGTGAATGAGTTGCAGAGTCAACGATATGAGAAGAAGCGTTTAGAGGAGCTCAAGTCACGGTTGGAAGACAAGGTATATCGATATCATCTCATTTTGTGTGAAGGTTTCTTCTTATGAGAGATTCTAGTGTCAACGTTTGGAGTCGATGCATATGGCAGGAGAAAGTGAACTTTTGAGAGACGAATTGATACAGGAATTGAGGAAGAAGCTGTATTGCTCAGTATATACCAATTTACCCAAAGATTGTGTTTTGTTGCGTTGCGGTCATTTATTTAGTCGCCAGTGTATAACAGATTTAATCACTCAACGAAACAGTAAGTGAATGATTCTCTATTTATCTATAAATAGAATAACTATGTAAAAGGAAAATGTCCAGTTTGTGGAGATCGCTTTGGAACGGAAGATTATCGTCCCGTCTACTTTTAGGAATTTCCAAATCATTCAATAAAAAGGTTATTGTTACGCACAAAGCCATTGTGGATAGAATTGGCAAGACCAGTTAGTGAACTATGAGTGACTCTTCTTCAGAAAAAAAGGGTAACTTGACAAAGAACACAGAAAAGCCCAAATTGTCAAAACTGGAAACCACAGGTGCTCCTAAAACGATACCTCCAGAACACTTTCCGGTTTCCAACAACGAAGCAACTTCTGGACAATCTACTCAGACAACCACAGTTCCTAGTCATAGAAGAAAATTGTCTTCAGCTTCTGGTGGAAGTGCCAATTCCTTATTACTTAGAGCAGGTGTTCCTAGGATGGAAGGACACCTGTGGAAGTGGACTAATTACTTGAAGGGCTGGCAACGAAGACTATTTGTTTTAGAGAATGGAGTGCTTTCATACTTTGCTGAAAGGTCTACTCCTCTTCCAGAAAATGTTTCTCCCGATAAAAATGAAGGAGTGGATAGCAGTAACTTGACTATATGCAAAGGGAGAATTAATTTGCAGTTGGCAGTGATCACCCCTCACGACACTGACCCTACTCGTTTTGCTATCGACGTGGACACCAGAATTTATCACTTGCGTGCAGACTCTAAGGAGTTACGAAACCAATGGGTGGATGCGCTGTGCAAGAGCAAATCATACTTTGAACAATTGGTCAACAGAGCAGCTATGAGATTGCAAGTTAAAAGTGCTAATAACGAAGAAAAGACGAAAAAGCCAGAGTCTGCTATAGGAAAATCCACTTTGGGGTCGAAGGAACCACCTCCAACCACAAAACAATCAGATCAAGCTGCGACTACTCGTGAATTAGCTGTGGGTCAACTATCATTGCAGGTATGATATGCTATAAGAATATGGATGGAAAACCTAATGATGTTTTTATTCTAGGATGACTTTGATGAAGCAACAAAATCGAGAAACGGATTGTTAGCAGAACTGGGTAGAGTACAGAGTCGTCTTCGTTCCTTGGATTCTAAGACAATATCTACTGCCGAAAGTTTTCTGAAAAAGTTGGAAGAAATTTTTTCCCCCGATTCTGCCAATTCTAATGCGATAGCTTTGCATACAGAAAGTACTTCAACTTCTTCTACTGTGACAAACACGTTGCAAGGCTTGACGGATACCATTAATTGGGCTATTCATGTATTGACGACTGATGAAGGTTTATGGTTGCGGCGCTTGGCTGTAGAAAAAGAACGACGAATGCATGTGGAGACTATGTTAGATACTCAAAATCGCACTACATTGGAACAAAAGGAAGTTGGTTCTCATCAAAATCTTGCCAGAACAGTTTCAGTATTTGAACATGACTTGGATGAAGACGATGGCACTGAGTTTTTTGACGCTATTGGAGATAGTGTTCGCTCTTCCATGGATTTGTTATCTCCTTCACTTGCAACAAGTGAACCCGACGAAGATAATGATGCAATATTCAGTCCTCGAACTTCATCGGGAACTTTACAACGAAGAACCAAATTGCCTCAACCCAAAGAACTGATGCAAAAGCCTTCATTTTGGTCCGTTTTGAAAGATTCGATAGGAAAAGATCTTTCTAAGATATCCATGCCAGTAACATTTAACGAGCCTTTATCTTTTTTACAAAGAATGGCTGAGGACATTGAATATAGCGAATTACTGGATAAAGCTGTTACTTTAGAGAATGAGTTTGATCGATTGCTACACGTGAGTGCCTTGGCTGTAAGTCATTATAGCTCAACTGTGGTAAGTGCTCCAGTATTTTGAAGAGTACATAAAAAGGTTTCATTCTTGATAAAAAGGGTCGAACAGGAAAACCATTCAATCCAATTTTAGGCGAAACTTATGAATTGTTTCTTCCAGAGAAGAACTTGCGCTTTGTGAGTGAACAAGTGAGTCATCATCCACCCATTAGTGCATCTCATGCGGAAGGTGGAAATAATGAATGGGTGTATTCAGCTGTTCATTTAGTAGCCAACAAGTTCTGGGGAAAGTCTATTGAAGTATTTCCTACTGGGACAGTTCATGTTTTTCTTTCCAAGTACGGTGATCATATAACTTACGAAAAAGCTACTACATGTGCTCACAATATTGTTATTGGCAATGTATGGATCGATAATTATGGAGAAATGGTATTAACCAATCATCGAACTGGTTCCTATGCAGTTGTCAAGTTAAAGAAGACTGGTTGGTTGAGTGACATGCGTTCGTATGGAGAAGTGAAATGTGTTGTTCATGATAAAAGTGGAAATCCTCAAAGGAAAATGAGTGGTTCCTGGCTAAGTCACTTAGAAGAAGAACTTCCAAATGGTAAGAACAACATTGCTCATAGAGAAGGAAAAATTTTATCTTTTCAATCAAGGTGAAAAGCGTTTGATATGGCGAGCTGCTAAGAGGCCACCTCCAGAAGACTCTGCTGGCTTTAATTTCACTTGTTTTGCTATTACTTTGAATGAACTTACGCCAAATATTGAAGAAAAGATTCCGCCGACGGATTCTAGAAGGAGACCTGATCAACGTGCCTTGGAAGAGTCTCGTTTTACGGATGCAGCCAACGAGAAACAACGGTTAGAAGAGAAACAAAGAACTTCAAGAAAGGTAAGAAATCAAAGGCTCTTTTCATTTTTGTTGTATAGTGAGTGAATGGGATGATTGGGGAATAGATGAGAGAGTCGCGAGGTGAAGAACACGTACCGTTATGGTTTGAATGGAAGTATGACGAGACAACTGAAAAGAATGATTGGAAATTCAATGGAAAGTATTATATTCATCGTAAAGAAAAGAAGTGGGATATGTGTCCGGATATATTCTAAAAAGTCGATCAGAATTGGGAAATTCTATCGAGCAAATCATCTGATAAGAAATGAGTCTTTCCTGATGGGCATTCGCTCTCCGTCTCCTTCTTTCTTTCTGCTTGTTTGTATAAAAAGTTTGCTTTTCTCCAATCAACAATAGAGCCAATAGGACAATCGAAAGGCTGTTCACATTTTGTCCAATTCGATATGGTTTGTTCATTGGTTACTTGAAATGGTTGGAAATGGTTCTCGTCACAAGATGTTGTATCATGTAATACCATTTCCTCTTTTTCCATACAATACAATAGCAGACCCCACGAAGACTTACAAGTTGACACCATTTTGCAAGTTTCCAACCACGAACTCACTGAAGCTGTAGTAGTAGTATCCAACCCTATTGAGAACTCATTCATCTTCTTCAAATATATATGAATAGAAAATTCTATCAATTGGTTCAACCATTTCAGTTCCATTTCAAATAACCATTGTCGCATTTCTACAACTATGCATCTCAACCAACCAAATATCAACGATATTCGCTTTGTTTGGTTCGTCGCCAATAATTTCCATCCTCTCACGAAGAGATACCAATATAGCCTTGTTACAAAGAATGGCCATCTTTGTTGGAATACTAGCAAAGCGTCATTCCAACGCTTCCAAATAGCTTCTACGGAAGCATTCCATTGGTAGTCTTCAGGTATCAAGTAATCATTCACCAATGCAGGAAATAGTAAGCTACCAACACTGGAGCCTGAAATATTTTTGGTTATTTGTATAGCTAATGAGCGTTTCCTTTCTTTGGAACAACCATCCTGAGAAACACAATTAGGAAGACTATCTTCGTCATGAGAATCCATACCTGTTTCGAAGAGTCCTCATATAATTGCAAGTATGACAAAATATTATGATTTATAGGGACAAGTTGTTCCCACTGCGCAAAGAAATAATGTTTCTTCAACCATTGGAGACACTCTTTGGTAGCAAATAACAAAGCTTCCCTGGAAGGCAATGCGTTGTGAGAGATATCGTGGCGCATTTCCGCAACGAATACGGGTAACCCCAACTGTGAAGCTAACCCTGTTACTGATACAGCATACGATGACTCTTGCATGTTATCCACCATTCCGTTTACCAATCGAACAATGGCACAAGCTAAAGCCAAGGAAAATATGGGCTCCGTGATAGAGTCTTGTTTCCAACATAATTCTACCAACTGAGCTCCGGAGTCCACTGCCACAGGGATGGCCATTTTTTGTCTCCAGTGGGATACAATTTGCAGTGACTCGAGTACTTGGGAAAGGTCACCTTGAAACAAGTGATCTACAACTTGGTACCACTCATCCCAGTTCTTCCATGGAAATAACTTGGCACCTGATGCTTTTAACATGGACGCCATAAAAAGAGAATGAAAATTTTACTTTCAAATACTCACGAGTCTTGACACAACTCTACACCATATTTCTCTCTCTGTCTCTTTTCCCATACATGATTAGATAGATAAGCGCATCCATCATCCAATGATAAATAAATGCAATCAACGGCGATGATGACGAGTACTTGCGAAAACACTTGTGTGTATGTTGACATATTCGTACTGTCTGAGCACTAATAGTCGTTGATAACCCAATCTTATTCAAAGAACAATTGCTAAAAATCCTACTTGGGTTTCTTCTAGTAGCCAAAATATACTTCAAGGGAACAACTCCACCAGCCACTTGTCTACAAGTTTTTATGACTGTTGTTCTCCCAAAGATAATTTCCATAAACCATCGTTGAGATAGTGAATATTTTCTACTGCCACTCCTTTGTTCACGTTTTTTACATCTTCCGTCGACAGTTTTGTGACACCTACTGCCAACGCATGTTCCTTCCCTTCAGCAAATATTCCTACCATACGATTGCTACCTAACTCTTCATCCATTCTTGCTCCAGCACTCGTTAAACCAGGACACATTATATCTGCTCCTTTTAGTATATGCCTGATGGCTCCTTTATCTACTTGTAGTCGTGGCAACAGAAAAGGATACGCGTGTAACAGACGCAAACTAGGGAAATAAGGTCCTGTTCTCAAGTTGAAAAATATTGGCTGTTCATAGTTGATCGAAATAAGATTCATATGACCATGGCACTTGATGAGTATCCACTTTTCCTTCCTCGGTAGAATATCTTCTATAAAAGGCTCTACTGAAGGAAACTGTTCCAATATTTGGTTACGGATGGACCGTTGCACTGAAGACTTGATAGGAACTTGAGAAACTATATCTCCTTGAGGATTGAACTTTTTGAACATTATCGTCTAGTATCGTCAAACTAAACTTGGCCGATTAACAACTCGACGACATGCAAGAGCAATGTGTATGTGAGTAAGAGGGAGAGAATAAAGGAATTCAAGGTTAATATGATTGTTACAGTTCTACTAGTTCGAAAACTTGGAACGCCTTGAAAAAGCAAGTCGATTTGAAAATCCTGCGTAGATAAGTATTAAGTCCAGCTTTTATAAAAGGCGAGATGGTAATCGTGTAGAATAACCCACAAACAAAAATAAATACGAAACGTGAGTTCACAATACCCTTCACAAGTCTTTTCTCCTTCCCTAACACACTCAAAGGGTACACTCCAGCTTGTACTATATAACTTTCCAACAAAAAGCAACCTAGAATATTTGTTTTTAGTTTCTCAAAATCTGTTCAAGATAAAGTTTATCACGAATCAATATCAGAAATCTCATGTATCGTCTTCATAATAGCATTCAAGGTAAAGATTCATCATCTTAGGATGCTACGAGCAGCTAAAGAAAGCAGCAACTTACCTTATGCAGTTCGAAGCGGTGGCGCAACCAATATCACACCGTCTCCACGGACGAATAACATTGGCATCTTCCTTTTCACCGCCTTTATGAGTTCTTCTCCCGTTTCATCATCCACTTCCACCTTCAACGCAGTTTCTTCAACATCGCTCAATACCAAATTCATGTGTTGATCAAAAGCCTACTAGACCCTCAACCCAAACTCTTGTGAAGGCAGCAATCATTATACACCAACCTGTAACTTTCCCCTGAGTTCTCTGTCTCCACGTAACTTGACAAGTATTTCTTCATCCAGTGCCAACAAAATTAAGTCTAGCGGTTGTTGAATCATTTATCCAATCCATTTTGCCAGGTTAGTTATGATGTAGTCTATTTTGTCAAGTGAGTGAAGATGTTGTCTACTCATCAGTGCTGATTGTATTCTCAGCATCAGTGCATTCTTTTATGATTTGCTTGACAACATTTCTCTCACTTATTTGCTTGCTATATATTTCTCTTTACTTTATGTATATATATATATATATATTTGTCTATATGTATATATCGTATGTGTTGTCCGTAACTTGGAGATTCGTTTTTTCACCCGCTAAACTTCGTGATTTGGACTTTTGGTCAATAGCTAAACACTTGCCGTTGTGATGTTGGTCAATACCAGGTTTTGCCGTCTGTGTGCCTGCCTTTAGCTGGTTTCAGACTCAGGTAGGCTCCTTTGGCTTGCGAGTATCACCCTTATGTCTTGGTTGCATGGGTTATGGAAAGTCTTGGCAGGATATTATGGGAGAGCATGTGGAAAACGAGGCCATCTTGGACACCTATGTAGAAGCAGGTGGTAACTTGTAAGTTATCTTGAAAGTTCTTTTATCATCCCTTATTTGACTTTGTAGTTTGGATATGGCCAATAAGTATAACGAAGGTGAAACTGAGGAAATCATCGGAGAGTGGATGAAGAAAAGAGGCAATAGAGAAAGAATGGTCGTAGCTACCAAGTTTAGTATAGGAATGCGGAAAAATGATCCTAATGCTGTGGGTAATCATAGAAAGAATATGGTTTCAGCCGTAAAGGACTCTTTGAGACGGTTGCAAACTGATTATATTGACTTGGTAAGTAACAGTAGCAGAATGGGATGCAACTCAGTTTGAGTAGCTTTACGTACACTTTTGGGACTTTACAACCCCGATTGAAGAAGTTATGAGTAGTTTCCACGATTTAATTTCAGCTGGAAAGGTGCACTATGTTGCTTTTTCGGATACTCCTGCGTGGGTTGTAGCAAAGGCCAATACTATTGCAGAGTTTCGTGGTTGGCCCCGTGTAGCTGCATACCAAGGAAGATACTCGCTATCAGATCGTACCATGGAAAGAGAGCTGATTCCAATGCTTAGAAGTGAGAAGATTGCACACGTCCCTTGGGGTGTTTTAGGACAAGGGAAACTTACTGGTAAATATCAGAGAGGCACGCAACCAAAGATACGAGGCGGAATCACACAAATGACTGAAAAAGATTTTCAGTTGCAAGACGTGGTTACAGATATTGCGAAGCAACTCAATGTTTCCAACAGTCAGATTGTCTTGGCATGGATGTTAAACCATCAACCTGGAACTATTCCAATAGTAGGTTGTCGAACAACAGCACAGCTAAAAGAGCATATTCAGGCACTCAATATCCGACTGAACGCTGAACAAATGGAGAGACTGAATGATGCCAGCTCTATAGAGCTCGGTTTCCCACATGACTTTATAGGTCAGACTTTTAAACAAAATCCAATCCTCAAATATCGAGGTAATGAAAATATTGAGTTGGATGATATACCTTTGCAATAAAGAATAGTGGATTGTGATTGTCGTCTTGCATAAAATTTGTCATGAAGACGATAGTTCTTTGATATATTCCAGTGACTCTTCGGGTGGATAAAACATAAAGTCATCTAGTGATCCAAATTCGCCCCTTTTCAAATTTGTCAATAAATCACTCAACTTGTATACCTGTACTACCGGATCAAAGTTTTTTTCACTATTCTTCTTCGCAGCATTCAACAAACTTTCCAGATCTTGCTTCTTCAAGAAGAGTGGAATGATCCGCTTTACTTGCGGTTGCTCCGATACTGAGCCTTCTTTCTCCTCACTCTCTTTATGGAGTGATATCTGAACTTCCAGTCTTAGTTTTTCTACTGCAAATACCGGAACGTCAGCTCGGTCAAATTTAGTTTTCAATATCAAGTCTGCAAACTCCAAATCTTCCACATTGGGTGTCAGGTGAAACCTGTCAGAGCTTGAAACATAGCTAGGGTCTATCTTCCCCTGAATAAAACGTTCTGCAACATCAAGTGTCAAAGGAAATATTTTTGTTTTCACCTCAGTGTCTTGCGAAGTCACCAACTCTTCAAACGAAACGGCGTCATCTTTATCAACAAAGAAATAGCCATCTCGTTGCTTCTCATTCATAGGACTTTCCAATAAAAACGGTTTACCTTCGCCATCGGTTACAGCAAATACTGGAATCTGCCGAAGTTTCAAGTTTATATCGTCCTCCGTTAGAACAACATCGTTGAATGCGAGATTGGACAAGTAAGGTATCAGAAGAGCAAACAGAACTGTTCCCGTTAACAAGCCACTCCACCAAGCTTTCCCTGATAACGGTCCTTTGCTGTTTTGTTGCATACGTACAGTAGTCTGGTTCTTCTTTGGGACTTTGGGGATTTCTAGAAATCCACCAGAGAAAAAGCTTCTACTTCCCAGTTGTTTTTCTTTCGAAGGAATGCACAGTCTATGTTTCTGAAAACAACAGTTACATATCTGTGAAAGACACACAACTCTGGATACGTGAAGCGGCTTTTCAATGAAAGCGAACAAGCCAAAACGACGTACCACGATTGTCTTCTGCAGTTGCCACTTCATGGAGAAATGGCGCAATTATCTAAAAAATTTTTTCTTTCGATTACGCCCCTTCTGTACTGCAAGTCTCATCTCCAAAGCGCCAATATTGAAGGACACTCCACTTCGAATGAGACATGTTCTTCGACAACAGAAATAAATATTCTTTACAGTTGGAAATACCCTGGCATAGAAAATGTGACGGAACGAAGAGTATACTTTTCACAGCGCCATCCAAAGCACTCAGAATACTAATTCGAAACGGTTCCGTGCATACTATCAACTGTTGACCACTAACATGCCAAGTTAAATATCCACAAGGAATGTCTTTCCAAGTATGACAGTTGGAACAAGCTCTTCTGGACCACTGCAACTTATAATTCGTGCAGTCTTGAGGACTTGTATATACCAAAACTGCTCCATCCCACCAACCGAGAGCCAAGCAATAAAGCTTATCCTCTTCACGATAATACAATCCAATATCCACTATCCTATCGCAAGCTGCTACTGTGACTGCTTCATGTAGAGGCATCAAAGAAGCCACCGGTTTCCAATCACCGGCTTTCTCTTCTCGTAACCAAACAGCTGCTCTACCATCTGTGGTAGCAGCTGCCACCACTCTACTATTGAGACTTACCAGACAACAACACTGATGTCCTGCAGTACCTTCTAGAAGGGTAATCAAAAGTTTCTCCTGGTTTTCCATACTACAAGGAACAATTACTACTCCACAAGCACCCGATACTAATATATCAAATTTACAACTATCACGATCAACTATAGTCAAGGCACGAGGATAAAAATGCATATCACACGAAAATATTTGTTTCCAACTTTGTTCAACCAAACGTAACACCAGCAACTGAGTATTTCGAGCCAATAACAATAAACGACCACTCTGATCAAAAGCTACACAAGAAACCCAATCTATTGCCACTTTCCAACTATTCCTAATCGAACAGTTTTCTTGTAACATTGAAGCAGTGGTCACTTCTAGAATTAACACGTAAGACACAGTAGGTACACAGAGGAAGTAAGAGCTGTCAAAAAAGGCACTTTGTATAGCATTTCGAGCAAAAAAACTAGAAACTGAATGAACGTCAATCAAGGAATCTTCTGAGAATATCATCATCGCCATTTCAAGACTAGTAAACTTCCTTCATTGCCATTTCAAGAAATTTTGGCGGGTATGTTGCTCAGCGGTGAATTGTGCTCCAAACTTTAAGGCTTCCTTTTGTTCTGGCCCTCAACCTTGAAAAGCCACTTAATAGATATATCTGGACTTCTTTCAAGACCTCAACATTGTTCCAAAGTTATATTGAAGAATAGTCACAACTTGCATATATATAGTCCTGCAAAATTCTTTCAACAACGTGAAAGTTGGGAATTCAACTCATTCCATTCCAGAAGGGTCTTATACCTGACGTAGTTCAACTTACCACTATTCAAGCTGGTTGGTCAGTTGCTCCTCAAGAGTTGGAAATAGATCCGCGGCACCCTAACTTTCAAGGTTGGTTAGCAATAAATAAGACAGAAGATGGAAAGGAGAACGTTGTTGGTTCCATCACGCTATTGTGTCACAGCGTGATTCTTGGTTGGGACTTGTGATAGTTGCTGTTCCTTTTCGTAGAAAAGGTATAGCCAGAATGTTAGTATGCGCTGCTCTGACTTTTCTTCGTCAACGGTTTGTTATTCTTGTGTTACATGAAACTTGGTTGTAAACTTTTCTAGTGTGGGTTATCCTACTTTATCTAAACTGGTAGCTAGTTCCAGGGGAGTTCCATGATATGCAGAATTTGTTCTTCCTTTCTATATGCGGTTTATGGCACTGTGTAAAATTTTTAAAAAATTCTAGTTGCTATCACCCAGTTCATAGCAACACTATGCACAGCAACTATCACTCACATATATTCTCTCGTAGTGATAATTTTCAACATGATCCTTTATGGCGTGACTTCCTTGTGCGTATTTGATGACGGAAAAGAAGAGGGTTTGAATCCTCCTTTATTAGCAGTTACTTTCGTTCGCTGGTTCGACACAACCCCTTTATTGGTCCTGTATATTCAAAGAGTCATTCTTCTAGCGTGTTTTGTTTTCAGGTCTTTTTTCATCACTTATTGAGTAATCTGTGTAATGAAACCATTGAATGTGATTTGCTTTGTCGTGCAGATAGTCAACGCTTTAGTATTCCATAAGAAACACAGTTCTTGCCTAGGAGTTTTGCCAGACCACGTCAGTTGATGATGTTTGATATAACCTCTGGTTTGAATAAAAATGATAGCATATTTCAATACAATGACTTGTCCGATAATTGTTTGGCTCCTGCATCTTGAGAATGATAAATATATTTGTGTTTATATATATATATATATATATATGTGTGTGTGTGTATGTGTATGTGTGTGTGTGTGTGTGTGTGTGTGTATGTATAAAGGAAGGAAGAATCACAAGTTCGCTAATAGAAATCAGAGATGGGAATGACTTCATGCGATGCCTGTTGTCCTAGTTGTGTTTGCCACTATTACTACTTTGTATCCCTTCAAATCATACAGTTGAAATCTTGTCGTTGTTACTGTAACAACCGAATCTATATCTGTGTTCATTCTAGGTTGGCTAGAAAATGTTGTCTTCAGAATAAACTGGGTTTCCAATCCCAGTTAAGAAGTCAGCCAGTCAGAAAGGGACCTTATTGTTCTGTACTCAGTGAACTTATCCAACAAAAAGGCTCCCAACAAGAAACTTATGATGAGGTTTTCACAAGTTATCGTGAGCAACTCGAACATGAAACTCTGAAGGCTTTGGACTGGTTTCCTATCTGTGAGAAGGTAGCTGATTTTTGTCAAACAGATAGAGTACGACTTTTTGTAGCGAATGGTATGAAAGTGAACCACTGGTCAAAAGAACAAACACAACAATATCTAATGGAGACGAACGAATGCATTCGTTTTATGGAAAGTGGGTACTCTCCTACAGATTGGATGGTAGGAGCAAACCTCTTGGAGAATATCGTCGACAGGGCACAGAAAGGAAGCTTATTGACTCCAAGAGAGTTGTATCAAATAGTCTCAACAACCTTAGCAATATCCAACTGGAAACAGAGTCTCCAGAGTCAAAGCACCAACTATCCTCTCTTATATAGGATAGTTGAAAACGTAGTTTCAATGAAAGACTTGGAAGATTCTATATGTAGGAGTGTGGATGAAAAAGAACAGATCAGAGATAATGCTTCGATACGTTTATATGAGACGCGCACACAAATTCGTAGCACGTTTGTGCATATCAGAAAAGTATTGCATAGTTTGTTGCAACAACATGAAGAGAGTTTGCAAGAACCCATTTATACCGAGCGTTTTGGTCGTTATGTGATACCTGTCAAGGCAACAAGGAGAAATAGAGTTCCTGGCATCATTCAGGATATAAGCAGCTCAGGTTCAACCCTATATATAGAACCCAATAGTATAAGAAGTCTTACCAATCGAATGCAACAGCTTCGACACATAGAAGAAGAAGCAATTGAGGAAATTCTGTTTGATTTATCCAGAAAAGTTTGTGAAAATGCTGATCATCTATTATACATTTCTCATGCCATATTTCAATTGGATTGGATATTGGCCCGTGCTCAGTTCAGTCAGCAGATAAATGGCCGATTTCCAACTATAGTAGAAAGTTTTTCAAACGCAGCCTTATCATGCAAAGTCGATGCTTGGAAATTACGCGGTGTCAGGCATCCCTTATTGGAAAGAAACTCCATTGTACCAATCGATTTTGAGGTTCGTCCTGGTGTAACTGCAGTTTGTATTACAGGACCCAACACGGGTGGGAAGACAGTTGCGCTGAAGACTTTTGGAATTGTTATTTTGATGACCAAGGTTGGTCTTTTTGTTCCTTGTGAACAAAATGATGTCCACATTCCCTTTTTTGAAGATATCTTTGCGGATGTCGGTGATCACCAGTCAGTGACTCAGTCTTTGAGTACATTTTCTAGTCATATATTGCGTATTCAGCGTATTGTACAACTATCTCATAAGCGTAGTTTGGTTTTATTGGATGAAATTGGAACTGGAACTGATCCTGTAGAGGGTTGTGCTCTTGCCATGTCGCTCTTATTGTACCTTGTGGAGCGTGTCGGTTTTCTTATGGCGACTACTCATCACGGGGAATTGAAAACACTGAAATATAAAGATGCTCGTTTTGAAAATGCAAGTGTGGAATTGGATACTTTCAGTTTGCGTCCTACCTATCGTCTTATTTGGGGTGTTGCTGGACGTAGTAGTGCAATAGCTATCGCACAAAGATTGGGTTTGGACAATTGGATTACTCAAAGTGCTCGTAGTATCGTAGAAAATGGTGTTGATAAGCTATCTCTAGCCATTGAAGATATAGAAAGAACGAAGCAACAAGTCATTGAGATGAAGGAGCAAATAGAAAGAAAGGAGAGAGAACTTGAGTGTCTTGAAAGACAATTGATGGAGAGAGAAGAGCGTATTCAACAACTCGAAAATGAATGGATAGAAACCAAGGTATGTTATGTACTTTACTACGAAGGAATGTCCTTGACTGGATATAATTTTTATTTAGAAGCAAGCATTAGAGCAAGATTTCGCCAATGCCAGAGAACAGATAGCCAAAGTGATAAAGGAAGTCCAACGATGTGGGTCAGATGCCTCATTGATTATGGAAAGGAAACAAGAATTGGAATCTCTCATGCTTGAACAGAAGAGCGCCAGTCATCATGATTCTGTATCCGGAACTAAAGTACGCAAAGGAGATTGGGTCTTAGTAAAACGGTTAAGTTCAGAACCTTTACAAGTTGTAGAAGGAATGAACAACAAAGGAGACTTTATGGTGCGTTTTGGTTCCATTCGAGTGAAAGTTTCCATCATGGAGGCAGAAGTTGTGAATGACCCAACCATTCAAAAGGTGGAGAACAGGAGTAAGCTATCTAAGAAACGTTCTACCAACTCTACACTAGTATCATCTACTTCTTCTAGCATTCGAGCCAAGTGGAATACTATTGATGTGCGAGGATGTCGAGTAGAGGAAGCTGCAGCTAAGATAGAAAATGAATTGGGTCGAAATGCGGAATGTAATCAATATTTTATTATTCATGGCTTTGGACCTCTTCGAACAGGTCTTCGACACTATTTTTATAGGCATCCGTTGATACGCCAAATGAATGACGCAGATACTGAAAACGGAGGACAAGGAGTAACTATATTGCATCTTCATATGGGATAGTGCAAGATATAACTTCTAGTGTATGCATACAATTTGACTATAACAAATTTTCACATCTTAGTAAACGTACCAGCCTTTTCAGTATCTTTCAATCGAGATCGCTTTCATCTTTTTTGCTTTGGTCTACTTCGCTTATGATATCGTTGATAGGAATCAGACTTTGGTTCCGAAGAAGAATGATTCCTTTCTCTATCATCTCCCCAATGTCTTCTCTTCATGGAAGTTTTCGAGTTTTCATTCATTTTGGATTCCTTTACTGAGTTGGGCGGAGTGACGTGAGAAAAATGGTCATCTTCTGCATCTTTCAAAGATACATTATTGTTGTCATTTATCGGAGCAAACGAATGCCTAAAAGAATGAAATGGAAACAATGGAAAAGGCCATAGTGCTGGTGTCATGTTAGGATAACTTATCGGAAAAGAAGCGACTGGCATATTCTCTGGATAATATGTTGGATTGCCCATTGGGTACAAAGCAGATAGGTTGTTCGAAGATTCTGACCACTCAGAGCTATGCTTGCGACCCACAGCTCTCCTAAAAAATAACCAATCGGTTAATATTCTATCAACATCCAAATAGAAAAATACTTACCAAGAATGCTTGCTATTCTCCTTAGGTTCCGATATACACGATGAAGTATTACCTTGCGATATGAGTTCCTTATCATGACTTGAATCATCTTGATGAGTCTCTTTCTTCGACAAATTTAGTTTATCTTTTGATGAGAAAAAGTTGTCATTGTTATTAGATATGTCTACTGCATGGTATGGGGATAATATCTCTTTAGAGTCAATATCTTCTCTTCTGCGTGAACCTATATTGGAGTCAACGGAATTGACCATATCTTGTGATGAGTCCAAATTTGGTTTCATTTCCTTTGAAACTGCATTCAATGAATCACCAACTTGATCATAAACACTATATTCCTGTTCTTGATAATTGGATTTATTCTCATCAAACTCATTTCTTATCACGTCTTCAGGTACTTGATCATTGTTCAACTCTTTCTGTGTCTCAACAAATGCTCTTTCATTATTAATACTGTCTTTCGTCAACAAAGTCGACGTCCCGTTATCTATATTACCTGCTTCTGAATCTGAACCACTTGCACCTTGTCTCTGTTCCACCATTCTTCGTAACGCAGCTGTCCTCCGACTAAATTCATCTTGGTTCGGTTTTAATGTCACAAATTCTCCTCCAGGAGTTCTTAAACCCGTTCCTCGAATAGGAGCTTCGACGCTTTGAAGCATACTGCGGGGAATACCAGTAGGTCGACGAACCTACATGGCAAGTCATCGGATACCCTTCAAGGCTTTTTACAAACAATAGCTTACCCTCACAATATCAAAATTAGGATCTCCATTAGTTGGACAGTGGTGAATCCAATGTCCAGGTTTCCCACAACGATGACAACGGTAATTAGGGGGAGGAGGTCGGTCAAACACGGGATTATGTTGATTAAACCGCGGTCGTTGAGTAAATGTAACGCTACTGGAGTCGACAACGGAACTAATTCGTTCATCCTCTCCCTCTCCTTCCACTTCTCTTGGTTGCTCCTTACCAGTTACCGCAGCACGCTTGGCTTTGTCTCCCAACGAACTATCTGCACCACTGTTTTTCACCAAATCTTTCTCCGCATATCTTTCGTTTCTTCGTGCCAACGTCTGCTGCGAAAGGATACCTCCCGGTTTTTGCCCGGGTACCCTCTTTATCACCACTGAAGTGTTCTTTGGAATCAGTGTAGACTCGTCCGTATATTCTAATACTAAGTTCAGCTTCTCTCAACAAAAAGCCAAAAATACATACCTTCGTTGGTTTGGGCATCGGTTATAACCAAGTCAAAACCGTCCCCATAATTTAACTTTCGCTTTTCCACTACCAAAAGTTTCAAGTCCGAAACTTTTAAGAAATCGCCTTCAAAAGACAGCGTCGAAAAGTCTTTTTCTGACTTCATCTTGAAATGAATAGCAGACGCCATCTTTCACTGTAACCAAAGAAAACACTCAAAGAACTGCTTGCCAACCTACACAGAAAATTCCCTCGAAAATCAATCAAGCTGCGACGTACGAGCACCAATGGATGTTTTATAGCCTATTTAAATGAAGACCGCCCTTTAGAATTTTGTTCATCACTACATTCATCCACTGACTTCGATCAACAAAGAGAAATACACATGGCAGATTTTAAGGTAAACAAAAAATAAATCATCCATAGATCAACACAAAGAAATGCAAGAAAAGCATCATGTCTAAAATAAATAGTTAATTTGCCTACAACAAAAATTCTTTTTGAAAGGGAATAATAGCTTCGACGAAACGCTCATGTGCAACAAAAAAATGGGAGAAACCTTGCAAGGTATTCACTGAGTCAAACGTCACATTCTCAAGCTCAGGATGTCCAGAAAAGTTGGTGATTTAAAAATTTCATGTTTCACTAACGCGGCTACCTCTGCGTATCCATATCCATAGGTACTAAATTACCTCTTGACTTAATTGGGGTGACTTTTTCTTAAGCAGTCTTTACTTTATTGCTAGATTTCGGTTTGAAGACATAATAACGGCTGGAATTCCTGTACTACACCAGTCTCAGTGGTTACACCAAAAGCTAAATGGTTGCCATTTCAAGTGGACGACCAAAAAATTTTAAAAAAATTAACAGGAATGAAAATAAGAAGAACAATCAATCTCATTCCCAAAAAAAAATTTAATCGATTTCCTTTTAAAATAAAACTCATAAGAGTTAAACAACTGTAACTCGGAAACTCTCGTAATTGAAAAAATTACAAAATTACTGAACTAAAATAAATATTACAGTAATAAATATACCAACTTTTTAAATTTTTTAAGTAAATATTGCAATTGAATTTTTTTCTAGGGTTTTTATTTTAAGAATGAGCTTGAATCTTTTGCAAACAGCATTGAAAGAATGCCAAATTTAATTTTTTTTTAAAATAATAATGTAGAAATTAGATTGAAACCAAAATTGGATTTTATTAGTAAAATAATATCAAAAAACCCTCAAGTTGTTCTTCGCAAACAAGAATTTTTTTGAAGACTTTGCGTTTAAGAAACCAAAACGCCTATAACTCAATACAATGATGTCCTAGGATTCTCCTTTTTCAAATGGCTGCCTTATTTCTTTATATCTAGCTTTTGTTAAAACAAAGTCTTTTTCCTATCTCACAAGGAGCAGTTAGAGGTGGTTTCTTTTGAAGTTTAAGGTATGTTTAGGTCATTTAAAAGAATTTTTTTAAGATTGGCTTTATAGAGATCGTAAAAATTGACTTTGCCATTGCGAAGAGTTTAGAAGACAATTTACTTGTTTGTGTCCAGAAAGTTTTTCGCAATTAAATATATTGGATGCCTTGTAATGCCTCTCGTTAGGTTTTCTTCGTGGCTATGTAAATTTCTTGCTTTCTAAAACAATGTGGTGTTCACGGCATACGCAAGATCAAAATATCAAATGTTTCTACAGGTCTGAATTGATGCTTATTTTATTCTCTAAAGTTTCTGACGCGAAGCACCTTACTCTGGCAGTTTTACATTTCGGTATACTGAGGCGTCAAGCTATTTTAGAATTGTGACGAACCAAACTTCTAAAAGGAAAATGTAAATAAATGGCCACAATTTCATTCATTAGTCTCTATTTTTGCTAGAGGACCTGAAACTCTTAAATATCATGAAGAGACAGAGTTCGAAGGCTGTTGAAAACCTCAATGGGGAAAAGGGAATGGTCTGCATGAATTCCACGTGGAGCTTGGTTAGTTTTCGGGCCAATCAATTCTCTAATTGGTTGGACAACCAATTGCTCTAATCAAAAATAATTACAGGAACTAAGGCCAATTCATTGATCTGCGCTTTTCGTTCCACGTTTTGAGTCATACTCGAGTGGTGCGTATCGCCCACTTGCCTGTAACACTCAAACACCTCCAGCCTAGTGTATTGAAGTTGTGTAAGGGACTGGTATCACTTGGTTGAAAATAGTCTTGTTTCAAGGTCCGTTCACCCTTTTTGTATGTAGTTGTCGACTTTACTTCTATGTAATAGATAGAACTGTGTATGATAACAGAAGTAGACAACCCTATGAGTTTTGTGCACTCGGAGCACTTTATGAACTACAGTTCAGCAGTTTCTTGCTTGGCCAAAGTAGCCATGGAGTCTCAACATGCTTGTGGACAAGCTAAATATACCACTTTATCCAGAACTGAGCCTTTATCTGAAGAGTCTTCCCAAGTTTGTCGTTCTGCTCAACAAGATAGTTTTTCTCAAGTGAGTGTAAACGATTCAACAGTAGAAAAAATCTCGAAACCTTCAGTTGGTATTGAGCAATCCAACTTTATTTGTGAGAGAAAGGGGTCAGGCGAAGGAATCGAAGACTTTAATTCTAGTAATTCTTTGCAATCTAAACAACAGCGAAATGTGCTCCAACCAGTTCAAGTCAAAGAAGACATATACCAGCTCTCAACGGAAGAACACAATGATATTACCCAATTTTCTTATGACCCAGGTAATCCTATAGCTTCCTGTTGGAGTATCCAATTATTTACTTTTCGTTTTAGGACTTTCGGAAGGTTATGCCTTGAAGGACAACTGTAGTCCTCGAGCACCCAATTTTTGTGCCTTGGAGCCTATTTTCGCTGTGCACAGTTCTGCGGTGCAAGATACTTCCATGATCCCCATTTTATTGTATACAAATCAGTTTCCGTCAAGTCCAAACACCACATTTCCTGTGCATGACCAAGTTTCTTGGACGAATTGGTTTCATCCTTCGTTACTGTCTTCTTCAACATGGAAAATATCGAATTCGAAGTCACGTGACCATACGATTCCATGGAATGAACCCGAGTCGAAAGTGAGTTGCAATGATCTGTACAAGACAGAGTTGTAAGTAAGGTTGAATGAAGTAGGTTTGAATTACTAAAGTATTCTCAATAGATGCCGCTCTTTTATGGAAACTGGTTTCTGTAGATATCACTCCAAGTGTCAATTTGCTCATGGAGTGGAGGAGTTGCGACCTGTGAAGCGTCATCCGAAATATAAGACTAGATTATGTAAGAATTTTGTAGAGGTGAGTTTTGCCGCTAAGCTTTCTATATGAGCTTAGAGAAAGCTGTAGAATGGAACATGTCCATACGGAAGTCGATGTCGCTTTATTCATGGTTCTTCTGGTGCATCTTCGTTTGAAGGATTGCAAACTGATTTATTATTAGCTGTTCAAGGCATTTCTTTGGGAAAGGAAAGGCGTCACAGCAGGTTACCTGTGTTTCAAACGTTGGAAGTAAGAAGTTGTTTTGAACGGAAGCATTTGGTAGCTCACATTGTTTAGGAAAAATCCGATATTCATTCCAAGTGAGAACACTTTTGCTGTCTCTTTTCCTATTTTTGTGTCAATTGTAGACACTTTGTTAATTTATGGATGGTTTGTCATATTTCTGTAATAAATATCAAGTCGTGGTAGTGGTTATAAGGATATCCAAAATATTTTTTATTTAAGCTGTCACTGGAAATTGAAATATCGCATCCTTTCCAGTCAACTTTTTATATGCCAGTTTCAATGCATCCAACTTGTGTTCCACATTGTGTTGTTCTCTCGGATCCAACAATACTATGGCAACTCTAGAACCATCTTGACGAAACCTGATTCTCTTTCCCACAATCTCCACTGGGTGTAATATATCCTCCAATATTTTCTCATGTACTGCAGTAAGTGTTTTGCTAATAGGCCTTTTTCTAGCCAAAGCTTGTCTCCCTTTCTTTTCTTTGGGTAGGATTTTCCGTCTCGCAACAAACACGATTACTTTACCAGAAAACTTTTTTTCCAATTCTCGAACCAATTTGGTATGTACTTTTCGGTAGTGATGGATTACTCTCAAAGGAATTTGAACTACGATAACTTTGTTTTCACCTGTTCCTTGAAACTCTTTGGCACCTACAAACACCAAATCCTGCAAGTCTGGGTCGGACGAACCGTTGGATAGATCTACTAGTGCTTGAGCTAACGAGGTTTCTAGTGCATCGGGATGTTTGCCTTGTTCTCTATGTATTTTACCACCTGGGCCCATATGAGTTATCTTTATCTTCTTTCCTCGTTGCATTGAATAAAACTCTGCGACGACGACGTAACACCAAATACGAAAACAAAAGTTGTCGTCGATGAGAAATAAATTCCGATTGAAGGGAGAATGATTCGAAGTTCGCATCCGAGGTTGGATTTCTGGTTAAGTATGTAAGGATTCCTTTAGAAATGTAACACTCACGTAGAACTGGATGATTCAGCTGTAGTATTTACACTTGTGGGTTGGATTGCACTGTTGTGGTTCTTGTTGTAAGTAGAGGAAATCTGTGGGTGATAGAACCAGTAACTCACTAGCGCTCTTCTAGGCAGTTGGCTATAGCTACTGCTTATCGTCGCAGTTGGAAACAAGAGTGGCTTTCTATGCTCACTGCAGCCATAGGATTGGGACAAGGTTTGATATTTGCTTTGATATACAATGGACAAAGTTTATGAGAAGATATATACATATGCCCCTTTTTCTGTTACCGTTTGATAAAGAAAGGCCGTTATTCTGTATGATTTGCAACAGAAGATGATGGACTGGATGGAATATGAAATATCTTTCTAGTCGCATCTCTCACCCGATGCGCTCCTATTTGAAAAAGATTGTTATCCGACTCAATACCTTTCTTTACTGCTGGACTCGCTTGTCCAAAAAATAACTTCAAACTCTCTCGAATGGTAGCCATCATCAGATCCTTTTCTCTCATTCAGCAACTCGCAACATATACATCATAAATAATTACTTACTCTGTCTGCACTCGTACGAGTATAAAAACAATGCTCTTCCATCTCTTCGACTTGAGTATCCTCTGCTTTGGAATCCATCACGTAAGAAGGAAAACGCAACTTGAAAGCAAAACAAGGGCTCGAGGTTTCCAATTCTAAAGTAATGTCCGTAACTTGTTTACATCGTTCATAATACAGCTGAACAACTCGATAAGAGTTAACAGAATGATATGAAAACTTGGTCTTGTGTCTTTTGATGATAATAGAAACGGGCACTAGAACAGAATTGAGAAACGTTTCCTATTCCATAATAAAGACTTGCCTCTTTGTTGTTCTTCTTCTTCTTCTTCTTCTCTTCTTCTTCTTGATGACCTATTATTCTCTTTGCAAACATAAAATGCATCAAATTCTGCTCTCCCACTTTTCAATAAGGAAACCATTACTTTCAACAAGTCGGGGTCATATTCTATAGTCACAGAATGAGAAGTCGCTACAACAGGACCACGCATACGTTGCTATTACAACCAACAATTGTAAGCAATCACCACAACACAAACCCTAACAACTATTTCATACTTACCCAATGACACTCTGCAATCAACTGATAACCGATATCATCAATAGTTGGGACATATACAGGTGAATTGGAGTTTGCAATGGGTTGTGCTTTTTCCATCAGTGGATTATCTTCTTCATCCACTGGCACTTTCAACCAAGTGATGAACATATTTCCTATCCACACACGGGCAGTTTGTTGATGTCCCGTGTAACCTGCACCATCCACTCGCATTTGGATAGGCCCAAAGTTGTCCTGGTTCGTACAAATAGGCGTATCAACAAAGCATTTCTTTCTCAAGTCTTCACATAATTGCTCACTTTTGTGTAATTGATGGGTCAACTGTTCTATTCTTTCTTGTAATAGGTCCATTTCGGTTTGTGCTCTTTCCAACGCGGCTTCTTTTTCCTTGACCAAGGATGACAACAAAAAGTCTTTTGAGTTGTTGGTTGTTTTGTTATTATCTTCAGGAAGGGTAACTGTTTCACGTGTAGAATAAGTAAAAGAAGAAGACCTCGGACGACTCAAGCCAAACCACATCGTTTCCTCCTCTGATTGATTGGACAACATTCCTCTTTGAAGAACAGCAGCAATGGAATGAAAAAGTCAACCAAAAGAAGCAACGCCGTTAAAGAGGAAATCATACAAAGTAGATTAGAATATTTATGGAACGCTGCTTTGAGCTATGGGACCACTATACCGGGTATTTCACGTTATTATGTGGCCATCATGTGGGAGGTAAGTTGATTGTGGACAACTTGCGTGGTGGTTGAGTTTGATGAGCATAATAGATGGGAAAAAGACTCAATTACCGACTAGATAGTCATACTGTAAAGCGTTACTTTTGTAAAAAGTGTTATACAATATGGATACCTGGAAAAACAGTTCAAATACGTCAAACAAGGCATAAAAAGAGAAGACGGGTGATTTACACTTGTTTGTTTTGTGAACGGTGTAAGAGATATGGATTTTCTCCGAGTACAAGTCAATAAAGGTGGTAAAGTTTTCTTTATGTACACAGTGTCTCAACCCATACAGTAGCTGATGCAAAGCGTTTTTATCTTTTCAACATATCTATTGAGCGATAAATAGAACCAATAAAGGAATCAATTTCTTCTTTGGTGTTGTACATATAAAGAGATGCTCGTGCAGAACCTGAAATGCCTAAAGATCGATGAAGTAGTTGAGCACAATGATGACCACTGCGAATGGCAACTCCTTCCAAATCCAATATCGAAGCCAAGTCACTGGCATGAATGCCTTGAATATTAAAAGAGCACAAAGCTACACGTCTCTTCACATCTTTTGGTCCATAAATAGTAACATTAGGAATATCTATGAGATGGCGATAGAGATATTCTGATAAACACCTTTCATAGGAATGAATAACATCCATTCCAATACTTTGTAAATATTCAACTGCTGCTCCCAACCCAACGGCTTCAGCAATAGCAGGAGTTCCAGCTTCCAACTTGTGAGGCAAAACTGCAAAAGTTGAGTAGTCCTCATAAACATCGGCAATCATTTCACCTCCTCCTAGGAAAGGTGACATATTCTCTAATAAAGATTCCTTTCCATAAAGAAAACCAATTCCAGTAGGTCCACACATCTTATGTCCCGAAGCTACCAGAAAGTCACAATCTAAATCGACCACATTCACTGGCATATGAGGAACACTTTGACAAGCATCTACTAAAACCAAAGCACCCGCAGAATGTGCCCAACGAGTGATTGGTTTGATATCGTTGATAAACCCCAACACGTTGGAAACATGAGAACAAGCAACCAACCGAACTTTGCCAGATTCTAATAACATTTTGAAGCTTTCCAAACTGTCCTGTTCTTGGTTATCCAAAACAACATATTTCAAAATAGCTCCGGTACGTGAAGCTATTAGTTGCCAAGGGACAATATTGCTGTGGTGATTACTGATAGCTAAAATCAACTCATCTCCAGGTTTTAAGTTATGAAGACCCCAAGCATATGCTACTAAATTGATTGCTTCGGTTGCATTTCTAGTAAAGATGATTTGCTCTCTGGACTCTGCCCCAATAAAGTGTTGAAGTATCTGTCTTGCACGTTCATATGCTTCGGTAGCTCTTGAAGATAAAGTGTGCGCTCCTCGGTGGACATTGGCGTTGTTATGTAAATAATACTTTTGTAAAGCTTCTAAAACGACCAAGGGTTTCTGGGAAGTCGCTGCAGAGTCCAAGTACACGAGTTTTTTGTTTTCTATAGTCTTTATGAAACTTGAGCAACTGAGGCTAAAAAAGTATATAGACTTACTTGCTGCAGAATGGGAAAGTCTTCTCTTTTCACTGGACACTGAAGGTTGTTTAAAGTATCAGAATAGGGGGATGAGAGTAAAGTGGCACAAGTCAGCAACCTTTGAGGACGCAAGGAACGCAACCTCTTTACAGAAAAACTGGGACTACACCACCTTTTACCAAATACATTTTCTTCTTTGAAACCACATTGAGTTACAAACGAACAAGAAGTCTTCCAACCACCACAACGATTCATCGCACAATGAGTCATCAATGAAAAGCAACTTGCATCTCTCCTTCCACAACCACTTTTCTTTCGTCGTAGGATAATTACTGCTCTTGGTTTCCACATAGAGTTGACTGGTTGAACAAAATGTATACTTCCAAAAACGACCAAGGCTATTCTACTCCACAACACATTCTATTTGAATCATAATAAATAGATGAAATACACAATTCAGAAATAAAGAGGAAAGAACGTCTGTGAAGAAGTTTTCAAGAAATGACACAAAAGCAACATGATATATATAGCAATGGCAATGATGAAGAAAGATGGAAGGAATAGTAGTAATTATTATTATTATTGTTGTTATTGTTTTGGTGGTGGTGGTGGTGGGAAAGACCATCTTTGGATATGGAACAAGAAGAGTTGAACAACTTGACCAAGGAGAGGACGGAGAGTAAAAGGAAGAACAATAGAAAGAAAAAGAAGAAGAAGGAAAACGGAGTGAACGGTAGCTCTAAGGTGACAGAAGGTGATACTCAACCTGTACCTCAAGACGTCGAAACAAAGGAAGATTGGGTCGGCTTGAGTAAAGTATTTACGAAAGGAGTGTATCCTGTGGGTGAAGTTCAAGAATATAAAGATAAAAATACTTACAGGTGAGAAATATCAAGTACGAAAACTAGTAATATTGAATTAGAACTTGAAGGAAAACGAGTGAGGAGCTTCGTGAACGTGAAAGGTTGGAAAGGTTGGTAACCCTCAAGTTTTTGGAAAAGTTGTAAAGAGTTGCTATAGTGATTTTTACAACTCGTTCCGAAGAGCAGCAGAAGCCCACAGGAGAGTGAGACAGTATATACTTCCCTATATTAAGCCTGTACGTATTTATTTTCTGTCTCCTTTAGAGCTGTGTTATATCTCTTTTTTAGGGAATCAAACTTATAGATATGTGTGAAAGACTGGAGAATGCTTCGAGAACTTTTATAGAAGAAGATGAGCTCAAGGCTGGTATTGCATTTCCAACTGGCTGTTCCTTAAATCACGTGGCTGCTCATTACACTCCCAACTCCGGAGATGATACGGTGTTACAATATGGAGATGTTATGAAACTTGACTTTGGAATTCACGTCAATGGCCATATCATAGACTCTGCATTTACCATTGCCTTTGATTCAAAATATGACAATTTGTTACAAGCAGTGAAGGAAGCCACGAATACTGGCATCAAAGAAGCAGGTATCGATGTGCGACTGTGTGACATAGGAGCAGCCATTCAAGAAGTTATGGAAAGCTATGAAGTCGAAATCAATGGCAAAGTATTTCCTGTTAAGTGTATTCGCAATTTAAATGGACACAGTATTGGAAATTATCAAATACATGCAGGAAAGAGCGTACCTATAGTGAAAGGTGGGGATCAAACGAAGATGGAAGAAAATGAAGTTTATGCCATTGAGACCTTTGGATCTACTGGTCGTGGATATATTCGAGAAGATGGAGAATGTAGCCATTATATGAAACGAATAGATGCAGGTCACGTTCCTTTACGTGTTGCTCGAGCAAAGTCTTTGCTAAATACGATCAATAAGCACTTCGGTACTCTTGCCTTTTGTCGCAGATATTTGGATCGTCTAGGCGAGACCAGATATTTGTTGGCTTTAAAGAATCTTTGTGAAAGTGGTATTGTGGAGCCTTATCCTCCATTATGTGATGTGCGAGGTTGTTACACTGCACAATTTGAACATACCATCCTGTTAAGACCAACTTGCAAGGAAGTTATTTCCAGAGGGGAAGATTATTGAATAAATAATATTATATCTTTGCTTACAATGGAGTCAGGAAAGACAAGAGACTTTTGCAAGTTGATTTATAAGAGAGATATTCATCGACCCCTTAACGACGCCTTTGGTCATAAGTATCCATAAAGTCATCGTTTGACTGTTGCCCATTAAACTGTAGCCATAACAAAAACACCAAGATAGGAATGATGGTCAATACAACCAATACTCGTGGATCATCCACACCCAGAGGCTGTTATAGAGTTTAGTTACAACGTTTGAAAAAGGTGGAGCTGAACTTACTTCTCCTGTACCTTCTGTGGCAAGACAACGATTGGAATATGCAAATAAGGAGGCCACTACAGAAGAAACTTGGAACCATGAAGAGATATTCGTTTTCCAATGAGGAAAAGCAATTGCCTTGATATGAGCAAGACTGTTGTTGCTATCAATATTGGGGTTTTTCTGGCAACGAAGACTTCTCTTTATACCTTGGAATGGAAGCTTGTGATAGGAAGAAAAAGTATGGATAAAGGCATTCATGATCAGTTCTCCAAACGAGATTGGGGAAGAAGAAGGATGGAATGAATGAATGGCTAAGATAGATGATCGAATGGCTCTCTTTGAAAGATTGCCTTCTCGGCGGAAGCCATTCATACATTGAGAATATCAAACGAATTGGACAATACAACCCTGTGAAATGGGTAACAGGTTGTCATCCTTGTTCCCTTTTGACACTAGGGAAGCGTAATAAGAAGAAGATTTCTATATAACAATAGGAAATGAAGAGTCACGGTTCAGGACTGAATTGTAAAGTTATAATATATATTTCATTTTTTGTTGATATTTTATTGTTAGGTATGGGAAATGGTTTCCAATTTTGTGAAAAAACACTCGTCGGTTGCGATAAATATATTGATAATGTTTTTTCATAGTTTACAATGTTCTTCAGCCTTCACAACATGACTTATAGAGTGGAAATCAACCCTTTTCATAGAATAAAACAGATAGCTTGTGATATCATTTTGTTATGATATCTGGGAAATCACCAGGAATTTCCAAAATACAAAATACAATGATGCAAATCCATTTGATGGATTGTGTTACATAGTTTTATTTTTGGATATGAAAAATGGCAAATGCATTTCGATTTTCAAATCCATCCTTTCGCGGGGAAGGCAGTTAATTGGGAGGAAGAAGAGAGAAGAGACGGATAAGAAATGCAACAAGTATGTATTCTTTCGAGATGTCATAGGCTCCTAAAGAGACGAGACTATGTGTATAGGAAGACCTTGTTACTTTGCAACAGCTAAACACATTCACTTGCCATTTGAACGAAAGCTTTCAACAGATTGAGGTACCCTTGATGAATACTGTATAAGATTGGCCGTGACTTGTACATATAGGAAAGACTAAAAGTTCTGGAACTAAAAGCAACAAGACTTGAAGAAACAACTGATAGATGGGACAAATGGTTAAGAAGCATTGGCAAATTAAGGTATGTATATACTTCACTTCTTCAGTGGTCAAGTCACTGTGTTGAACCCTTAGGATGAAGCAACGACAAGAAAACACAAAACTTGGCACCAAAAAATTGCCAACCAACTAAGCGAACCTTAAGAAAAATAAAACATACACTCTCAATAAACGACCATGTCTTTATAAAGCATGTTTGAAAAAAAGCTTTCGAGAAAAGGATCACAAACCGGGAATTTCTGTCCTTTCCGTGGTTTCTTCCAAAGGACGTTCAACTTTCATTCCTGCGTCTTCTTCGATTCCACTTTCGGTATGAAGCTCCATGAGTTTGGCAATATCCAACCTTGGAGCTCTTAACATTTTCACCTTACGGATATGAACATTTTGTAAAGGAAAAATAGAGGCACAAGCCTTTTCAATATCACTTCCAATGGTTTCTGGAATAAACTTGTGAACCAATTCCTTCAGTTCACAAGAACTTGCTTCTCGCACCATAATCTCCGTCATCTTCTTTCTAATGGCCCTAATTTTGGAAGTCTGTGCATAACACGTCTTTTTTACTTGACCCTTTCGGCGTTTCGTAAAGCCAATGCAAAACAACCGTAGTAAGTAACCGTCGGTGGTCTTCACATCCACGTGTGCTTCGATAAGCGACTGCCACTTGCGAATAAGACCACAAAGTTTATCTCGAGCAAAGTCCATTCCATAAAAGTTGGTCAGGCAGTTTCTTCCTTCTACTTCCTCGCAACGCAATCTGATTTTTCTATAGGCCAAACTCTCGTCTTTGTTACTACTGAGGTCCGCTAGACAAACATCATATACTCTGCCTTTCAAGGAGTCTGCAGCAATTTTGGTTCCTGTCGTCTTAGTAACCAAAGTTTTGCCAACTTGCCGTTGAGAAAACATTGCTGGGGCCTTTATGTCGTACCATTCCTTTCTGAGAAAGGGATCTGTCAATCTCTTCTTCAAACCCTTGCCCTTTTTTGAAAGACGTTTATTTTTCCCTATTGCCTATACAAGGTTAGAATAAAATCAAAAAAAGAGTACAGCTCCACAATACCATATTCTACTAGTGCTGCCTACAAACAGCTCTTCAAATGCAGTCCAAGTTAATCGACGACGACGAAATCAAAAATCGAATGAAATGTGCTAAGAAGAATAAAATTATTTTATGGAAAAGTTGTCATTGTCTCTCTTACTTCCAAATACTACAAACGCAGTAAACACTTACAAAAGCTTTAATCCTCTTCCACTATCTCTCTTACGAATATCTCGAGGTGCAAACCACTCTTCGGATGTATCAGAACTTTGAACTTGTGATAAATTCTTTTCTGCTTTAGAAAGCGCAGCTTCTAATTCACGTATAACAGCGTCTTTGTTTCTGGAAGACTCGGAAAACAACTTTTCCATTTCGTCTACATCATTTAACTAATACAAACAGTGAAAAACAGTGAAATACGTATCCAAACGAACTTTACCAGCATTCGGTTCTTTTCCTTCAAATACTTTATCTGTTCCTTGTCTTCATCTAGTGCCTTTTCGTATTCCTCGGACTTCTAAGAAAATATTTGAAAAGAGTCAAAAGCTAAAAAAATTGCACATACTTGCTTATATAATTTCAGTTGCTCTATTTCTGCTCTTGCCTCTTCCAACTGCTTTCTCAACTTGTCATTCTCTTGTCTGGCTCGTCTATCTTCAGTTCGTATTCGAAAAGAATAAATTCTACCTCCAGCATCTCGAGCCTTCTCAACTGCTACAGAAGCCTTTTCAAAGTCCTCTTTTGTATTCTTATCCAATATATTCACACCAAGTATATCTGCAGTATCATCTTCCACAGCAGATTCACCAACAATGGCATTCCAAACATGAAATAACCAACCACTACTTGCACAAGAACTGTCATCTTCATTGGCACTTTCTGTGTCGTTGATATTTGATGACTCTATTGCATTCTTTACAACACTTTCTATCAGTGTATTGGTACCTATATCCGAAGTGACCTGTGGATCTTGCACATCTTGAGAAAATACTCGCTTCAGAAATGCCAACTGTCTATCGCTATAAGTTAGAAAGAACTCATCCAATTCTACTTCTATATCAGTGAGCGAAGGTGACTTTAACTGGCTAGTTGTTGAAAGTGCAAGACGAATTTCAAAGTTCAGTCCATCAACAAGTGGAACACGTTCTGTTGATAACTTGACTCTGCTTTGCGAAGTGATTGAAAGACCGGAAACACGAAATACTTTTCGAAACAGAAACGGACTTCCATAAGAAGCGTCCATGACTGGATGGCTACTCATATTCCAGTTTGCGTCAGCTGAAAACGTTATTACGGAAGCTACTCGAATGCAGACTTCGCAGTCGTTATCTTGATAGGTAAAACATATATTGTAGAGTTCTAAAAAGACATTTGCTCCAAGTCTTCCTAGTTTTGTAGTGTACCACTTGGTTGTTTCTTCGTCTACTTCATCAGCACCTACGAGTTCCGAACTTTTCAGTTTTTCTACTTGGGTACCTTTGGGATTTTCGACTACATTACACTCTTCATTTGATTTGCTTTCTTTGTCCATAGAGTGAGGTTTTGCTGTTATGTATAGATTTTCTCCATAAATTTCCACTGGCTTGGAACCTAGTGCATACCAGGGAATTTGTGCCTTTAGCTTCCCCAAACGACCCTTTCCATTCAGTGAGCAGCTACATAACAACCACAATAGGAACATTCTACTTACAGAAGTTATACAAAAGGGAAGATTCGCATCGTTGAGTACGTCTATTTTCAAATCAACATTTTCCAGGGATAGATAACCTCCTCGGATACCCAAACCAACGTCACTTCCTCTAGCGTTAGCATAACGACTTATCAAAGAAGTCAAAATAGAGGCAAAGGTGCCTTCCAAAACCATAGAGAGTCAGGTTTTCAGTTGTGTTATGACTAGAGAATCCCAGCCGATCTTTTCCTTGAGAGACTTACAGAGAGAATCATGAAAATTTAAAAAAGGAGTAGATTGGGATGAAAAACTTTACTGATAAAAAGAAACGCATATCAACTGGAGGACAAAGAAGAGAAAGTTTCTCCAGCGTTCTGCCTTACTTTAGTTAATACAGAACGAAGCTCAACGTCCAAGTCAGTTATTTTTTGGAGAATTCTATCAGTGGCCACTTCACGTTCTCTCAAAGACTCTGCAAAAGTTCCAAATGATAAGTCTTCTTTCTCCCCCGAAGAAGAGAATTTCTTAGATGGAAAGGGAAATCTTATCCCTATTGATCATGTTCATTCCACATATATGCCAAGGTTTGTATTTACCTTCTTTCAAGTTCAGCTTGGTCTATGTACACTTCAAACTGTTTTCTTCGTAGACGTTCTACTTGTTCCAACAACTCAGGACCTCTTTCTCCTATGAGATTGGTTTTGAGAAAACAACCCAACGAGCTATATAAGAATAAATACCAAAGGGACGATTTCTACTATCTGCTAAACGAGCTTCGGCAGCAGCTAACTCAGCTTCAAGACCTTCTTCCAATTCGTCCAACTGTGTATCACTTGGTTTATCTGTAAAAGAAGCCATCCTTCCACAAACACAACTGCAATAAGACACCACCACCAACTAACTAATCAACGCATATCATCGCTTTGCAAATTCCACAGCGGTGAATATAAGTGATTAGCTCTAAACTTTTATTCAATGAACGATATTAATGACTCTGACTCCATCTTGACAGCTCCAGATCCTGGAACTTTTGTTGATGTCCTGACAATACTTTTTACTTTCATAGTCTTCTTCCGTTGGATAAACAAAAAGTCCTTGAACATTCCAGATAGCATTGCTTTATCACTTTCCTCGCTAATTGCTTCCAATCTTTTGATTGTTTTAAACTTGACTCTTCCTCATATTGGAGTACCAGGTTTAGACTTGACTCCCTTCCACAACGTGACTGTATCGTTTCCTGTGAGTTTGCCCAAGTCACTGTATAGTTATGATACACAAGTCTTACGTACTGTTTTCCGTTGCTAGAGCTTCGTTTTAGACTCAGCGTTAGGATTTCTCTTGTTTTCGGACGCTATGGAGTTGGATATAGTTTCTTTGAAACGTTCCATTGAAGTCATATTTGTTTTGGCTGTATTCACAACTTTGGTAAGGGGACTCCTTTATATGGATATTTTTTGTAAAGTTGTAAATATGTGTATATATGGTTAGTTAGCATCGCTGTCCATCGCAAGTTTTCTGTATCTTATCATGATATGGATATCTTACCCTCTTCCCTTTTCGCATTGTTTATTGTTCGGTAAGTGAACCTCATTTATATCTCTGATCGCCTCCTATTTCAGTAGGTGCTATTGTATCACCTACAGACCCTGTAGCAGTTAGTGGAATATTGAAATCCAAAAGAGAATTGTTGCCAAAATATCAGCGTTTCATTATAGCAGGAGAGTCTTTATTCAATGATGCAGTTTCCGTCGTATTATTTATAGGTACTCATTGAATCATTTCTATAAGAAAAGTATCAATCTTATGTATCTATATAAATGTAGGTCTTCGACATTGTATTTTTGCTCCACACAAGGCTGGTGTAACATTTCTTGTGCGACTATTTGTACAGGAGGTTGTATTAGGAGTCACTGTTGGCTTTGCGATGGGTTACTTGGCCTATCAAATGCTTAGTAGCTTTGAAAGTCGAGTATTAGAAGCACATGTTACTCTAGTTCTCGTATTGTTGATTAATATGATTTGTAAACATCTCGGTGCCTCTATTCCGTTGGCAAGTGTTATTGCAGGTCTCATGATTGGCAACTATGGAGTAGCATTTGTAATCAGTTCACAAAAGACCTTTCATTGGGTAAGTTGTATGGAATGAATGGTCAAATAACTAAACAACCTTCATTAGTTGTGGGGCTTTATTAATGATACGCTGAATAGTGTTTTGTATTTACTGATGGGTTTCATTTCCATTCTTTTCGTAACGTTGCCGAATATAGGCTCATATCCTTCTAGATTTATCTATTACTTTGTCTTCCTTTCCATCATTCCATTATCTTTGCTTTCTCGGTTCATATCGGTATTGATACCTCTGCGTATGTTGCAATTGTACTACAAAATAAGAAGGAAACGTTTACATCCTGCTATCCGATATGCCATGCCGTTGAAATTTGTATTTGTATTGACTTGGAGTGGCATGCGAGGAGCTATTTCAGTAGCTTTGGCATTGTCTCTTCCTGATCAACTAGCAAGTCGCGCGATCATTTTCACGCTTTGTTATACATTGGTTTGTTTCAGTACTATAGTGCAAGGGTTACTATTTGAAAAAGTGGTGGGCTATTTGGGTGCATTTCCAAAGATCATTAGAGCAACTTTTGATGGAAATATAGCACAAATGAACAATAAGAGAAAGAATTCTTATCTGAGGGAATCTTTTGTGGATAAGAACGCTAACCTCAAACCTCTTCCAAGTTTATCGGATTTGGTTCGTTCGGTTGGACTTGTGGGTGTTGCTTTGAATCAACAGGACAATATATCTAAGGATAATGTAAAACTTCATTTGGTGGCACATCAACAACAACCGAAGACAAGAAGAATTCCACTCGATAACGAAATAGAATCTTCGATGGAGTGGTCATCAACAGGAAAGTGGTTACAATCACCCTTATTAGACAATAATGAAGAGAGTGCAAAATGATGTTTCTTTTGGTTGATGCAAAACACTTTGTTATGTATAGGAAGGATGGTTTTGTATTTTTTCATAAAGTACAACACGAAGAGATATGAAAGAACCCATCATCAACCAGAATGGAGCGCAATTAGCTTTCCATTAACAAAAGGGCCTATAGAGTCTTTCTCCCACCGAGTCATCTGACAAAACCTGCACCTTTTGTTGTTCTCTTGTGGTCCACGCTCAAAATATTTTCTACAAACTGGGGTTTGCGACCAAAGGACGATTCAAATATTAGAAAGCAACAGGAAACGAAAAGTGGTGATATAGGTCACAACCTTGTGAAAAATGCGCTTTCTGAAATAGTTCAAAGTGCTTCGGTTACACATTTTCCCACATCCACTGTAAGAATATGGTTTCACTGGAATGACACAACTATGTTCAACAAAGGTTGCTCACTTACTGTAGAGAGTCCAGATATCGTTGGCCAAATGCCAAACTTCGTTCTATCGTGCAACAATGCAGTGTATTTCAAAAGCAAAGCAGTAAAGCGATACTATAAGAGTTAGTTGAGAAAAACAAAACAAACGCCTTCTCCAATAAAGAGAAGGCTGAAATTCATGGCGCCATTCCTGTGAGCCCGCCACCTAATTGCGTCCTCCTCATTGGTCAACGGAACATTTGGACGTGTCTCGTTGTTGGTGAGACAAGGACCCATTGACGGTTCCGCAACCTGAGAGAGAGTGTTGGCTGTGTGGTTTGGAAAGAAAGTAGCGAATACAAGATAGTTGGAAAGTTGTAAGTTGAAAGACAGCCATTCACTCTCCAACTTGGTTATTTTGTAAAAATAATATGAGCCAAGGTTGCTTGTAACTTGTTTGGAGGTGGGTTTGAGATGGAGCAAATAACAAGTTACTAAGTTTTGTAGGTGGAAGTGTTTTAATTGAGCACCATGTTTGGACGTCACAAGTCTTCCAGGAGTATAGAAGAAAACGTTCGAGCAGATGCTGTTCATGAAAAACGTCGCGTGTTGATGGAAATTGGAAATAGCTTGTCTTCAAGGATATACAATGCTTTTTTTGTTAAAAGACAAAAATCAATTGCAGTCTCTGATGAAATAACGAGTATCAATCCAACGATGATTAGTTCCGTCGAAGATGAAGGCACTGCGGGGGATTTCCTGTATTGTAATTCCCCACTTGACTTGCGTCAGGAAGATTCTTCCCAAAGTGGAAGGCGAGATAAAGCCAGTGACTTTTCGGAATTGCCATACTTAGAGGGAGGAGAGTACAAGGATGATGTGTTCAGGGTTTTATTGAGCTGTGAAGTGAGTGTGAAAGTTTCTTTATACTGTTTTGAATTTATTTTTCTGTATTTACAGAAACGTTGTTTTCCGGAAGCTTCATACGTCGACGATATGAAAGCTACTCAATCTGAAATTTCACCAAACATGCGGGCTATTTTGATGGATTGGTTAGTGGAGGTAGCTGAAGAATACAAACTATCCAACGAGACGTTGCATCTAGCTTGCAATTATATCGATAGATTTCTCAGTCGGTGTTCTGTGAGTAAGAAAAATCTTCAGTTATTGGGAGTTGTTTGCTTGTTAGTGGCATCCAAGTATGAAGAAAAGTATCCACCACACGTGGATGAGTTTGTGTACATTACGGATAACACTTATACGAAGGAAGAAGTACTCTCAATGGAAATGTTGGTGATGAAAGTTTTGAAATTTTCATTTACAGCAGCATCCAGTTATCAGTTTGCAAGTATTTTCGGTAGTTGGGGAAATTTGAATGAAGTTGTGAAAAGTATTTCTTTCTTCCTATGTGACCTTTCGTTGGTGGATTTTTCGTTGTCCAAGTATTTACCTAGTGACATTGCAACTGCAGCGGTTTGTTTGGCTAGATTGAGTTGTAACGAGTGTTTATGGGATGATATGTTAGCAGAATTGACTCACAAGCGAATGGAGGATGTATTGCCTTGTTTGTTGACTTTGCGTCGTGTGTGGGAAGAATGTGCTTATTCCAAGTTACAAGCAGTGCGAGTTAAGTATCATTCGCCAAAGTATCATTATGTTTCGTCACGAACACCGCCTACGTTGGATACGAATGAATAAACCCTAAAAGGGGTTGTTGCTTTTAAAATAAAAGTTTCTTATATAAATTTGTTTTTGGGGTTGAGCAAAGTTGTTGTACTTTGTTTTTCTGGCAAGTCAAAAGAAACTGCTTTAATAAAAGAAGCCTAATATCTTTCCTCCAGTATGCTTCCTTCTCGCCTCTTCATGGTCCATTATACCATAAGAAGTAGTCAACACTACAAAACCAAATTGTCTACTTGGGAGTAGATTACTAGCCCATTGTTCCATTTCGTGCACTTTGACGTCATAGCGTGGTGATATAACGCCACACTTGTTCAATCGGCCTATCAAATGAACAACCAGTTTACCTGATCGGTGATCATCCACGAGTTCAAACTCTCCAATATATCCTATAGGATGGAAAAGTGAGTTGGAAAGAAAACAGGTTCAAGTTGTGCAACGGGTACCGTGTTTTTGCATCACTTGTAGAAAGCGGATGATGACTTTAGAGCTGGGACGAAGAAGAACTTGTCGTTTTCCTCTTCTTTCAGCGTTGGCAATAGAGTTTAAGGCGTCTGCTAGAACACTCATACGAACCATGTTGGATAGAGTGGTTGTAGTGAATGCACAAGTTTTCCAATTATAACGACGTCGTCGAAATCTGTTTTACAATGAATTTCATTTGATGAGAATGACACCTTTACTAGGATTGCCATTCTCGGTGTGTTATGTAGTCATACAAGTGAAAAACTTGATCTATTTGTGTCTGGATACTATGTATATCTTTTGTCAAATAACAACTATAATAGTGTCCTAGTTGTATGATTGGCTCCCAATCACGACAAAACCCGATACAGGCATATTTCAAACCAGGAAACTGCTTCAATAGTTGCCACAAGTCACTTGAACTATGACATAAGTGGGAATCAATCGGATGCATCAACTTTTGCAATGATAGAAGCAACGCAATCTTCCCATTTTCTACGTCGTCACAAGACAAATAAATTACATATACAGTATGCACCGAATCAACTTGTTGTTCTACTTGTATACCTTCAACTAGACAAGATTCATTATTCTGTGACTGAACAACAAGGTGACTAGTGAATAAGTCGACTCCTTTACCAGGTAATAGAACAGGTCGATCAAGAATCAAGTACAGTTTCCATCTTCCCTTGTCTGAGGAAATTCGACGAGTCCAACTGGAATCCGTATACTTTACTTCCAAAGAAGTTGAACCAATCACAACAGAACAACGAATCAAGTCTCCATTTCCAGTAACTAGACCAATGACTTGTGAAGATGAGTCACAAATAAGATATGTAACTTGTCTACGAAGAAGGTATACGCCACCATGAATAGCACAGCGTCGACATAATGCCTCACAAATATCTCCACTACCATACTTACTATAAAGAAATCCACTAGATATACGAAACCTTTGTACTGCACAACAATACTGAGATATCCTTTCTACCGCAGTTGCAACCGCACAAGATTCATATTTCTCTCCACAACACCCAAGCAGTGCAAATACATAATGTTTAAGTCGATCCGTAAAGTGTAACTCATCTAACCAGTTATCTAAACAAAGAGAGCAATCACACCACTTTTGGACTTGTTCCATTTCAGCTATTTCTTCGCTGGAGTTTACCACTTGGCCAGCAGATAATATACCTCCATCATGTCCTTCATATTGGAAAAGTGAAGGTTCATAAACTGCACAGGTTTTCAAAAATTTCATAAATATGCGCTTTTCAACAGGAGTGAGTAACATTGAACGAAAAATATCGTTTCTACTGGTAGGTACTTTTTGAAGCTGACCACTTTCGTCCAACCAAAAGATTTCATCCACACCTCGAAACTCTAAATACGAAGCTGCTTGTGTCTGTACCAACATATCCACCGTCTCACCATTTCCTAGAATAATCTGTGGTGTCAAATCTACCATTGCTCGGTTCAACCACTCTTCCGCGGAATCTACTATTTGTACATCACTAAAGCTGGAGTTTTCTAACACAGGTAGTAGGGCTATATCGGTGTACTGTTGAAAATGCTCGTTTTGTCGTATAGCATCTTGTAGTTCTGTAGGTGTCTTTTTGGGTTCACTCACACCGTTTTCTGATAAATAACAGGACGCAAAATAACTTTTCAATTTGCTCAATGACAAGGTTGCCCTATAATATCTAAGTGAGAACTTGCAAAAGACGTGAGAACACGTCACTGACCAGTCACCCCCATAAAAAGGCTTCGAGTCGAGGTGTAACACGGACTTGCCGTTAGAAGCAAGTAAAGCTGCTAGAATAGACTCTGCTAAACCAGTTCCGACAACTACAACGTCAAAATAGCCGTCTTTCAAGTCTGTGTCCATATTTATGGCCTCTTCATGAACCATGTCCCATGAAGATTCCAACTAGAGATGGTGGTTTATGAGCACTGTCTCGGTAAAACAAAATCATTTTCATTATAGTCTATCGATGATCATCAGTTATTTTTCATTTCTTTACCAATGATGGATAAATACTCATTACTCTAAATCGATCTGAGCCAAAAATAAGAATCATTCCACGTGTCGCTAGTTAGAAAATTGCTTTGTGAAAAAAAAGTTTCGTGTCATTTTGTTTAGAATGTCTGGCTGGAATCTTCAAGTGCAAGGCATGACTTGCAGTTCTTGTGCTAAGAATATCCAGAACGCTCTATATAAAGAGGAAGAAGTGTCCAATGTATCTGTCAACGTTCTGTTGGGCTCGGTTCTTGTACAAGGACGGTGCAGCAAAGAGCAAATAACGAATGACGTCGAAGCCATTGGTTTTAAGGTGGTATCCTGTACTCCTTTGAAGGATGACTGCGATGATGTGGAAAGCTCAGATCAAACAAAGCTAACTATTTGTACAAAAGACAAGGAAGATACTGGCAGAAGGCTGATACGAGTCAAAACAGGAGTAGCTTCGGCAGCGGAATATATTCAACAAGTTCCTACGACGGAGTTGGTTTTGAGATGGAACAATATAAAGGCTGCAGAACTGTGTGCTGATTTTCTGAAAAAACTAAAGTTTGTCCAACATGTATCCATATCAAGCTTGTCTGACCTAGAGAAGGCTTCTGTTACTCAATCCTATTGTTCAAATATCCTGAGAAGCTGGAAAATATTCTTTGCTTCGAAACAAGTCCCCACTGAGTCAGTATTTTTTGTTACTGCTGTTATTTATGATTTCAGAAACTTTTATCCAGAAGCTTATTTGAAAGAGCAATTCACTCATTGGCAAACATTGATGAATGAAATGGGAACCAGCAATACCAAAGCAGCCATTTATGCCTATTTATCAAGTCATCTAACAGAGTTATCTTGGCAAACAGATTGCAAGGTCGATGTCTCTGCTGACGGTAACAAAATGATGGAAAGTGTGACAAATGCATTGAATTGTGTATATGATGAAGGAAAGAAATGGAGAGATCGATTCCTGTGGTGCACTTTATGTTCTATTCCTTTGTTACTTTTAGTTCTCGTGAATCCTTCAAGTTTATTGTTGTTGCAAATTGTGTTGGCTACTTTTGTACAATGTTATGGAGGATATCCATTTTATCGAGCTGCATTTCATGTTATGAAACACTCAATGAGAGCCAATATGGCAGTATTAATAACCACAAGTTCCTTAATAGCTTACATATATTCACTTTTTCTGTGTTTTCAACGATGGTTTCTCGAACAGTCGACGGATTCAAGGCTTTTCATGCCGATGTTTGAGACGGGTGCCATGCTCATTACGGTTGTTTTGTTTGGAAAATGGATGGAGAGCACACTTAAGATGCGAGCTTCTCGTGAATTGGAAAAAATAGGAGAGTTGCTTCCTTCTAAAGTTCATATAGTGCTCCACAAGGAACCCATTGAAATTTTTGACTTTTCCAATAGTTCTCTGTTACAAGTGGAAAGTAGTATTATTGAGCCTGGTGATATCATTCGAGTGGAAACAGGATTGGCTATTCCTGTAGATGGAAAGATAGTATCAGGAAGTAGTTTTGTGGACGAATCGGTACGTATGATGTTATATGAACAGAAGAAAAGTTTGTGTACTCAATTTTGGCTTTCAGTTTTTAACAGGAGAACCGTGCACCATTCAGAAGACAGTCAATGATACCGTATATGCTGGAGCTATCAATATTTCTCATCCTTTGTTTATCCAAGCTACTAGTGTAGGTAGCAAGACTTCGATGGAGGAGATATTGAGACTGTGGAATGAGACACAATTATCCAAAGCTCCAACGGAACCAATTGCTGACAAAATTTCGGCAATTTTTGTACCATCCGTGTTATTGTTATCTCTTGGAGTATTTCTGTGTTGGTGGATTTGTCTCCAATATAGGTAAGTCATGATTGATCATTATGGAGGTAAAGTAATGCATGCTTATGTTAAAAAGCATTGTTCCTATGAATTGGTGGGTGAACGATGGGAAGTTTTTGTTCTGTCTTTACTTTTGTTTATCTGCCATGGTAATTGCCTGTCCTTGTGCTTTGGGTTTAGCAGCTCCAATGGCTTATATGATTGCATCCTTTACTGCACTGAAACACGGCATCGTTTATCGAGATATATCTACCTTGATAGCCTTTATAGAAGATATTGAAAATATTGTCTTTGACAAAACAGGGACTTTAACATTAGGAAGACCTGTAGTTACACAATGTCATGGGTTGAGTTGCACTCTAATGAATGGGTATGATGAGAATTTTAGTCAAAGAATCGTGTGGAGAATAGTGGACGAATTAGAAAGTCAATGTGTTCATCCTATTGCAAAGGCAGTAACAGATTACGCTCGTCAGTGTATCGACAATAATGAAGAGTTATCGTTGTTCACATTATCTTCTGTAAAGGAACAACCTGGAATAGGTATGGAAGCGGAATTTCAATGCACATCTGATGACCAATGGCATTCGATTATGATTGGACAAAAGGACTGGCTTCTGACGCGATGCACGGAAGCTCGAGTATTGGACCAATGCCATGTTCTAAAGGAAGCTTTGATCCGATTAGAACAGTTGCACAGTAAAGTGGAGAATGAAACCTTAGTTTTGGTTGCCATCAATCATATACCTATATGGCTTCTGCTAGTTGAAGATGCTATAAGACCTGAGGCTCATCTAGCGATACAGTGGCTTCAGAACAACCTGGGCTTGCATTGTTGGTTGCTTTCTGGTGATAACTACAAGTCTGCTAGACACGTTGCCAATGTAGTAGGCATTCAAGAGAGATACGTTATGGCAAAATTGCAACCTTGGCAAAAATGGCAATGGATCCAGTCCAAAATGGCAGAACAACGTGAAGCGAATTGTAGTGAGAAAAGAAAAGTTGGTCGTATCGTCTTTGTGGGAGATGGTCTCAATGACGCACCTGCTTTGGCTCAGGCAGATATTGGAATGGCAATGGGAAATTCCAATCCTATTTCTCATCAAACAGCATCAGTAGTGTTAAAAAGAAATGACCTTCGTGATATCATTACTGCCCTAGATTTAGCCAAAAGATTAAAAAAGACAATCTATTGGAATTACGCATGGGCGATGCTTTATAACTTGCTGGCATTTCCTTTGGCTGCTGGTTTGCTTTATCCATTGTGGAGAATTCGAATACCCCCATTTCTGGCAGCAGCAGCAATGGGCTTCAGTTCCATCAGTGTCATGTTATCTTCTCTTAGACTTAAAAACTATAAGCCACCCAACCAATCATTGGCAGAAACTGATGACGATATCGAAATGCAACCAAGAATAGAAACCTGGGAAAATGAAGCTACAAGTCATTTAATGGGATAGTTGAGGAAACGCCATATAAGGAGTTACCAAGGGAGCTAAACAAATTTGACGCATTCCCAAATTGTGAAGTCGTTGTCGAACCATGTTTCCCAGTTTATCTCGATATTGTTCATGATCTATTTGGAAGGCACCGTGATTGCTCAGGTTTTCTTTTGAAGTGATTCGTTTACGTCGTTCTTGCATACAACCTGAATCCAATCGACAAAGCAACTCCAATAAGGTTTGATACAGTTGTTCCTTACGCAAGCCTATCTTTCTATCCAACCATGAATCCTCAGTACGTTTTACATGGGACCAAAATGAATCATAATACTGTCGCTCTAGACATCGTAGCCATTTATGAAGACTATTAACAAGGAAACCCAAAGAATAATCTTTGTCACAGCCCATACATTTTAGTATGTTGGCTTTCATCTCCTTTGTTGAAGTTACTTCAAAAAAGTCAACTTGACAGGAACATGATGGACAACATATCATCCATGGCAAAAATGTCTGCTTCTCTATTGCTGCATCTATCTTTTGGAAAATGTGACAGTTTTCATAAGAATGTGTACCTGAAGACTTGCGAGTTGCCGTTGATATTCCACAAGCTTCCAACAGCTGATCTTTTTCCGCCTCATCGAATGCTGGTTCACAAAGTCGTAAAACTGGTGGAAGTAATTGAGTATCAATATACCATTCCGTATCAATCGACAGTTTAACGGCGGCTTCATCTAATTCAGATGGATGATAAGGAACGGGTGTAGTATCAGATGTCCGCTGATAGCCATTTTCTGTTCGTTTGCACATAACATATGGAATATATGAGCCGGTACGTAAAGGAAAACCTTTACAGATGAGTCTCTTTGCAACCTCCACATGTGGGTTATTTGTGTCATTACTGTAGTCGGAAGGTTTCTGCGTTAAAGACTTGGTAATTACAAACTTTTCCAATGGAACGTTACCCTGACGAACTTGTTCAATGTAAAAGCGCAGACAAGATATGACTTTGTGAACACATTCTTCCCTCTCAAATTTAGAGGATAGGAGAAGTTCAACTACTTGAAGAGACAGTTCTCTCGATGCAGGACACCAATCATGTCGAACCATTTCAACACCTTTGACCTCCAAAATAGTTTCTCCAGGTCTTGAAACAGGATCAACCAAACGCATAGCTGCATAATGTTTCTTCTGCAAGAGAAGCATTCGAGTATAAATTGCTTCCACATCAATTTCCAACGAACGAAAATTGCGATTAACTTCATGTTTCAATACTCGACCTTTTTCTAAAACTGCATCCAGTTCTTTCACTCCAGTATTCAAAAACATCGAGTCTGTATCCCCATAAATAACTTCAAAACCACACCTCTCGGCAATTTTGATTGTCTTGTCTAAAGTAACCCGGCCAAACTGAGTCACTAGTGCTGCAAGAGTTTGTGCTCCAAAGCGTGAGTGCTCCGCCCCTAAGCAACCATATACAGAGTTTGCTGTCAGTTTCAATGCTGCTTGTTCAATGTTTAATTGCTGTTGACGATTAATATCCTTTGTCTTCTGTTTAAGATCCTTAACTTCTCTTCGTCTTTGAACAAGTTTCTCTAATACTAGAGGGAGGACGCCTTTCTTCTTGGTGTGAATAACAACGTCTTCCAAATTCTGAAAAGACGAATCGTACAAAATAGTTGTCGTGAAACAAAGGTTGTATTCTTGAATGATAGACGGGTATAGTGAGTTGAAGTCTAATTGTAAAATGAGCGAGTCATACAGCCCTCTTTTGGGTTCTAGTACGAGACCGCCTTCGTATTTCGCCTTTCGTTTAGAAGTTCTTCCTTCAACAACCTTCTCTGTGACGGTTTCTTGTTCCTCTGCTTTTTCAGACTTGAGAACTAATTGGAGCAGCTCCTTTTTTGACCGGTCAAGTTTGTCTGGTAATATGGCTTTTGGAAAAAGTTCTTTGAACGCATGAGCTAAGAGAATTTCGACACGTTCTGCTCGAGTGAAGAATAAACAATTTGACCAGAGATAACCCGATATATAAGCCAACTCTAGTGATAACGATAATGCAGCAAGCTTGCAACAAAGTTGAAAAGAAACTGCCGCATGGCAGGTATTCAAGTCCAAAAGTTCTCTCAAGTTCTGAGCTGATGAGAAATATGTTTGTGTTTGACGTGCATCAGGAAGAGAAACCAGTTTGGTATCCACACCAGTTGATTTTGCCAAGTGAGATAAGCCATAATTGGTTTCTCGTGGCAACAGTTCCTTTGACGCTATCAAAGTATCCGCAATAAGTCTGCCGGAAAATAAAGTTTTCATGTAATAATAAGATTCCCGTTTTGTTCTTTCTTGTCTACTGTTTTTCTGCGAGTACAGATAGTCTTCCAGTTTTTTGCTTCGTTTCAAACGTCCAACAATGCTCCAGTTTGGCGTCTGTAGATGTGCAAGCCTATGCAAGAGAATATCAAGTTGAAACGACTGAAGATCGTGGCCTAATATAATGTCAGGATCGGCGCTGGAAAGTTTTTCTAAGAAATTATGTAGTAGTTGTGCTTCATTTGCAACTGTTTCAATATGTCCACTTCGAGAAGTCATTTTCTCAAACTCTGGAGGAAAACTCTGATTTTTCAAAGGACGAATGATACTAAAAATATACTTTTGTAATGTTGAATGAAGAACACTGCTCTGAAAGAATTCAAATGGTATGAATGGGTAGAATATTCCTGTAACTGCAATGATCTCATGTAAACTGGTTTCTTCGTTCCATTGAAAAACAAAGGAAAGACAAAGAATAGAAAATGTCAAAGCAGTGGAATATTCTACAGGGACCTCATTCTTGCCTTCTAAAACAATGTTCTCGATATTCTCCACTTGTAGACAACATTTAAGAGAACAAGGCATATTAGAGGATATCGTTGCGTTTTTGAGTCTCAACCAACCAGGACCTTTCAGCTTCTTCTTTAACAGAAGCCTTTCTATTGCAGTAGTTGTGGTTCCAAAAATTCTATTGAAGGTCTTTCCACCTTGGATAGCCAGTTCCTTGGACGGAGGAGCATATTTAAATGGATATTTAACTTTCAAATAGTAAGCATCATATTTTGGAACACGCGGGTCGTCTAAAAACGGATGTATTCGAGTCACAGGTTTTGCGAAGAACCGAGGCACCAAAGGGGTTGTGATTTGTTGTACTTCAGGAAATACTTGCGATCGAATCAATTCAACTGCATCATTCTCATTTTGTATTGAATCTTGTTGAAGAGTATCCCAGCGAGGTGCAAAGTACAGCACCCTATCAAGATTAGGAAGATGGAGACACACATTCTTGAGAATTTGTCTGGATTTGCCATCTTTTTGCTGTAACTTATCATCCGATTCATAGAATAAAGCTTTCCCAAATAGGAAGAGTGATGACCCTCCAGCAGAAACGGCTTCTTCAATATCATACCAGAAGAATCGTATTTCATCATTCTCCGTATAGCATGGTACATAATGTGAACTATCAGCTTGAAAGATATTTTGCACAGAGTTATGTTCATACATAAGGTAGCTTCTTTCACCTTCTTCTTCGTGTTGACTCAAGTTCATAGAATCAATATTTTGCGACTCGCTATTGCTCAGGGACTTTTTGTACAGATTTTGCTCAGAAGAGGGGGAAAACTGAGTATTCTCGGTGGAAACTTTTTGCTCAGTTTCAGTAGCTTCCATGATAACTTGAGCTGAATCAAATTCGTTGTATTCAAGTGTATCCTCCATACTTTTCTGGATCCATTCTACAGAGTTCGTGTACTCTTTCTTACCTTCTTCATCGCTACTATCCAGTTCTTTTAGGAGTTCATCAGCAACTAGTCTTCTCGAAACCTCGTGATTCTCCTTTTGTGATTTTTCTACTTGATTAGATTCTGGTTGTTGGTTGCTTTTTGGAATAGGAAACAGAAAGGCTGAATCGATTCTTTTTACAGGTGTCGGTTCTGCTGCTTGTCTCTTGGTTGATTTTCGTTCCTTCCAATCACTTCTGGCATTATCTGTAGGTCTCTTCATTTTTTTAATTTCGGAGATGGAGAAGGTTGCTTCTCCTTCTCCAGTTTCCGAAGAATAGTCATCGGTTTTATGGCTATCGTCTTCGTCGCAGTCTTCCTTTAGAGAATAGTAATCTGAAGCGCGACCACCTTGTTTTCGTATTTTAGACAGCGTGTTTAGAACTTCCTCTCTTTTTTTCCGGAACTGAGAGGTACCAACTCTTTTGGGAAGCTGATGACTTTGCATTCACAAAACGAAATTTGAAATTGCCTCGTAGAATAGTGATAAATAGGATCCTCTTGCCAATAATTTTCTGAATCAACGACATGTCTGTTCAAAAAATGGCGGTAAAATCTATTTCTGAGTAAAAGTCTGATTAGTGAATAGAAAAACATAATGCAATGATAGGAAAAATTCGAGAAAATAAAAGCTTTAGTCTGCAGAACCACATAAAAAAACGAAATGACTTTTCAAGCATTACTATAACAGATACAGTCTGTGACACTATTCCTTGGGAACGTGTCGTCGTCTCAAACCTTCACTGGTTGTCTCACTACCTCGTACTTCTTCCTTGTTTTCTGTAGCTTCACCTTCATCTTTCTTAGAACTGCGCTTCTGCTTCTTCTTATCCTTGGAACCACTGCTCAGTCCAAGAAACAGGAGAACAAAAACTGGAGGAATGAGAGCCACTAAAAGAATTGGCCTGTTTATTCCTAAATCCACCATCTTGTCCAAAACAGGTCCAAGGCCAACTGATACCGCAATCCTTTCTAATGGCTCCAACAACGTCTCGATTTTAGTTATTATGGTTTCCGCAATATCCAAGATTTTCTCTTTCGTTCCTTTCTTGGATGAAAGTCGCTTCAATTCCTTCTCTTCTGTTGCTACTTCATGCTTGTGCTTTATCTCAAAAGTTTCCTTGGCTAATTTGGCAGCATTCTCGACATTAAAGTCTACCAAAAAGTTGTCAAAAACGATGCCTTGGTTCATGGTCCAGATTTCAATAGCAATTCCTCCAATAGACTCAACGACGGGATGCAAGTCTTCATAATAGTCTGGGTTGGGTATCTTTCGAGGCTTCCATGGACCCTTATAGTTAGGATTATCAATAAGAGGTGCCTTCCATTTGCCTCTGTAATGTGGATTGGGAATCATTGGTGGCTTCCATTCTCCACAACCCATTTCTTCACACTTTGGATTGGGAATCATAGGTGGTTCCCATTCTCCATCTTCTTCATCGTCCCAGTCCTCAGGTTTACGAGCATTTGGATCCGGAATGCGTTCCTATGAACATATATAAGCAATTGTATGTTAGACAAAAGTAGACAGACATACAGGTTCATCATCCAACCATCCTTCAGGTTTCACAGCATCGGGATCAGGAATTTCCTTTGGTTCACTTTCATCCCAATCGTCTGGCTTCTTTGCATTCGGATCTGGTATCTTTGGATTATCAACCCAATCAGCAGGCTTCTTGTCATTTGGATCGTCAATTTCCTTGGGCGGATTAACTGGAGGTTCAAAGTCTTCAAGCAACGAACCAGCCCTGACCTCCTTGTTATCAATCAAGATTTGATAAGAACTATTCTTATTGTTCACAATAAGAGTATACAAATGAGTTTTGGAGTCAGTGTTCACCGATGGTGCATTCCTAAGGTGTTTTTCTTCCAACTTTCCGGTAACGGGATTGCGATGCTGAAAAATAAAGTGAACCTTGTCCGTTATACCACATTTATCCGGACCAAACATGATGCTATACGGTGTATCACCGTTTAATGAGGCTAAATCCGAAACTTGTTCCAACAAAAGCTTCACATAAGCACCTCCACACTCCAAACCTTCATCAAGACGAACTTCATATTGGACGACAAGTGTCTTGTCGTCAAGAGGTCCCGTCTTAGCTGGGGCAGCAATACCATAATGCCTTGCTTTTCTTGTCACAATGAGACCCTGATCTCCAGGAATAGCAGGATTTCCACCAGGACCGACAGCAAACTCTCCGCTATACTTTGGATCTCTTGAAAGCACCCATTTTGACTTCCAATCTCCTTGAAAAGTTTCAACAAAGAGAGCGGATTCTGGGACTGAGGGTTCATATGGTACTGATTTATAACCCTTTGGAAATATCACTGCAGTGGGTTCAGGTTTGCTGGAAGGAACATCTTCGTCCAAGCTATCCTCTAATTCCTCTGCAAACGAAAAAGGTAGGAAACAAGTAAAAAGGAAGATACTTGCAAAAACAAGAAAAACTACTCCTTTGTGTGTTCCTTTCCGCGCCATAAACTCCCACTTGGACCAAGTCCTCAAAATTAAAATCAAACAGTTATTTTTCACATTCAGGTCAAATGAATTATGGATGTGGATTGAACAGATTTCAATCCAAAAGCTTAAAACGCCTACATCATTTTTCTTTTGTGTCCTTCAGTTGGAGTCGTTGAGTTTCTGTATTTTTCTTTTGGTGTAATTCTCAAGTCACTTTTCCACTTGTCTTGTGGTTGGAAAGACTCCAGTATCTGTAGTTCACAGCTATTGTAGAGGTGAGTGATTCCTCACAAGTGTGTTACGACTGCAACATGGGTTGTCAGTCTATGGAATATTGCTTGTATGTTTGTGTGTGTGCGTGTGTGTGAAGGAAATATTTCGAGTAGAGTTTTTTCATTTATACAAGTTAAAAGTTTCACAATAGCATCCGAAACTCGTTTGTGCACGTTGTTCTGACGAAAGAGGGGATGTCAAAAAGCTAACAGTTTGTTTGTCCGTGTATATCCACTTTGAAAAGTTTTGGAAATACCGTTGGAGGCTCTAACTAGAGGGAAGCTTTGATTCTTGATAAGGAAAGAAACGATATGAATAGATTGACTAGTATATACAATGATTTTCAACTGGTTTAGGATTGCTTTGATGTAGCCTGTAAATGCTTGAAAGAGTGCTTTCTGATCGCGTGAGATGGACAGTTAAACATCCACGTTGCATTATACTTGTTCCATATACGAATTTTCTGAACCTGGAATGGAAAAGTGAAAACCTCACCGGATTGACTTATTGTCGCCAAGAAAACTTTCAAGACCTACTGAGAAAACCAAAGGCATTGACTTTGACATTATTATGTAGTTCTACCAGCCATCGAGAGTACCTGTCTCCTTCTGACATCGATCGACGACTTCACACCTTGTCCAATGGGTACAGAGTAGAGGATTGGCCACTCTGTTCAACTGGTTGCCCACGTGGCAATTTTTCCCTTCTCTACACATGAAAGAATCCTATCAGTTGTCTGTCATTCCATTTGAATGACATTATGCCAAATGATGTCTTTCAAATTGCTGCATTTCAAGACTTGACCAGCATTCTGTTTCTCGGTTACAGCATCCTTCATTGGTAGTCTTTGCTTTGCTAATGATGTCATTCGAACGTAAAACCTTAGATAGAGAGAGTCTTACTTCTTTATAGGGAGTGTAAGGACCTGTTGAAACCTCTCAGCATATTCTCTTGTATTGGCGTTGTTTGAGTTCTGCTTTTATAAAAGTTCTATATTTCTTTCTTCTCGAATGGACAGCGAAAAAGTTGCTACAAAGTTTCAGTACTTCTTTGAACGGGTAAATTTTGTTGTTTTTCTCGGAATATTGCAGGGCTTGGAATCATGACCATTCTATGATTAAGATGCCTTTCAATATGTTGCCTGAACACGGAGGGGATGTGTTTCGACTCTTTGCCAACTGAAAAAAGACTTTTTTTGAAGTACTTGTTGCTTCTCAAAGGAAGCAAAAAGTTACCGTAGTCATTGTTTGTTCCTCTTTTTCTAGCAAGGGACGAACAAATCTTGAGAGACTGTCTTCTCCAACGAGCTCAGTTTCGTTATTCTCCTTCAAATAGTTGCCCAAGTGTGAATCGTTTCTCCAATTACCTTCTAGAAACAAGCAATGGATTCATTTCCAAACAATGAAAAATGAAGACTCAGTCATTTACTAACGCATCGAAACAAATCAAATTTTACATGTTCAAGAAAAACAACTTGAAAAGTATTATTACTTTAGAAATGGAAATATACGTGAACGATCGTGATCGACCACACTATGATCGACATAGTCAAATATTAAGCGGAGTTCTCGACTGTTACAAGATAATGCTTCTCTCAGCAATGCTTGCTCCTCTTCTGAAACGACATTTTCAAGTTCCTCAACAATTTCAGTAAATATTTCTTCTTGCTTCTTTCGCTTGTCTTTCACATTGGGAAACTGTTCTCTAGTAACTCTGACAGCAAGTCTCGCCACCTCAAAAATATTTTTCTTGTGCTTGGCGAAATATTTTTCAACTCTGCTGGACAGATCTGGAAGAGTGCCTGAAGAACTGGAAGAACGAACAGATGGCGACTTTGGAGAAGATGGACTTCTAGATGAAGTTGAAGACAGAGAAAATGAAGAAGGAGAAGAGCGAGAGAGTTTGGAAAAAGAAGGGAGTTTGGGAAACGATGCACTACTGTTTTCGTAAACGCCAGTACGAAAACCTGTCTCTCCTGGCATGGGTTTGTAAAAACTGGAAAACATAGTTACCACAAGTTGACCAGCAACGGTATAATTTTTAGAATTCCTTTAAAAGTTGAAAGGATGGTATTCTTCTGAGATGTGGAGTTTCCAAAGTAGACTTGGGGATACAGCAATCCAAAAAAAATGGAAGCAAGCTGAGTTGAAGCTACACATGTTGAAAGGGGGGATTGGGAGTCCAGAAGGTGCGCTATTTCTCCCAATCTCTTATTCGTCACAATCACTCGAACCTTTTTCTAGTATTGCATATCATCAAAGGAAAGGATTCAATTATACAACTTGAATTGTCAAAAGTCACAAATGAGCGCAGTTTTTTGAAATAGAGGAGAATGTGCAATTCACGCGTGTGATATATGATGCTATTCTATGAAAGCTCCTTAATATCCAAAAAATTTCCATTTTAGTTGATGCAAGTTGTAACGATCTTACAAACTGTAACCAATAAAACCTTTTTCAGTAGGAAAGGGTTTTCCCTCCATACAACGACAAATGTCCTAATCAGAGAAGAAATTCTAGAGAAAAATTTGTCAACTAGCCCAGTTCGTGAGCGACTGCTGGAATAGTGGTTATTCTGGACCAGGAACTTTTTTTTGGTTATTTATTGGGTTACTTACCTTGGGAAACTACTCATAATGTCTAAGTTAGAGGCAGCTTCAGACTCTGGTAGCCTCAAAACATCTTCTTGTAGTTTTCAGGAAGTGGCAGCCTTGCCTAGACCCAACGGGGAATCTTTCAGTGGAGGTTATTTTGGTTCAAATATGGATTTGGTACCAAGAACAAACGTAAACGAAACGTTTTCGAACTCTACTGGACAACAATACTATTCAGCAACTCTTCCAACGGCAGCATGTCAAGGAACACGAGGTGAGAGAGATTTTCAAGGAAGGGAACAGTTTCTTCAACAAAATTATGGCTCCATCTCGGAAAGATTTGGTGCAGTGTCGCAATTAATGGGAACTGCTGGATATTTTTCAAGTGTTTTGCCCCATCCAGTGGAAGCTAGCGGTGAGCCAACGAGGTTTTCCCAGCTTACGCCACCCTCAACCTGGTCGGGAATGAAGCCAAACTTTGGCAGTGGAGCGGAGGTTCCTGCGAATGTTTCAAATGCTTTGGGCGTTTCCCAGTGGTCGGCACCACCAGGTAGATTGCCAGAGGAGATTCCACCAACTTTTTCTTTCGACTCGAGTGATCCCTCAGGAAGGGACAAGTTGATATACGACTTGGAGCGTGTTAATCACTGGCTTCGTTCGGAATTGGAGTTGGCTAGGAAAGAAATTGATCGATTGCGTTTACAATTGGCAGAGCACGAAAAGGGTAAGAACAAACAGGAGAACTCGAAAACGCAGTCAAGATACTGGACCCCGAGTGAACATCAGAGATTTCTGGAGGCGCTTCGAAAGTTTGGGCACAAGGATGTTAAGTCTATTTCGAATTATGTCGGAACACGGAATCCCACTCAAGTGAGGACACACGCTCAAAAATATTTTTTGCGCTTGTTTAAGGAATCACGAAATCGACAAGAACAGGGTATGGGTCGAGGTTTTTCTGCAAGTAGAAGGTCAATGAGTGAGCCTGATTTGAACCGAGCAGAGTTGCAGAATAGTTCTACAACACAAATGTATTGTCAAGATAACGAAATGTCGCGGGAGCAGAAAGAGAATGATGATAGTTACGCATCTAACTTGGGTAGCAGTTGTCAAGCTGCAGAACCCAAGAATGGCATTCGACTCTTGTCTTTGGTGGCGACTAACGAAACCAATTCTCATGACAAACCAGGAGAAGACAGAATGAACATTCAAGAAAACACGTCATAACATTCGGCTTTTTGAGTTATGTATTATATGCTTTTTAATTACATAGTGACATTGTTTGCTGTTTATAACGAGCGTTGAATAACATGTTTTGATATGAGGGGAAATTTCCTCGGAAATAAAGAAGGTCGTTCTCATTTTCCTTGGAGTATTATCTATGGATGCTTCATTGAAGCCTCGCAGTTTCAGGAGGACGTGCTAACAATGTTTTAAAGTTGTCTTTAAACCAATCTATCAAGGAATTCATGTCAGCATGAATAAGTTTGCGGAATCGATACCCTTGTGGAAGCACAGTTATTATTTCTCGTATGACATGTGATCTTCCTGGTAAATAAGCAATCACAAGACGTCCAGGATAACGAAAACTCATGCCTATACAATAGGCAACCTTTTGTGGCTCCGTCATCTTTTGCTGCTTACAATTCTGTTCCAAAGTCTCTTCATCACCAACAATAAACTTGCGATGTTGCAAGGCTTCTTGTAGGTTTGCCAAAACCGGCTCAGCGTATCTACCGATGACTTCATCTAAGGCTTCAAATTTCTCTTGTCCTATGTAATACAAACTTGTTTCCCTTCCACGATATGTCTGTTGTTGTTCCAGGACTTCCAAGTGTACAACAGGCAAACCATCTGCAACTTTGAAAGAGAGTACAACAACATCGGGTGAATGACTACTGGGTCTAATGATAATCTCTCCTGGTGAGGTTTGATCCAACAACTGAATTGCTTTGCTTCCCGAAACATTTCTAAATAAAGGATGAGAACTCGTGGCCAAACTAGCTTTTCTACGAGTTTCCATTCTTCGACTTCGTTCTCTCTGTACATCATCTGCGGTCATCGGTTGTTTGTCTGGTTGAAGAGGATCAAAATTAGAAGAAAAGTCCAAAAAGAAAGGATCTGCTTTGAACTCTGGTTCCTTGTACTCAGGAATCTTTTTGGGATTTCGAAGCACAGAAGGTCTGCAAGACAATTTCAGCTCGAATTTTTCATAATTGACACTAAGGACTCTACAGGGTAAAGTGCTGGTTTGATTAAGATACTCTCCCAAGTCAAAGTTGGAAGACACTTGTTCATCAAATATTTCATTTCGATGAATATAACCACGAATCTCTCCCTCCACCTGACACACAATTCCAGTCCCAGCTGCATTAGGACGACAGTTTGTTGCTACCACAGAAGCTCCACAACGAAGTCTATCTGGAGTACAACCTGTAATGATATAAAATAAATCCTTCGAAGTTAGTGGGCTGGGGATTTTCCTCCAATCTCGATAAGGATTTTCGAATTCTTCACAAATAATACGCAAAGTGTCATGCATTTTTCCTCTCCCCAACTTTTCCAGGTGATCAGCATAGGCTTCCAAATCTAACTCTTCTAGTAAATGAGGCCTTTTCATAACTTCAGATATAACCTTTACAATATCACTATCTGAGTGTTCTTGCTCCTCACTTTCTCCGCGAAGAGCTTCTTCCGCAATTTTCATGGCTATGCCATAATTTTCTGGATGGACACGAGAATTTTCCAAAGGATTGACAGCCAGTTCATTCTTCCTTTGTCCCTTTGCACGATTTCGCTGTTTACCTCTGCTATCTTTGCCCTTGTCTCCAAACGGATCCACAATTCTCACAAATCCAGCTGCAGAAAAGAATACTCGCTTATCTAAAATTTGGTTAGCTATAATTTCCTTTCTGGACAACAAAGCTTTTCCGCCGTGTATATGATACAGCTCCTTTAACCTTTCTAAAATGACTACTGCCTTTTTTGGTCCCAAACCACCGATATGATTCAAAAGAGGTCGGAGATGGTCATAAATGATGATTCGATTGATATCTACTCCAGTATAACAACAAGTAGCAAAAATCATTGCTTGTCTAAATACAAATTCTCGTTCTGAAGCATTCAGTATATTTTGGAATGGATGAACTTCTAAGGACGATGTGGAAGAAATGTCACACGCAATTGCCGCATAAACCACCAAAGGTTCCTGTGCAAATCTTCCAATAGCAATAGCCATTCGTCGTGCATATGACTGCTCTTTTTGTTCTTCACTTCGCAAAGAAGCATAGACCATCGGTACAGCTTCACTTACAAGAAATATTTTGGATAGACAGGATGATAGCTTGTCTTGCTGTTCTGATGCATTCTGTTCTGAGTCGGAAACTTCATCTACTTTTAGTATTTGTGACCAGACATTGGCTAATTGTTGCTTTAGCCCTGAAGTAGCATGTTTGGATTTACCAACTCCAATTGTAATGTAGTCCGGTCGACCTCGTACAAGAAAGTGTATCAACTTCTCTTTGGAGTTTTCCGCAATATTAATTTGTCCTCCATGTGAAACTCCTATAGAAAAGGTACAAACTTCTTCCACTTCTCCTTCTTTTGAAAGGTTTGCACCCACAGCGACATATTTGTTAAAATTTGCAACTTCTTGGGACTTGAGTTCCCCCTGTACCACTTGTTTCGAAAAAATGTCACTCAAAAAGAAAGAAATTATGCGACTCTTGCTATTCAACCCAATATATTTAGATATTGGTCCGAGGCTCAAAATAGTTTCAGCTTCTTGTCGAAACTCTTCCCGAAGAAACAGATTTGATCGCTTTTCCAAACAAAGCTCCAATTCCCGACATTGCTCTGAAATAACTCGACGAACCGATTCTTCTATAATAGTTTCAATCTCCTGATTCCATTCGGTAGAATACCTGGAGAGTCCTTCTGAACGCCCCAATGTTTTCAACTCTTCAATGAAGTCCCTAAGAGCTTTCCTATCAACTTCAATCTCTATCAAAGTGTAACCAAGCTTTCTACAATAAGCCACTATTGAAAATTCGCTGCTAGGTTTCAATAATCTTTGGATAGGTTTTTGATAAATAGAACAACATGGTTTCAATCTATCGAAGTCATCCAGATCACTGATAGCTTTCAGAGTCGGTTTTGACGTCAACAAGGCTTCCTTTCTTAAAAAACTGTGCACGGTCGAGCGGAAACGGGGATCAACGGAAAGTTCGCGTATAAATAGAAAACGGCAACTATCAAGAAAATTGTCAAGAATATCTATGTTTTCATTTCTTGAAGTCAACCATTCGGTCGCAAGTTCTGATGGCGTCTTGTTCAAACTCAACTGAACATATTTTTGATACATAGTTGAAACATTTTCTGCGAGTTGAAATGGCGTGAGTACAAAATGGTTAAGGAATTCTTTCCATCCGCGTTTGCAAATTGTAGTATATTTATCTCGTTGTTTGGGTCTCGCCGTCACTCTTTGAGATTTCTTCTCCTCTTCTGTAGAGGAGTTGAGAGAATTCCATATATAACAAAGCCTTAAGCCTGCTTCAATATCTGCTAAATCTTCTTCGTCTTGAGTAAAATGTAGCGATTCCTTTATGGCTTCCGATAACTTTTTTTCTTCTTCACTTAAATTTTCGGAAACAATAGCAAGTTCATCTTGGAGCTTTAATTTCCTTGTTTTGAAACGATACCACTGCACATCCCAGTCAAGCACTCTCCATATGTATTTCCAGTCATCCTGACGCTGTTGTATCGAACTCGACTCTAAAACCTTCAACAGCTCCGGACTTAGATACTCTCTACGATATATCGCAATAAAGGGAATGTCAAACTGTTCGATGTGTACAAACGACAACAATGCTGATATCTTTTTGATAATTTCTTCCTTCTGAAACTGATCAAATCTATCATCCATTTCAAATGCTCTTTGATAAATCCAAGACGCCTCTTCCGTCAACTCTTCTGTCGACGTACAAGGCACCCTATCCTCACCGAAATGCTCTTGAATATACTCAGGAATATCCTTTGTACATATCTCTCGATCCAAATCTAACTGCTTCTCTTCTTCAGTTAGTTTGCTCTTAGTCTCCCTTTCTTTGCTCGTTTCTGCTTCCGTAGCAGCTGCGTCTCTATCTTCTTCTTCTTCTTCTTCTTCTAAACCTTCGGGAGCCATGAACAGTGAACTTGAAATTTTGTATTCTTCTTCATCGTCTCCAAAGATTTCACGAGCTAATCGAACTGCTCTTTCACTAACTCCTTCAGGTAAAGCAGAGTTTCTGCTACGTCTTCGTTTCAAACGACCACTCTTATCTTCAAGGAAGTCGTCGAGATCATCCTCTTCGTCACTTATTTCTTCCTCATCGTCTTCCAAATATTTCGCTCGCTTCCTATCTTCAGTGTCTTCAAGCTCTGGCTCTTCCGAACCTACAGGGAGTTCTCCACCTGCCTTACGTAATCGTTTCAATCTCCTTCCACCTCTCGAAACTCTTACTCCTGCCTCTTCCAAAAGTTCATAATCTCCTTCTGCTAGTTCCAATCTTTCTCTTCTCTTCTTTGGGGATAATTCTTCTTTAGGAGCATGTTCCTTGTAGGACGAATCTTCGGTCTCCAAATTACCCTCCTCTTCTTCTTCTTCTCCGTCTTCCACCAAAAAGTCGTCCTTTTCATATTCGTTTAGTTCCTCCGCATCGTCTTCACTACTATCTTCCTCTTCTGAAGAATTCTCTCCAGCAACTTTATCACGTTTCGTGTTTTCTTCTTCTTCAACGTTTGACGAGTCACTTGCTTCATTTTCTAAGAACTTGTACTCTGGTTTAGTTTCCTTGTGACGTTCCACTTTAGAATATCGAATAGACCCATTAGAAACAAATATTCCTTACCTCGGCTTCCAGAGAGTCGGGTTTATCTTCCTTTCTTGGTTCTTCGTCCGTATCCCAAAAACCATCTTCTTGTTGGCCTTGTGTAGAAGACATGAATCATAAATTATAAATATTGTGATTGAATTGATATTTAAAAGATATTCTTTCGGTATTCGCGTGTCTTTACATACACACATATATATATATATATATATATATATAATATATATAGATATATATAGATATAGATATGTGTATGTATATATACATCTATGTAGTTGTGTGTATGTTTGTATGTGTTTTTGTTCCTATAGACATAATCTAAGAACTTTAGAGGAATGTTTCTAATTAGTAAAGTAAATGATTCAGTTCATTCTCAGAACAAGAGTCACAATTCCTTAAAACAAATTTTTTTGCTTCCATTAAGTGATGAAAGAGACTCAAACCATTTTCAAGTTGAAGGCACCACAAGTTTCGAAACGGATGTCATAAGAATGAGTGCCATTGAGGTGCACTCGGTCCCTGGACTTGTTTATATTTCGGAATATATTGACACCCAACTGGAGGAATATTTATTAACACAAATATATAGACAGCCTGTGGTTAAGTGGAAAGTGCTTGCAAACAGGAGATTGCAAAACTGGGGAGGGTAAGTGAAGCAGTATCCATTGTACTGCTCGAAATGAGTTTCTTGAATAGGACACCTCATTCGAAAGGAATGATAGCCACAACACTACCAACTTGGTTGTTGTGTATTGCCACAAGATTAGAAAAAGACGGCTTTTTTCCAGAAACCCCCAATCACGTTCTGATAAACGAATATCTCCCTGGACAAGGTATCGAACCTCACGAAGATGGACCGATTTACTATCCTTGTGCAGCAATTTTATCTTTAGAGAACGAGATTGTGTTGGATTTCTACAGCAAAGGAGTAAACTCGGTAACTGCCGAGGAAATTCAACAGTACACTGGCAGTCTTCTATTGGAGCCTCGCAGTCTTCTTATCATCCGTGATAGTGCTTATCAAAATTATTTACACGGCATTCAAGAAAGTTTCTATATTAAGAAAAGTTCCTGGCTGTTGAACTATTGTTGTGATGGAGAAGGAGAACAAGTAGCTAGGAAGAAACGTGTGTCTTTGACTGTGAGACTCGTTCCGAAGACAGTTCATAATGTGGTTCGGTTAGGAAAATAGAGTTACACATAATTATTATATGGTCGATATTTTTAATTCGACAAAGAACAACTTGAAAACTTGTTTGTTGATCAGGGCAATGAGATCAAAATTCCCGTATGGGTAGTAAGTATTGTGTCGAAATAGGTCAACATTCGACTGAGTATATTGTATCTGCAACTATGACGAAGGAAGAGTGGATAATAGAAAATATAACTCTGAAAATATTGCTATTGTTGTTTATGGCATATATAACTATTTTTCAATAGGAAGTGCACTTTCCTGCCACTTCTCAAAGCCACCTGCCACGTTCAGCACTTGTGAGAACCCAGCCTCACGTAACTTCTCTATAGCTTTCATAGCTCTGGGTCCTTTCAAACAAGAAACTAAAATTTTGTCATCTTTCTTGAAAAACTTGCAAACATCTTGTAAAAATGAGAGATTTTCTTCTAGTTTTCCTTCCTTCCCTTTGACCATAATGGGAACACAAATACTGTCCTTTGCGTGTCCAGCTATATCTCATTCAATAGATTCTACTCTTTCTAGTTCGATTCTTACCAGTGAATTCTTCCTTTGTCCTAACATCTAGATGTTTCCAAGACTCCCTCAGTTTCTTGTGATGAGCTTCGGAGGGATGGATACTTTCTACAGAACACTTTAACACAGGCGATGCCGTAGTAAAAAATTTGTAGGAAACGAAAACTGGCCTCACATAACGTACTACACCTTGGTGCCAAGCGTAGCTGCTACTTTTTAAACCAACTGGAAAGAGGAAGTTCATCAGATTGCGCAAAACCATCCTTTTTAAAAAACACAAATTAGAGTTGCTCCATATCAGAAACTATAGAGTTTTATCAATCTTTTGAACATATGCAACAAACTATAAAACGTTGCTTATATATATATATATATATATATATATATATATATATATATATAAGCATTAAGAAACAGTCGTTTCTTTAAGGATGAATCTTACAGCCAGGACAAGGAGAAGGGCCCTCTTCTGAACAATAGAGGTAAGGATCTTTTGTTTCTCCCACAACCTGGAGAAAAGCAACACAGCCCTTCTCAATTCTTGTAATGGAGTGATCTACTAGTGTGAAGTTACCAGGAACAACTGCATCCAATTCGACTACAGCTGAGGAGCCACTAGGAATCATCACTGTCTGCAAACCTAACTGAGGTTGGTTCAAAAGGCTTCCATCCTTCCAAACTTTATCAAAGATAGTACCAATAATATGAAAAGAAGATACCAGAGCTGGTCCAGCGTTGCCAACATAGAAACGAACTCTATCTCCAACTTTGGCTTTAAATGGATTGTTTTCCAAATGAGAACCCTGCCTTCCATTGAATACGACATAGTTTGGTCGTTCATCCATCAGTTTATCTATGGACTGTGGGAGACATCTAGAATCAACTGTAATCGGATTATCTTCAGTATAAACCTCCGCTTGCATGAGATAATATTCTTTATCTACTGCTTGCAGTCCCTTGTCTGGCTCGACTAGGAGTAAGCCAAACATTCCATTACTAATATGAACACTAACTGGATCAACTGCACAGTGATAAATGTATAAACCAGGATAGGTTAATCTAAATTGAGCCACTTTTGTTTCGTCTTTTCCACAGTTAAGTAATGGTGCACCTCCGCCAGGTCCCAATACAGCATGAAAGTCGAGGTTATGCATCATACCACTTTGGTCTCTATTCACTAACTTTACTTGCATTATATCTCCTACTCTTGCTCGTATCATAGGACCTGGAACACTTTCTTGGAAAGTCCAATATTCATAGGTATAACTGTCATCAATGGGTAATTCCTTTACGATAACTTCCAAGTTAACTAACAACTTCACAGGATAGTTTCTTGTAATTGGAGGTGGCACATCTGGGGCTTTTGCAAGTATCGCTGTTTCTTCAGGATAGGCTTCTTCTTTCATTGTTTGTTTCTCATGAACTGTGGATTCATTTCGAACTTTTGCAAGGTCTCCTACAATGGAAGATGCCATTACCTTGATACCATTCCATTGCAGTTTGGAATCACTGCTTTTCAAATAGGCCATGGAGCCTGCAGTGATTGCAGCACCTGCCAACCATAACCAAGTAGTTTTTCTTGTTTTCTTCTCTTTGTTATAGCCTGAGCCATATCTCTGAAAGAGAATTTTACAATTCTACGCAGAAACTTTTCCCAGTAGAAATGCGATCCTGTTGCAATCCCCACATTGAAAAATGTGCATGTCAAGATATCTCCTTTATTTACAGAGTTATTGTGATATTATGAAAGCAACCTTTCGATACAAAATCACCCCAGTGGAGGCATACATGCATTATGATATCATCTGTATTCGTATAAGCGAATGAAATGATAGCCAGTCTAAGAAGGTTCCTGACATTCAAATTCATAATGGCTACAGATAATGGACAAAGAATTCTTTTGGATGGGCATATTGAAACCTAAGCTCATGATAACAGGTTTCCATTAAGTAAGCATCGTCTTTTTGGAGAGAAACTATGCTCGTCAATGCTTCTATATTCATTTAGGAGAGCTTTATTGTGTATTTGTTACTCTTATATCCTTTGAAATTTCATGAAAAATGCACAAGGCTTTCTTTTCCAAAGCTGAAGAAACAATTTTGAAAAGGAATATTGAATACTTTTTAAGACAATATGTCTCATTTTCATTCTGACAATGCATTTGAGTTTTGGCGCCAAGTACTTCTATTTGGCAAGGTTTTGTTGACTCCATTGGCCAGAGAGAACAATCTTAGGTAGAAATCTTTAAGATAGAATTCCATAAATATCCCTTTCTGAGATAATGACAAAGTTAGAAAAAGGCACACCAAAATTTAGATAAAATGGGCAGTTTGGAACTAGGCAGCATTCGAGGATTCCTGGACATTCCTCAGGACACCTTTCGAGAAAGTATACTAGTTTTTCCAATTGTTTCTGTAGGGAATGTTCCACAGCTTGCTGTTGATCTCCTATTGGAGAATTTTCCTTTTCAGCTTGTGGGGACCCTAGACTCCTCTGCACTGATTCCTTTCTATGGTCACGGGGCTTTGAAAGGACCCCACTCCATAACAACTGCGTTGCAAGTCTTCTGGCTAGAGAGAGTTCCAGAAAATCCAAACATTGTTTGTCTACAAATAAGGACTCCACCTTCAAAGGGTCTTACAAATCTTTTTGTTGAAGAAATTATGTCATTGATGAACTTGTGGAACCCTCGTTTGGCGATTTTCTTGACAAGCTTTTCTGCCCTATCGATTATCCCGAGAGGTGCTATAGAACCAGGCCAAAGTAGAGTTATTCGAACTGCGGTTCCTGAAAATCTTCTCTTTGTAAACCCTGCTGCAGTAGAATTTGTGGGAATGGAATACTTTGAAGAAAATAAGTATGTTGGTTATCTGTCTTTGGAAATTAGCGCTGAGATGGTTTAGGTTTTCTTTATTTTCAAAATTTTGGGACAAACTCAAGTCTTCTTCTCAGCATAATTTTCTAGCTTTGAGCATGCATGTGTACGAAGGAGACAATACCAATGATGCCATATCATACTTTCAGAAACTTTGTGACTTTCTAAGAATATTTAACGTGCCCAATCGAGATTCAGTGAAATTACCTGATTCATGGCGTTCTATTCTTTAGTTATTTTCGACGAAATTTGAATGTATTTGGGATACTCGAAGGTCTCTACACTCATATCGTAACCTTTATCATTGAAGAAGAAAACACTTCTCAAATTCTATACACATATGTATTATGGTTTGAAAATTTTCAGAAACTTAAAAGAGCCATTTTATCTCCCTAATGTTCGCATATTCCATACACTGATTTTCCTTCTTCACTTCGTAGATTTCGTTATACTGACTTATCTTCTTGTGACAGTGTTATAAGGCACGAAGGAAACTTTTTAAAGTTTTCTGTTTCGTTGTATGCGTCTTGTAACATTTGGCCATACTTTTTCGTCAATAATTTGTTATCATCGGTCTCTTCCTCCACCACAGAACTTCTATCAAAAAACTCTCCAGGTTCCAAGCTACGAAAAGAAGGAGTTGGTTTCGTAAATCCGTGAAGTTTAGTTTTCACAGTTTGTAGAGTCCGTTGGTACATTCTCGCTCGTATCGCATTCTTTTGTACCTGTGAAACGGTGACATATTTGATGATACAACGTCAAGAAAACTTACCCCTAAGGCAGTCTCTCGAAGGCCTATATTTATCATATTTTCGTTGGCATATTCGATTATTGCGTGTTCCAAATCTTCATTGGCAATCAGTTCTGTCCCTTGATGAAGTTGTAAGTTTTCTCCTGGGGTTGGATATGCTTCAGTTTCCAACGTAGAATCTAACAAAGCTTGTTTCTCTTCTGTTTCTACATAAAACGAGTCAGATACTCAAGTTATCAACCTGATATGACTACCTTGCTTCTCTTGATGAAAAATATCCCACAGCCATACAAAAATGGCACTACAACATTTATACCAAACCATACCAATTTTTTATACAACTTCGAATTTAGATCATCGTTGCCATGTCTTGTTCGGACGAAGAGTTGCCTGAAAGTATCACTTTTTCTGAAAGTCGACAACGTTTTCATAAAAAATTGAAAGAAGAAAAGGAGTCAAAGAAAGCTCAAGATAAGCGCTCTGTTAGATATAAACAACTCGACAGTCCAATAGAGCAAAGCAATACATATGAGCTGTTTCCACGGGGAGAAGGGAATAGCTCTCGTTTACAGGTCCCAGAAACGGAAATATTTCGCCAAGCAGCAAACGCGACACATGCAGCAAGAAGTAAGACAATTTATTTGCAGAAGAGTGTTCAACGAACCTTGCAAAAGAGGTCCAAGAAAAGATTGGATAACGTTGAGATCATTTTGTTGTCAGAGAATAGCAAATTGGCAAATGGATATACAACTAGTGGTCAACCAGAGAAGTTTCTGAAGGAGCACTTTTATGGTGGTCGACTGTTACGTTGTTCGAAAAAGGATGCCAACCTTACAAGGAGCAAACAGCTTCATCGTCCTTCACCTTATTTTCACGGATGATATGCATTCTCGATTGTTTTACTTTACAGAATGTTATTATTGCGCGCTTTGATATGACATGTAAATGGATTATTGAAGTTATTGTGGGATATTTGCTATGGCTTTATCCAACCTTGTGATAATAGACAAATGGAATCCGTAAGTGATGATGGTTTTGAACGGTGTCAAAGTGAATACAGCATAAAGAATAGTTTTCTGCTCAGTTTGTGAATTTTGGTGTCTTTTTGTGCTATACTCAACAGCAAATACTTGTCTGATACAAATATTATGTTTAAAAAAGCTATCTATGTATAACTGTCCTTAACCTGGAGGCCAACCTAGAGATCTGCCACCAAGAATGTGTAGATGCAAGTGATAGACCGACTGACAGGCGTCCTTTCCGTCGTTTACTATGTCTGCATCAGGATGACGATTCTCATATCCAAAGAAGGTTCTACTTACCAACAAGGCGGAAACTCTGAAGTCCTTCTTGTTTCGCAACTTTGGGTGCGACTAACATGAGGTGTCCCAACAAACTCTGATCTTCAGGTTGTGCAGTAGATAATTGTGATATTGGTTTTTTGGGAACTAGGAGATTGTGATCATAAACTGTTGAAAGAAAGAGTTCAACTTACTGACAAGTGCGTGGAAAGGTGCCTATAGCAAAGTAATTAGCGTCCTTGAGTTTGCCATAGAAATCACTTACTTGTGGATTGATATCACGAAAAGCAAGACACCAATCATCTTCGTAAATAATATCCGCCGGGATTTCTTTTCTAGCTATCTTACCAAAAATGGTGTCTGCCTTTGGATCCTTTGGAGGGTCGAGACCAACTTCCTTATGTGCCATAGCAAAAGACTGAAAACTTTTTCCAATCACGAATGGAAAATCACTACGACGAGAAGGAAAATGGTGTAGTCCTGAGTGGAAAGTAACTACACAACGAGAAAAGTGGCAAGGACGAATAAAGGATTGACGACTAGTGAATACAATCCTTTGTGACGTAACGAACAAGTTGAACCAAATCGACATGAAATCGTTTCTCAAAGCGAATAAGCACTTCCTCTTCCTTTCCTTTGGACAAACTTTGCTTTGTATAATAATGCAAGTAACTTCTGTCTCATCAAGGAGCCTTTCTACTATGAAACAGAAAGAAAATCTGGAACAAACAATTTTCGATTATCTCAGAAAAGCTCTCAATAAATCTCTTGCCTTCTTTGGATACTATCATTTGAAATCTTATTAAGAGTCTCTAGAGTGTTGAAAACCAACTCGTTTCGATGAAAACTTGAGAATAATCTCTATTCAAACAACTGTCACTATAAATGAAAGAAATTTAAATCCGATTTACTAGTTCAGAATGACTTGGTCCAAGTTTGGCAAACTAATTGAAGACTTCCACACACTAACTTTAGATACTGGAAAAGAATATTTTACTGTTCGTGGAAAAGTTACTCACATATTTATCAATAAGAACTTAAATAACAAGTTTCGACAAATATCATCTTTAACCTTGAGACCGGTTTCTCATAGTTGTGGCACTCACGCTGTAAGCCTCCAATTCGAAGGTGACTGGCAAGTTGTTGCTGGGTTCCTTCAAAAGGAGGATGTCATATGCGTGTCTAATCCTGTAGTTCAAGGGAGGGAATATGACTCGCTTGACGAATATCCAGTGCTCTTGGTATTGAACAACTGCGATCGGGATGGATCACAAGGACTAGGACTTTCTGTTTTAAAACAAGATACTAGCTGGGAAGAGTTGATTTTCATTGAAAGCTGTGAAGTTCATAAGCTAAAGGATAGGCTAGTTTCTAAAGGAAAGGGTAATGTTTCTACGGAAAACCAAACACTTTTCTTAAAAGCCTCTCAATTGAGACAACTCAGTAAGCGTTATCTACGAAAAGTAGATAGGCCACTAGCCCGAAGTCGGAAATATTCAAAATTGGCAGACCTCGGAGAGTTTGGTTTGAAGCACAGGATTGTTAACGTATATGGTGTGGTAGCAGGCTTTCGTGCGCTAAGACCAACGAAAGGGAAGGATTATGTATGTGAAACAACTCTCATTGACCCCACTCAATATTCTGCTGGACAAGAAATAACTCTGGTATTGTTCTCAAAGTCGTTGTCCAAAACAATCCCCGTCAAAAGTTTAGGTGATATTGTTAGGTTAAACAATGTACTCACTCAGAAGCATGGAAGCAAGTTGCAACTTGTAGTTACATATGAAGAAAGTTGTGTTGAACTTATTGGTGGTGATGTTGATGAAGATATTGCAGTTGTTGCGTCAACAAGTTCTTCAGGACCAGAATGGGAAGATGAAGATCTCCATATTGTGCGACAGTTGCGTGAATGGGCACGGCTGCACTTCTCAAGTATAGAAGGTTCCAAACCATCACTTGTGGAAAAGGTTGATTTCAGGAATGTTTTCTGTTCTGTAGGCAAGGTGGACTTGGTCTGTCGCATCGAGTCTGTTGTTGAAGATAAGATTGATGCGGAAACATATTTGCTTGTGTGGGATGGCGTTTCTTACCGAGATGTAGAATTCTCTCAAAGACAATGTTTTCTCGTTGTTTTATCATGCGCAGCCAAACGGTCACAATATGTCTTTCAATGTCCTTTAGTGGAGAATAGTTGGATATTACTTAAAGATATTTGGAAACAAGTGCAAGAACCTAACAATGAAATATGCATAATTTTTGATATCGATAGATCCAGCAGAACTTGTTCAACAATGATATACTTGAAGGAGTGGATGTATCGAGTGCAACAAAAACTTGGAACTTATCTTGTATCCAGTTCTATTGCGGGTGAACGGCTCAGACACAAGTTAGTAGACGAAGAGAAGAAAGATAGTTTGACAGAGTTGAATGAATCCACAAATGCACCAGTGAATAGTGTAGCCCATATAAGAGCAAGTCCAAAAGCCTTTCAATCTTCTCTTCTTCTTTCTGCAAAACTTGTGGGTTTCCGCCCGCGGGACATAAGAGACTTTACAGTTCCGTGCTGTCGACATTGTCATAAGTATATTTTACAACCACAGGAAGTAGCAAGTCCAAAGTATGAGACCCTGATTTGTTGTTGTGAAAAAGTTTCTTCATTGCGCGATTCAGATAAAAACTCCATGAAGTTAGACAATCATGCCTATGAATTTCGCTATTTGTTTTATTTTATCCTTATGGACTCTTTGGGTGAAGAAATTGAAGTTCTTGTCGATGATGAAGTGGGAAAAAGACTCTTTTATTTGTCTCATGGGACGAACTTGTATGAAGATAAGCAAACTTGCGAAAAGATTTGTGATATATTGCGAAACTATCTTCAGCAAGCATTTGTGATTTGTCAAATTTCTTATTATCGTATATCCAAGAAAGAGTTCTATTGGAAATTGAACCAACTTGAAGTAGGCCATGTATAAATTTGTAAAATGGTTTCCGATGAATATACCAAGTGGTCAATTCAAATCAATCATGAATTCCATTACTTGGGGAGTTAAGGTTCGTAAGTTTAACAAAACAACTTGTCCTGTGGTAGAAAAATCCGGTATGCATAGAAGCCGAACTCCACAATCATTGGCATTGATCAATCGTGTACCATAGGCATGTTGATTTCCAGCAACATATACATGTGGACATTCTTTTAGTACAAATGGATCCTATAGAGCATATCATTTAAGAAAGTCTTTTCATTCTCATTTCTAGTCCTACCTCATCATAGTACGGATAACAAGGAAGCGTGTCAGGAGCCGTAGGACAGAGATGCCTAAAACTCAACATATTTTCCATGACAGTTAATCTATTTTCAACACTATTCCAGTCCCAAGTGGAATATCGGCAGGCGTCATCAATATTTTGTCCAGAGCAAACAAGAATCTTTCTTCCATTGATACAACATTGGTAAGGGTTTGTGACTCGTCGGAAAGAATTGTACTTTGAAGAACTTGGAAGTAAGCTGTGATGAAGAGGCTGTTGAGGAAGAAGCAAGTTTGTGGGATCCGCTTCACCAGGAAGCAATGTTACAGGAATCGTGGACGACAATGTCGTGAGGAATCTGTCAGCCGATATTAAGGGCTCTGCATTGAACAACTGTTGAGCACTATTAACAGTTTGTTGGTCGTTAGACTTGTTCGCCAAAGTTTCATCTCCTGCAGAAGATAGCAAGTTACCTAAAACGAAAAGATGCCCAATTTGAGAACAGAAGTGATAATCTTCTTCGTTTCCCAGTTTTCCAGTGATAAAATCGAGAAACATCGCTTCTCGCATAGAAACGTTCCATGGTGCTCCTAGACCGATACCGGATACAAACAATATAAAAATATCATTATCCAACGAGCGGGGAACTTTTAAAGGCGGAATTCCAGGAAAACACAGTTCGTCTACTGAAAAGTCTCCACTCGACGTTTCCTGACCTTTGACAGCAACAACCGTTCCTGTTAAAAGAATATTTACGCCAAGACAACAGCGATCGAAATTGAGCCGAATACGACCCGTTTCATCTTCTAGTATCACAACGTCAGAATCGGAAACGAAACTAGGCTTTACAGGTAATATAGGAACAGGTTCAGCTGGATTCTTCGAGTATTCCTTCAAGATAGAGGGCTTCAAATCCATTTCCTTATAAATAACACCAATTATTACACAGTTATCTCCTTGTTGTAAGTGTAAGAGACGATCTCTAAATAAAATACCATCGGTCCTAAACCAACAAAGCCTAGTAAAGCCTATTCTTTCTTTTGTTGGAACCAACTACTCACCACTTGTTTCTGGCAGCGTTTTCTACCACTGGTCTTAGTGCAGCCAGTCTACAGAAGTATATTTGCGAATACTGCTGCGAATAGTTTCTGGAATGGAGAAGGAAAGGATTATGTTCTTCCTCATAGTCTACAGTTTGTCGATACATAACTGTAGTAGTGGAGTGAGACGCGTTCATTTGAAATTCTGAGGGCTGCTCATCGTATTTTTTTTTAAAGAAAGGGCGCCATTTAACCGAGTCTTTTATCATCAGTATAATATATAACTTAGTCCATTGGCTCCCAGTTTATTTCCAGAAAAAGAAGCTCTATGAAGTACTGGTTTATTGTACAGAGTTGAGTGTAGACTGCCTTCCATTTTTCAAAACATAACATGACTTTTTCTTGGGCTTTTTTAGAAAATCTCATATCATTCTTCAATAATAGTTGTAAGTCGTAAGAATGCTATTTTCTTTCGAATAGAATGTGCATTGTCGTGATTTTACTTTCATACGACCCTTGGCTAAAGTGCACATTTTTACATTTTTAGTGCATCGCTTTTGATTCTGATCACATATGACTGACTCTAAGAATCATAGTTATTGGAAACTTTTCAAACATATTGTTTTAAAAGGATTTCAAGGAGGAGCACTTTTAGGACTTGCTAGTGCACCGTATATTGCATATCACCACGTTGACAGCTTTAGCTTTTCCAGTGGACAAGATCTTTCTGCAACTTTGAACGTTGCTTGGAAAATTACACAAGAAACTTCGTGGAAAGCGGCTACTTGGGGCTTGGCTGGTGGCGCTCTATCGGGAGCTATTGGAGTAGCTAAACTTAGTATCATGGATCCCCTAGATGTTCAAGGTCGTGTGGAAGCTTTGTCAGAAAGCAAAGGTCAACTTGAAATGGATCGCTTTGCAAAATATTCAGCCATTGCTGGAGGCACTTTATTTGCATTGAAATATTTAGTGTCCACGCTTTCAAATATTCAAGGTGTCTCTGATAATACTTGGTCGTTCGATGACGTCAATAAGGACATATTCAATATGACTAGTTCTCTTTTAGGAGCAGTCGTGTACGGAGCTGCACTAGGAACTGCTGCGGGTGTTGCAAGTCATTTAATATTCAAACCCGAGTATAGACCTAGGATAAATAAGATGCTTACGAACCTTTTCTATTAGCTTAGAGCTTCAGAAATTTTGTTGACTCTGAAACAAATAACAGCCTTTGAAGAGTGGTGATAAATTCCCCCAATTGTGTGCAAATGATTACAGAATGCTGATGAGGTTAACAAGTTTTATGTATCATTTAAAGTAGCAAGCAAAGTTGCTAGTCTACAACATTCGATTGTACCATTCATTATAGATGAATTTAATGTTAACCTCTTTTCATCTGACTCGATGCAATCGTTGTTCACTTGAATCATTTTCGAAGAATCAACTTTGGTTTTATCGCAAATACAAAAGGAACATGTCGAAGGACGCCCAGGGTTATGTTGTACCCTCTTTAACGGTATTCAACTGCTTTTCATATTCTTTGATATAGTTTTATAAAAGTCAAGGTGGATGCCGCAGTTGTTCGTGGTCTGAAATCTGCTTTAGAAATTTTACTTGTTACCCGAAGAAAGGAACCATTCCAGGGCCGTTTAGCTTTTCCTGGAGGTTTTGTAGAATATGGTGAGGATCCTGAGAAAGCAGTCTTGAGAGAACTGGAAGAGGAGTGTGGGTTAAAAGGAAAAAATCCCACACTAATTGCAGTTCGAGGAAACCCAAACAGGTAACTTCCTTTTGTATTATTGTGAGTTTTTTTACGGTCGATATTTCCCTGCAAAGAGATCCAAGAAAGCACGTAGTGACCATATGCTACTTTGTAGAAACTGTACAGAGAGATCCACAAGGTAGGAGAAGAAATAAATATTTTTTTAGATATATCTGAACATACAGAACAGTAAGAGCCGGAGATGACGCTGCTGCTTGTGGTTGGTATTCTGTAGAGTCACTTATCAAGAGTCCAGACCTTTTTGCTTTTGACCACTACGATCTATTACAGCAAGTTTTAAAATTTTTAGACGAAACGAAACGAAGATAATATATAGGCTTCTCGAAGTGTCTGTGACGACTTTGTGCGCCATCGACTAGAACTGTGTTGGTCTAATGGATTTTTCATTGGATGGAGAAAAAACCATTACATTTTGGGGAATTTTGTAACCAGCTGAGATAGCGATAGACGTATCTGAATTGTTGTTGTTTCTTATTGCTAAAACTAAATACAACAGAATTTGGTTGGTTTTAAAATTTATGCAGCATACGGAATTAGTGTCTTGTTTGACAAGGCCACCTCGTGGTTCTCCAACGATAAGAGATTCGGAGAACCCAGATAGCGTTATCTCACCCAAACAGCAGACTTTTACATGGGAACCCTTTGTCGGGTCTATTGTAACTGAGAAGAAGCCCGAAACCACGGGTGGGTCTTGTTCTGAGAGTGTCACTATTGCTTATCCCAATTCACTAAGAAGAGAATGTGTGAGCGTAGTATTACAGAGAAACTTTATATTTGACGAAGAAAGGTATACGTGGAAGTGGTTCAAGACTTGGCGTCTACCCGAAATTAGAGTATTCGCAAGTGAACAGGAATCCTTTTTTCCGAGTTTCGTGCGACTATCTGTCGTTTGTCCTACACAAGATTTACATTTATTTGAAGAAGTTGGTTTGTTAGGAAGAACTCAGGCTCAACTTGTCAACGGAGAAAGTAGATTCACAAGACTCAGGTTACTTGCTACTAGCAATTCTTACGAAGGAAGGAATTTCCACCTTTTCATATCTTTTTTCTCCCAAACAGCGTGTTGCCTTGGTGCCCTAGTTTCTACTGGCTTTGTTGTTTACGCCCGTGGTCCTAACACAACTTCTTTCCAGGAAGGTGTTCTCTTTAGTCGATCCTTAAAGGCACAAAGCTGTTGGTTTTCTCCTGAGCTGTTAACACGTCCTTTTATGAAGAAGGTTTTTTCTATTTGTTTTTGTTTGCGAAATTGTAGGCTGAAAATATGTTTGCAGGTACGAAATGAACAAGGCATCGTTGAAAAAGAGCCGATCGAGAATACCACCATTGGTTTAATGAGATATTTTCAAGCTCCAAATATCCGTTTTAAATGTCGCGATCCTATTTTTCTTGCATTGCGCTTTTATAAGGTTATTGTTCTATTTCTGAACTCTTCGATTCTTTCATCGGAAGATTGTGATATTTATTTTGAGTTCCTCGCAAAGCTATCAGAGTACCGTTCTAGTCACCGTTCGTCGTTATCGAATATCAACCACCTCACACGGTATTCATCCAGTGTCTTTCCTCTGTGTCTATTTGGAGTCCGTTGTAACCTTGTTCTTCGTGAGAATGAACGAACAGTTCTAATCGATAATTTGGAAAGTTGTCAAGATGAAGCTATTTGGTTTGTAAAGGACGTATCTGTTCGTCCAAAGCGTTTCATAGAGTTGACGGACGTTGTCCGATTTCAACAGGCTTATGAACGCTTTTTCAGTTGGTATACCAACGTTTTCATGGTACCCAAACAAGTGGAAGGAAATCAGTCAGCTAGTTATTATGAAATGCTTGAAAATATTCAGAAAGCCAAAACATCAGACTATCGTGGCATGGAGCTAGATTCTAATTTGTCAGAACCTTCATTGCCTGCTGTAAATGAGAGAATGGTGCCTTGTACTTCGGAAGCTTCAGAGTTGATGTCACCCACTTTGCTAGACGTACCAAAGCGGGCCTCTTCGGAGTTGTATGAGTTTGTGAGATGGTTTCGGCAGTTCCACAGTTTGTTAAAGCGCCTGCTGGAAGAAATGACGATGTCTGCTTCACATTTAGTGATGAATTTGGATGAAGCTAACAAAGCCATTTTCATTGATTGTTTTAAACATTTCCAAAGAGCACTAACTGTGCATACTCATATCGAAGATGCGTATGGTTTCGCAGAATTGATGAAACAAAGACCGCTTATATTCGAAGCTTACAGGGTTAGTTTTCTTTTTAAATTTTACGTTTTCTAATTCATGATATATTTAGATTGATCACACAACTGAAGAAGAAGAGCTAGAACGGATTGTTAGTCTTTCAAGTAATATGCAGATAGAAAATGTTGGGGAATTGTTTATTCGGGTTAGCAGTTTTGCTTCTTTACTTTGTCAGCATATGGACAAGGAGGAAAAACATTTGTTACCTTGTGCTATACAATTATTATCTGAAACAGAGTTGAAAGAACTTGTAATGAGAATGAATGAAGAATCACAGTGTGTTGAAGGTTGGAAGAATTTGTCCACTATATCTTGAAAGGCCTTCCATGATTTGTATAGGATCGTGTGGGTCGAAGGAGCTGTGCAACCATTTTAGCCTGGATATTTATTCCCTGGGTACTAATTGTTTTGTAACGTATTGTAGTCTATGACTGTTAAAATAGCCTAATGTATAGTTATATTGGCTATTTCTGTTTAACAGGACGATATAAGTAAAAGAAATTGCAATTTCTTTAATGGTTACAAAAATACAAAACGAAAATAAACAAAAGCTGCGGAAAAAAGTAACAGTAAATAATTAACTTGAAATCAAGCGAGACGACTTGGGAGGCGTCTCTAAAAATCCTCGTTCGAGTTCAACATTATCAAACGGAGCCATTTGCCTCATCTTTCCTTCAAAGCCACTATGAGAAGGGGATAAACGCTCCTCCTTCTGTTGCATATATTTATCCATAACCACCGTTTCCTTGTGCCTCAATTGCTTTTTTGCATTTCGCAACTCAGTGCCAAGCGACTCCAACTCTTTCACCAAACGACGACGTTCATCAATCAATTCCATTCTTTTCTTCTCAGCTCGTGATATGAAATTTTCGGCTTCTTCCTCCTTTGATTGGTAGAAATGAACGAGAGACTCAAAGTCATTATTCAACTCTTCCTTGATCATCTTCTTCTTCATTCTTGATCTCGACGCAGAGTCACGATTCCTAAGCTTCCTCTTAAAAAGCATAATATCCCTTTCTCTTGGAGTCATTTTTCTACCTCTGTTAGCAGTCGTCCCCGATAAGTCAGTTACTTCATTCAAAAATTCATCCGAACAAGCTGCTCTATTCGAGCTGTGCTTCAGACATCGATCATACTGACTTGATGAAATTGCCGGTGCAATGGGAACAAAGGACAAAGAATGCTTTGTTCCATTCTTCTGAATCACTTCAGATATATTTTCATTTGAGTTGAATACTCTGTCTTCATTGCAAAGATGATAAGATTTCCTCATATTACCGACACTTGTCGTAGTTGATTCGATGGGCTCCGTTGCAGAGTTTTGTTTTCTATAGCCAGTCAACCAACCAGAAAGAAACTCTCCTGTTGCAGGAGAACCACTATTCAAAGGAAGCGACTGTCCGGAATCTATCCATTCGGTTATCTCTTCCAATGATCTCTGTAAAGGAAGAGAATGACACGTTTGCTGCCATAAACTTGTCATTTTGCCGATAACTGAGCTCCAGGAGGCCCCCAACTCGACTAAAGAAGAATGAGGTTTGTGGTAAACCAAGGAGAAAGTCACCAAAAATGCGCCGTGATCGTACTCTATTGAAGCCTACTTTGCTACCTTTGATATTCTTCTTCTTGATCTCTACAAAGAGTAAGGACAATTGTCTTAATTGGATACCGTATATGATGAATTCCGTCCGATGTTCTACAGTTAGATTCGACAACTGTCCGTCAAGAGGGTGGAAGCAGCATGATGAGGGTGCGGAGACAGACAAGCGTCAATCGAAACTTCTTGATGGAACTCTTTCTGATTGGAAAATGAACGAAAGTGTTCTTCATGTTCCACCAGTAAGCTTTCATAGTCAACTTTGAACCTTAACACTGTTATATTTTTCAAACACAGTTCACTGCTCAGATTTACTCCCAACTTTTTGAAATCAAAGTAGTTTAAATCTTCCTCTGGAGACAAACTGTGGTGAGTGACATTCTGAATAGTGATAGACTTGTTCAAACTGAGCACCGATATATATATATATATATATATTCTGTCTGATACCAGCAGTGCGACTGTCCGAAAGTACTGTAGTCTTTTAAGAGCTAGTTGAGGTTGAAATTCTAGAGTTTTCCTCCGAACTTACTTGCTTCAACTAAGAAGGAAGTCACTGACTGTTCGATAGGGGTTTTACCATTGACAATATGCTACCGTACTGCAGAAACATATTGCCATGGCTATTTCAAACACGCTTTCCCTAATAGTCCACGGGAGCTCTGCAGTTTCCAATAGACAAACTCAACAAATTAGTGTTCCATGGGGGACTTGGAGAGAATAGCCCTTTGAAATTTTTCATTGGAGAATTGATTCCTTATTTGTGTTTATATAGCATAGATTTGCTCTAATATGCCATGTGCCACTTACTTTACTCTTTTATTTAGAGACAATTTGATACGAGAGGTCAATGGGATATGAACAGTGTCAAAAAGTACATTTTTGAATGATTTATCAAAGAAAAACTTGAAAATAACAGCTTTAGAAAAGCTATCGTGGTTAGAGTTGAACAATCTATCAACTAGTAAAACATAAAGATAAGCTCTAGAAACATATGTCAAAAAAAGCATTTGAATAACTATCAAATTTCCATTATTAAGAAATAAGATCAGAGAACTCAAAAATATGTCTTCAGAAGGAAACCCTACACATAAAAAGGCAACCTTCAGTGCAAGGATGACGGAATTCTCATCATCTCTCAAAACTTTTCTATAGAACTTCATAAAGAATTTCATATGCTGAACATATTCGGTGACATACTGCAGAAGCTGACAAAGGAAACGAGGAAATCTTCAACTCTTCGTCTGCCCACTCCTCTACAATCTTTCCATGGGCCATTGCTCCAATTACATAAAGTATATTCATATCTTTCTTAAGCACTTCTTGGGCATGCTTATGAGGACTCATTAAATTCTCACAATTGTAAGAACATACTTTACAACAATTCCAATCATCTGTCTCTGCAAAACTATTGTACACATACCTGTCTTCCAGCACATGTCGGGTAGATGGTTAGTAATAGGGTTCTGTATAATCTGGAGAAGAGGCTTGTTCAGACCATGGCCAAATATCTTCAAGTCTTGCAATAGTTGTACTAAACATGAATCAGAAGATTCCATTGTTAAAAGCGTTGAGAGCACTGACCCGTTAAACCGCAAAAACGCTTCAATGTTCGCGGAATACGTGTCTGAGGATTTACTTTGATCAATACATTGTTCGTAGTATGAATATACAAGTCCAAATATCCGGCCTTATTCAATGGACTATCCAATAGACTCAACACACACTAGGTAAAGCTATCAGTCCAAAAGACGAAAGAATAGAAAAAGACTGACCTGGTGTACTATATCGGGACGATAATCAGCAGGATTGAGGTTCTTTCGTTTCATATATTGTTGGTGTTCATCTCCGTTTAGAATTTCCCACTTCCTGTCAATCTTGACCAACTCAAGACTCGCTTGTTCTAGAAGGAAAGTCACTTTTCCTCTTGATTTCGCTCCCAGCTTTTGCAAGGAAGGGTCGACTAACTCATGCTTCGAATTGGAATCAACAATACTATTGAAAACTACATTCTGATATATTTCACATTCTTCTTGCTCAACTTCCTTTGCAGTTTTCCGCTTCTTATTGACATCGTCGGCTGCTGACATAAAAACCAATTGATAATTTATTGTTAGATTTATTAAAATGGTAAGGCATAAAGAACTTACAGTTTCATTGAATACTTACAACTTATTTAGAGACCCTTAATTTTAAAAGGTCACGAGCGTCCCTTGACAATGTTGAAATATAATAGTGAAGGAGACCTTCTCTTTTCAACTGCAAAGGACTCAACTCCCACGGTTTGGTGGACTTCCAATGGGGAGCGAATAGGAACCTATCGTGGACATAATGGAGCGGTTTGGTCGATAGATGTGAATAATGATTCGACGAGAGTAGTAACTGGTTCCGCAGATAACAGTGCCAAATTTTGGAGAGCAGAAACTGGTGAGTGTATATTGACGTGGACTCACAAGTCTCCTGTCCGTTGCGTTTCTTTCTCTAGTGACGATCAGTTTGTTTTTGTTGCAACAGCGATGTTGATGGGACAATCTTCAGAGATTTACCAATATCTTGTGGATTCTGAAAGTTTAGAAGAAGCAAGTGTTCCTATTCGAACTTTTTCTGGACATTCGGCTACTGTGACTCGGGTAGTTTGTCATCCCACCGAAAAAACTTTGATATCAACTGGTGAAGACGGAACTGTTCGAAAGTGGGATATCGAAACTGGTCGAAATACGGAGACAGTTACAATACATCAGAAGCCTATCAACGATTTACAGTTATCAAAGAGTGGCGGACAGCTGATCACAGCTTCATCTGACTTTAGCGCAAAAATTTTAGACTTTCGTTCTCTAAAGGTGTTGAAAACGTTTCTTACAGATCGACCGGTTAATTCAGCAGCTATTTCACCCATTTTGCCTCATGTATTATTAGGTGGTGGTCAAGAAGCCTCACAAGTTACAACTACTGGAGATCGCGCTGGAAGATTTGAAGCGAGACTATTTCACTTAATCTACGAGGATGAAATTGGTATTATTCGTGGGCATTTTGGTCCTATCAATACGGTTGCATTTTCACCCGATGGTCTTCAGTTTGCAAGTGGTGCTGAAGAAGGCTTTATTCGATTGCACAACTTTGATGAGGAATATTTTCAAGCAAGCTATAATTAAGGTTGGCTTTGAATATGAAGCAGCTTGGTCGCAATAAAGTATTTTGAAAGAAACGACGAATTGGTTTGTCGGTGTCATCTATTTGAGGAATTGGTCAATATTTGTTATCATTTCCTATTTCGACCTTACAATTGTTTCATAAACATAGAATAAGCGATATGAAATAATGCTCTGTTTCTTCATTTTGGTTTCGAGTCTTCGTTGGTTAGCACTATTTCTGTAGCTATTCTTTATATCATGAATAACAGCCAAAATTACTAAACTTTCTTCTCTTAGTGGTCTAATAACCACTCTGGTACCACTTTCTCAATATGTCTCAATTGAACAGCATCACAAGAATCTTTATGAGCTTCTTCGACTGCACGTTCAATAGCCTCTTTGAGACTAATATGAGTTTGTGTTTTTATACAAAATGCAAGTTTAAACTACCTTTTGTAATAATTCGAAGATATTCAGTTACTGCTTTTAGACCGTCATCTCTTAGTTTGGTTTGATACTGAAAGCGTCGTTGCAAGAGAGAGGAAATAATTTCCTAAATAACAATAACAACACTAACATGAACACTGTAACTTGACATACTTGACGAAAACCAAAAGATTCTGACGTCTTATCGTTGTCTGTTTCCATTTGAAACTCAACGCAACTCGTTCAAGAATTGGCGCTCAAAATGAAGTGAAAAATCGATGATTGCCTTTCATTTACTTCCTCACAAAGTGTTTTATAAGTCTCCCAAGTTGGAGAAGTTTACGCAATCTATTAAACATCCTTTTTATACAAGGCAACATGGAAGGAAATACTCCAATTCTGTTGGATATATTAGGAGGACCTTGAAGAGTCAGGTTCTTTGTCTTTTGGCAAAGGAAGATGGTGTGTCTGATTTATGCGTTTCCTTCTTCGGTGCTGGTTATGTTGGCTTGGTTTCAAGTGTTTGTCTTGCTGACTATTGTAAAAAAGTATACTGTTTGGACACCGACAAAGAAAAAATTGCAAGTCTTCGGGAGTTACAGATCCCAATCTATGAACCTTTACTAGAAGATAAGTTGCGAAAAAATTATGAATCGAAACGACTTGTTTTCTTGAGCGAGACTTTTGATTTGGCTATTCGTGATTCTGATATACTGTTTATCGCAGTGGGAACACCGAGTCGACGTGGAGATGGCCACGCGGATTTGTCCTATGTATTTTCAGTAGCAGAATTGATTGCCGAAATGTTAACTCCAGGTTATACTTTAATAGTCATTAAGTCGACAGTACCTGTCGGTACTTGTAATAAGGTACAAGAGTTGATGAAGGCTAAAGTAAAATCTTCCAAAGTTCAGTTCGACGTGGTATCTAATCCGGAGTTTCTTAGACAAGGGAGTGCAGTTGAGAACTTTTTGCATCCCGATCGTGTCGTAGTTGGCGGCTGCGGTTCAGTAGGAAGTCCGGCCAGAAAGCGAATGGAAATTTTATACTCTCCATTTGTAAAAGACAAAGGAACGCTCTTATTTACAAGCTGGGAAGAAGCAGAAATGATTAAATATGCAGCCAATGCTTTTCTTGCACTTAAGATTCAATTCACTAATGAGTTTGCAGACTTTTGTCAACTGGTCAATGCCAACATTTCGGTTGTTATGAAGGCGATAGGTTTGGATGAGAGAATTGGCAGTCATTACCTGCAACCAGGACCAGGTTTCGGTGGCTCTTGTCTACCAAAAGATATTCGTGCCTTGGTACGAAGCGCGCAAGAATATAGTTGTTCGATGAGACTCTTGGAAAGTGTTATAGATGGCAATGAAGTGCGAAAAAGACGAATAGCGCAGTGGATTGCAACTTTAGCCGATGGAAGTTGTACAAAGGAAGATGTTGGAATTCCTTTGCACGGACATCATACAAACTCAACAACAATTAATGTGTATGGGAAGAGATTTGCCATTCTTGGTCTGACTTTCAAAGCCAACACCGATGATCTTCGGGAATCTCCAGCCATCTATGTCGTCCAAGAACTATTATCATTGGGTGCTCTCGTTTCTGTCTACGACCCTCAAGTAAAGGAGGAGTCTGTGATAAGACATTTCGAGAATTTTCGAGGATTTCCTCTGAATATTTGTGAAGATACTTATACCGCTTGCAAAGATGCAGATGTTACTGCTATTCTCACCGAGTGGGAGGAATTCCGCAACTTGGATTGGAGCAGACTATACAACATTGTGTCAAGGCCTGTGATTGTGGATACTCGCAATCTGCTAGAGCCGAATTGGATAGGTGAACAAGGCTTTTGCTATTACTCAGTGGGCCGACCACCGTCGTTTCCAAACAAGGACCGCAAACAGAACTTTAAGATATTGCCATCTGAGAACAACTCTCAACAAACAAAAGATTCGTTAATTGAAAAGATCAAAACGGGTTCACAATAAACGCGTTTTCCTATAAGATATCTTTCCTGAAATTCTCCATCCTCTTACCACGGAAGAGAGCAAGTTTTGCCTTTCGAGCTGCTTGTTTCCTCTTTCTTTGTCGTTTAACACTATTAGGTTCAAATTCTTGTCGCCGCTTTAGCTCAAGTATGTGTCCACTTTTGCTAACTTCTCTACGAAACCTGGCAATTGCCGAGTCTATGGGTTCACTCTCACCAACATCGACACGCACTTCCATGGTGACTAGAAATAATAAGAAACTTGATTATATTCGAAATTACGAAGACTAACCTGAACCCATTTCTCTCTGCTGTAACCTTTGAGCTCGCCTCCACTGGAAGTTAACAGGCTGTCCCAAAAAAGAAGCAGGGCAAATATGATTCCATCTTGGCGTGATATGAAGCGACTTTAAACTATTTTTGCAAAAACTAGATGAGCAAGGCGACTTCTTTAAGTGTGTTTTGTTCCAAAAAGCCCAAGTAGAAAAACAAATAGTGGTCTGCATATGGCTGTAACTGAATGCGAAATATTCCAATCCCACAAAAGTATTGGATACTATATATTCCCAGAAGGATGAAGAACTGCGTTATTCTTCTTTCTCAGGTCTATCCAAAAACTGTCTTCTCTTGCTTTGAAAACGTTTATATTCGATATATTCAACCATTCCTCAGTAAAATAGTCTTCCAGCAAGAATTCCCTATTCTATATAGTCCGTATGGAGTTGTTGTAGAAGGCTTCTAACAACCTTTTCCTCAGATAGTGATAGCATGTGTTTGTCATTGAGTCTGTGAGTTCAACAAATGCCTAAAGAAGTATAGCCTTCGGTCATACACCGTAGTTGTTCTCAACCAAAGGGTATTTTTTCAACTGAAACTCACGCGAGTTGTGAAACGACTTTTGCGCCGGTCATAGTTGCTAACTTGCTCACTTCCTTCAATTATGGGGAAGAACTGCTTCAAATAGTTGAAATACCATTCAGTTTCTCAACCAAACATTTGCCTTATCACACTTTCCTTTCAAGACAATATTCAAATTGCTATACGTTGAACTCGAGTCACTAAGTTGGTTGTAAGTATTATTCATTTTCATTCTTCATTTCCTTCTAATACTAGAAACACGTGCACTCTCGATGTAAGATTATACACGATTCCAGAAGGCCTCGAGGACAAATCTAGAGCGGATTGATGGAGATCATTTCTCTCCCATTTCGCATTCAAATAGCAATTATCCAATTTCATCTAATGATTGTTTGGCTTTTCATTGGACACAGAGATGGAAGAAGGTAGGTTCACCACGTGAATTTATTTCTATATATTACAAGGTTTGAAAGGAAATGGAGTTTCTCTGGAAATACCAAACTCTGGTAATGGAAAATATGAATTTGAAAGGATGAATAACGCTGTTCATGAAAATTTGACGACACGAATGAATTCAGCAGCTTTTCCACCTTTTCCAGACCCTACTTCACTAGGACTGTCTGGCTTTAGTTGCACAACTTTCATTCTCAGCGTTTTAAATGCCAAGTTGCTACCGGCAAAGGTTATACCAGGAGTAGTAGGACCTGGTCTGTTTTACGGTGGAACAGTACAAATGTTGGCTGGCCTCTTGTGCTTTATTACACGTAACATGTTTGGTTTGGTAGCATTTACTTCCTTCGGAGCTTTTTGGTTGGCCGTTTCCACATTGATAACCTTGGAAGAAGAGGGAATCCTTGTGTTTGGTACAGATGCCAACCAAGTCTTGGGCATCTTATTGGTTGGATATTCCATATTTTCAACTTACTTGTGGATAGCATCCTTCGCGCATCATTTTGCATTAGTATTTACGATTACAGCCCTGATTCTCACTTTGATGTTGCTAGCAATGGCTAATTTTGGAGTCATGTCAACCGTACCTGGAGGTATTTGTGGTATCATATTAGCCGCGGGTGGATGGTAAGGAAGATAAGATTGTGGGAAAATATAGTCTCAATGATATAGGTATATATCCGCAGGAGTCCTTATCAATGATAACTATGGAAGGACTGTTGTTCCATTTGGAGATATTCACTGCATTCCGTACCTACATGTTTTAGCACCTAAGAAGAAGATTTAAACATAACAAAACATGATAAATGTCAATATAAATATATAGATATATAGAGAAGTAAGTAAGTTTGTGTGTGAGTGATTGCATTTTTTCAAAATAAATTTAATTATTGCGAGAACAACGCCCCCCAGGCGGAATTGAACCGCTCAGCTTTGCAGCTGCCAAGGCTTTGAAGGCCTTATCTTGCACCAGCAAGAGTCAAGTGGGCAATTTATCTCAAGGACATATTGCCATTAAAGGATTTTGGGTTGGATAGGAAAAACGATGATGGGAGAAGAATCTACATATGACCGAGTGCTAATACAGTTGGAAGGAACAGAAAAGACTGTGAAGAAGCTAAGGAAACACTTACGAACATATTTGCTGGAAACGACCTCAATAAGTGATATGGAGCCACTAGAGCGTGCAAAAGCAAACCTAAACCTAGCATACTTGTCTGCGGCACTTTTTTACATGCTTCTCCGAACTCACGGCCTGGACACGTCAGAACATCCTGTCATGCAAGAGCTCCAGAGAATTAAGGAGCGTTTTGAACTGCTTAGTAGACTGGCGGGTCAAGAAGACCGTCGTTCACTAGTTGTAGATAATGAAGCGACTGGTCGGATCTTGGCGGCAACGTTGACAGAGCTGCCGGAGAAAGAAAAGAGGAAGTTACGAAGAACCGTGAAAAGAAAGAGATAAGAACAGTGATGGTTGCTTTTGTGATAAAACTGTGGTGTTAGAACATACTTGGCATAACAATATTCGTGGAGCTTGTTGTTGAACCTGTATCTTCGAGCGACCAAAAAAAACAAAAGTTTCCTGTAACTTTATACATTATCATTCGTTGGTCACTCTCAAAAACTGGTTTTCTAGTAACCCTAAAACAATAAGGCTGTACACTTGCTGACAATGATTCACCCACAATAGTCTTAACGAAATTGACGAATATTGTTATCATTTTGAGATAAACCAGCATATCCGAATGGTCCTTTCATAGTGTCGGACTTGTCTCGCTTATCGTAGATTGTCGCCGAATAGCGATTCGAATTCACATCAAGTTTACGTAACTCCTTCTGTACATGTTGTAATTCTTGAGAAGAAGAAACAGAATTATCAATTAAACTACTTTATATTATAAGTTACTTCGTACTAGCTAAAAGTACTTACTGTTCAATGCCATTCTCCAGTTGCTTCGCACTTTTTAGTGCCTTCTGATAAAATGCCATTCCCTTTTTAACAGCAATTTAGTTCTTGATACAAATGCTTCAACCATTCCTATTACCTGTTCCAAGGCAGTTTTAATTTCTTTCCATGACTCACAGACACTAGTTGCATTTCTTATTCTGTCTTGTACTTCAGAAATAGCTTTGTTTAAATCTCCTTCCATTGAATGCAAAAGGTTATATGCATCTTCTAGCTGCAGAATAATCTTCTTCTGTTCTTCAATATGACCCTCTAGAACGTTCTTTATCCGAGACTTTTGCTCTTCGATGTGTGACTGCAAAGTTTCCTCCACAGAATGCTCCGACGATGCCAATATCATTGCTATTGACTCCTGACTGAATTCCTCTTCCAAGGTTTTCTGCAAACGTTGCCTTCTTGCAACAACATTTTTTGCAGTTTCTAAGCGTTCAATGACAGCATTTCGAGCATCAATATAATCTTGCGGAACCTGGTTCAGAGCTTCGTTAATCAAAGATATTATTCTTCGCTCTCCATCACGATGTAGCTCAAAAGAATCCAACGATTTGATGCTTCGTTCAGTTTGCTTCATTCTAGTAGATACATAATTATCTGCGCGAACAGCTAGTTCTAATTGTTCCTCCAATCTTGTGAGTTCCTGTTTGTATCCTCTCGTTACAGGAGACATATTTCCATCAGAGTGTTGCCAACCATTTGCGACCCGGGCTTGTGCAATAAGTGCACGATCCTTCTCCTAAAACTCGGTTCAGAGATAATAAATAACCAACTGTATAGACTTGCCTTGTCGAGAATCTGTTTGCATCTAGATAGGATTGTTCTCACCTCCGTGTTTAGCTTCTCTATCTTGAATCTCATCTCTTCCAATCGGGACCAGCCTCCATTGTCACGTATATAGCATATTGCTTGTAAATGCTCAGGCACCACTTCGGAAGAGATCGGACCACGACCTTGATCTGAAAAAAGACAGTCTTCAAAAGCGAAAATTTTATCATTCAAAGCAAAAGTTAGCTGCTGCAGTTCATGTAAATGATGACCAAGGATCGACTTGAGCTCGGCATCAAAGTTGGAAGCCACATTACGAAGATGTAATGGCACAAGACCATGAAATCCTGACAAAATCTTCAAAGCTAACTAAGCTTACATAAAAATAAACCAAATTAACTTTACTTACTTCTTCTTCTATGTTCACATTCGATAATGTGTCGCTAACATTAGCTGACCTAACGGACACTCTACCTTGTATTGGACTCGGTGAATCGGGAACTGTTTGCATATAGATGCTATTATTTTCTTTTTCTGCAATCTTTAAAGAAGAGGCAAGTTGTACCGCAGCTTGGTCCGCTCGATTTTTTAAAGTTAGAATACCAGGAAAACAAATACACTGTGTGAGCGATTTCGATAATTTCTTTAGTGACTGAGACAAATTTAGGGCCTTGTTCAGCCTTGCAATTTGCTCTCCTGAAAGTAAGTCAGGATCGGAACCATTGAAACAAACAATTCAACAAGGTACAGACCTTTCTCATCTCTCTCGGAGTTTACTTGGGACATACGAATCTCCGCTTCTCGCTCATAGAAAACCGAGAGATACTGGGCGCAATCACTAATCTGCTTATAAGTCCCGTCTCCACTCAGCAACCTGACTCTAGACCTCTGGACTACCTGAAGCCAAGTGTTCGAAGCACCAGCGCAAAGCACAGCAATAACTGCGTCTTTTTTTCCTGTACGTTGGGCATATTCGCACATACAAGTTTGCGCACTAGCCAAAGCTGCAGCGAGAAAAACATTTAAAGCTTCTAAACCCAAATCTAAAGTAACCGAACCATCTGGTGGTGAGGTACAAAGGACAGAGAAATGACCAGCTGCTACTTGATATTGGCGACACGCTTCTACAAGCAAAGAGACGTCCGAATTGCCTCCAAGTACGTTGGAAACCAACACACTGGCAGCGACTAGTTCACAAGCTGCCAAGTTGAAGGCAAGACAAGTTCTTTCCAAGGCAACGTGGCGCTGCTTTGCCTTTTTTAGAGGGTTAAAAACGTCATACCATATGAAAGCTATCTAAATAAACAGAATTTTTGAGAGACTGGAAGCAAAAATTACACAAAACAAACCTTTGCTCCTTTATCGGTGAAATCTAGTCTCCTTGCAGTAAATTCAAGAGCTGCGAAATATTGCCGTATAGATTCTTTCACCGTTTGACAACTTGGGAGATCCGTAACTCGGTGAATGTTGCCGACTGCTTCTTCTCGTCGTCGTGAAAGGCACTTTAAACCTTTGCTCACGTTGGTCCAATAGTTTTCATCGTTTTTAGGGTGTACACCAAGGAAAGTCTCTAGTGAATTGCTTCCATTAGAAAAAGTCTCTTGCACTGTAAGTTCGAAGTCTATCTTTTCGGACTTCTTCAAAGGAAGTCGAAAGGTCCAAGCTTGCATCAAACCAATTCTCCAATTGGACTCAAAATTCAAACAATTTGGACACGCCACTTTATTAAAACATTCAAAAGGGACCAAATTGAAGTGATGTTGAGCTTGTCTGGAAATTTCTCTTTGTTTCGTATTTACAACTAAGAGCTACTAGAATTTCGAATTACTTGCGAAGTTTGCGTTGTGCCAACGACTATTCTTGAAAGCAGCGAATATTCAGTCTATATCTCTTTAACATACTAGGTAGAGCTGACCGACTTACTAAGATGAACAAACATTTCTTGGAAAAATAAGAAATAATATTCTTTTACTTTCTGTGTCTATCAAAACTGTTTACTTGCTTTTCGATAGGGTGTGCTGATTGTCTACTGATCCAATTGGAGCCAAAAGAAAAATGCTTTTTGATCTTTGTTTGGGAACCACCCAATTTTCGAAACTTCTTGCGAGGCTTCTCATATATTGAATAAATCTCATTTGTGTTTGCTTTTACACAGCAGTGAGCTTGGTTGAGTTGTTCAAAATGTACAGAACAAATTATAACCCACGTGCAGCCTCATGCAGTTTGAAAGGTAAGCAACAACGTTTCACTCAAGCAAAAATCTTTAGCATATCGCAAAAATCGATGCTGAGTACAACGAAAAATTTTTGCAAGAAATAAAATTGTTCGTCCATTTCCAATCCTTTACATTCAACAAATGTGACTGTTCTTGTCGCGTCCATTTGTCATTCCGAAAGACAGGCGAACTTTCTATTTTTTAATGATAAACATTCTTGCAGATTGGAATTCCATCACGACGTCGAAAACATTATACCGCAAAGTCGGTTCAAGAATCTGCAAATGACAACGTTTAAGAGTAAACCAAATTAGGGTGCTTCCTCACGAGATTGAAGAAAGGAATCCATAAACTCAGCCAATATTCGCGGTTTCTCGATAGGAACCCAGTGTGAACAGTTAGGAATATAACGCACCTCAATGTCACTAACTAACTTATCCAAATCAAAGGTCAACTCCTTTCCTAACGCCCTAAAATTGTGTCAAATAACTTTTGGCATATCGCCATTATTCCGACTTACGAATCTTCCACACCCCATACAACCTTATTATCAAATAACAACATTTAGGTTTACTTAAACCGGTTAACAAGAACGTACAACTTACCAACGTAGCAATGTTTAGTTGGCGCTCGAACAAATGACGCATGCTATTACTAGCAATTGAATTGCGAACCAAGGCCCTGTAATAGTTAATAGCACTTTTCAACGCCCCAGGCTGTAACAATGCCTTGCGATATTCTTCGGCATCTTCATGACTCAATGCTTGTGTATAACAGAGTGTATTGCGAATGGCTAGCACTAAATTCTTACAACTATTATATCCAAGAAACAATTCTGGCAACCAAGGGAGTTGGAAAAATAATATATACCTGTTTCTGTTAGTTGCAAATACTCTCATTAGACATAAAACATTACCAGGATCTTAACAGCTGCTTCCAATTGGGAGGGAAGGAAAAAAGTGCCTCATAGAACTTGTATGGGTGCGGTGCGTTGACAATAATCAAAGTTCGAACACAACGAGGATACAAATATGCAACAGACCATGCGATAGCTCCTCCCCAGTCGTGCCCAACACAAGTACAAGCTTCATAACCTAACTGCCGAATCAAGCTTTCGATATCCGCCGAAAGCAGTTCCAAACGATATTCTTGAACGGAATATGGTTTCGAAGACTCGTTGTATCCGCGAAGGTCTGGAGCAACTGCACGATATCCCTTGCGGAAAAAATATTGCAAAATATATTTCCAGGAAAACCAAAACTCTGGGAATCCATGAAGAAGCAACATGAGAGGCCTATTTTGGTGCGAGCCTTTGCATTCTACTATGTGCAGCTTACAACCATTGCAAAATACATAAGAGTGAAGGAATTCGTTGGAGGAATCACCAGGATGTTGGACAACCTTTTGCATGATGTAGAAACTGTAACTCTGTTATTATTGTTACGTAATAGCAGATAAGAAGCGCTTGAAACAACACAAATGATATCAGTTAAAGGAATGGTGTATGAGATACAATATTTTGCTGACCCAATCAACAACAACTTTCTGGTCCTTTTGGTTACAAGAATAGATTCTCTACAACACTCATGATGGACTCCCACAACACAAATTCAACACTATTTTCTTTCTAAGGAGTTGTTCACCATTGAACAAACAAAAATATAGATATATAAAACTTTTATGTACTGAATATTTTCAAAAAAGTCGTTGGTGCAGTTTTAGCGTATTTGAAAATATAGTCTGCCACTCTATGCCTTCTCTGTGAGTGGCTCCTCCGAGAACCTGACTGTAGACTCGTTCTCTTCAGGAATACTTTCCTGAAACCACACAAGAATCAGTATTCCCACCAATGTTACAATCATTCCAACTACTTTGGCTAATGAGAGCTTCTCCCCAAAGAAAAAGATGCCACCTAAGCTAGTAAGGATTATGCCCAAACCACACCAAACCGCATACCCTACAGTCATCTATTCTCCAAAGAGAACATTATACAAAAACTACAACAATTGTTATACTACTATACCTCAATTCTAGTATATGCAATCACCATTGTAAGAACACAAAGATTGTAACAAATAAAAGCACAAGCAGCTGGCAACCGCTGAAGAAAGACGTTAAAGAAAATGACCAAGACCAAGCAATACTAACCTTTTGGAAAGATTGCGAAGCCTTCATACAAGTTGTTCCAGCACCTTCAAGAACGACGGAAACTAGAAAGAAAATCCAACACAACCATAGAGGGATGCCAAGCCTCGAGTTGATAACCATGGCTGCTATAGCAACAGCAAGACAAGAAGAGTAACTGCAGTAAATAGACTGTTAAACTGTTCAGTCGTATGACTCGAGACACTCAACCGCTTTTTTACAATGCCTTATGATGGCTCCTCATTAGGAACCAATCAGTAGAGACAAGAATTCAGCTATTCTGTTGAAAACAACTGTGGAAAGAATTTGATTTTCATTTACTACATTAGTGTAGATAACAAATAACAGTTGTGTGCTCTTATTTTCTTCTGCAGACATCCTACAAAATTTATTCTTGAAATATATCGTACCAATTGATATTATTCACAGAATAAACAATGTTTAATACAATAATTGTCATATCTAACATTTCCGAAAAATAATATGGGAACAACAGACTTTCTCGTGTTACAATTTACCTTCAAATGTCAATAGAGGTGTCATTGAGCAACATGCAATGAACTTTCATCTTCAAAAGAGATATCAAGGCTATCTAAATACTAGACCATCTACTATGTTATAAAAATGAAGATCATAGTGTCTGCCATTACTGTAAAGCAACATTATGGTTTACCCATGAACAATCAACGTTCACAATCGAATTGTGTAATTACACAAATTTGACACTTTGGAAGCAATGAGTAACTCTGAAGACGCTGAACTGAGGCCAAGTTTTTCAGTTCCAAACCTGGAAAATCCTGCAAAAAAGAAACTAAACTCATCAGGTAGCTATTTTGTGATTGGAGGGTGTTTGGCTACTGCCGCTGTATTATTTGGGGGCTTGCTCAGTTTTCGCCGCGGAAACTCTAGAAACTCACAAATGTTCATGCGTGCTCGTGTTCTGACGCAAGGTGCAACCTTGCTTGCAGTAGCAGGTACGTTCTGGAGTGCAGCCAGTTTGAAGAGGAGGGAACGAGAGCAAGCGGTAGCAGCAGGTGAAGAACTTGGTGTAGAAACCTTAGACGAAGAGAAAGCCAAGGCTCTTTTAGAAAAAACGGGCCGTCAAAGAAGTTTAAGGTAGAAAGTGTTGAAGTACATTGTTACTTTGGTTTGTAGAAATTGGTTAATGCCGTATCATCTATGTATAAGTTATGGATACTTTTGACAGAGTTCCTTGCATTGTGCTTTGTAGTAAATTGTGAAAGTAGAACTGTTGATTTCGAAAGCCTAGTATTTTACAACTGCTTGAAGTAACTAAATTCTTCTGAAAGGAATTTACTTTTTATTGCAACTGGAATTGAACTCAAGTACCACAGTCATAGATAAATTTCATAAGCTTCACTGCTGCTTAAACTATTTGCAATGAGATATGAAGCAGCGCTCATTCAGACAATAATAACAGCGTTCATTTACTGCACTAAGCTTCTTAACTCATCAAGTTTGTTGGCAAACTTCATTGAGGAAACAGGAGTATTGTATACATAAAAGGGATTGAGCAGGTTCGCTATGTACAGTTTGTGGATACTTCGCAAAATCTTACAACGATAAAACTGTCACAATCAAAACTTGGTATCGAAGCTCCGAACGTACCTCCTTCAGTTTAATATCATTTATTCCACGAGAAGTGGTTGCCAACAAAATTTTCAAACCAGTATTCGTGACGTATGCAAACACAGGAAGTGGTTCCTGTGGATTCACACAACCTAAATAACCGTCTGCAGTCATTTCTCTTGCACTCTTTCCTATACAACTTTAGAGAGCTTCTTGACAAACGGCGGAGATAATATACCTTGTCCAGGAATAAAATCTAACGAACGGAACAGTAAATAGTGCAATTGTTGCTCCCTTGTTTCCCCTGTTCTAGGGCTTGGCAACACCCAATCAGGATGTTCATAGACCCGAGTGAATAGTGGCCGATTCTACTTTTGTCAAAGGTAAGGACTTTTTACAAAAATACTGCAACTGCTCTGAGTACCGAATAGTTCACGACGGCCAGCGCAACAACAGGACTAGGATTGGACTCTGCAACAACTTCTGACGTGACAGGTTTCGACATTTCTCACTGTTGAACCTAGTATTGCAAAACAGTTTTGAGTTATTTTGTCTTGTCCAAAAATTCTCTACTTTTTCAATTTTTTGTGGTCCAAACAGTTCTCACAATTCTAACTGAAAAGTCATTACAACAGAAAATTTCTAAAGCTTCTTTTGGGGCAATCAAAATTGACTTTCCAGTGTTGTTTTACAAAGAACTTCCACGAATATATTGAGTTGCTTGTATTAGAAGGTCTTAAACAATAATAACGGAAGATAATTCGATATGAACACTATAGATGAAAGTGATGAACGAAAGAATCGAGAACACAAGGCATTATCTCTTAAGATATCAAATCATGGTCTAGAAACTATCTTATCTAGTATGAAATGATGAAAGATTCTTAAAGGAATGATCTGGCAAGGTAAACCTACCAAGAATATAAACGAATAAATGCTCATATTCATTGAGAATCACTTTAACATGGTTCTATGGTAATGTTCACTTTTTCATGAAAACTGATATAACAAGAATGGATATGAATGCATCTTCGAAGTACGAATTCATATGAAACAACGCTACAAAACAGCATCTGTGAAATACTGCAACGTCCGAAACCATGCTAATAAACTAGTCTTCAAGATGAACATTTTTCAATATCGAGCAGCATAAAAAATTTCTTGACAATTTGTCTATCAACTGAAAAGCCTTGAAAGGAAAGAGCTTCATATGTTTTACAAACTTACAAAAAAGACATTAACAGAAGCGATACTCGAATCCTCGGATTTGTGATCTATGAACCTTTCACGTTTATGCTCAAAACATTGTTCTTTTCTCTGATTGCCGACGATCCTCAAATGCACATAGAGCATATTGAATGGAAGACCATAAACGCCAAGAAGTTGTAATAAACAAACAAAAGTATCCAATTTGCTTCCACAACTTCCAATAAACTGAGCTATGTAACAGTAATATCGTAAGCATTTCAAATGCAGCATCAACTGCATTAGCTTTATATCCTGCCTATCATATTTCTTCATTGAGAAACAACAACAAATGAACTTGAACAACATACCTCAAATCGTCTACCACAAAAGGTTGTCCACTCTCTCAAGGTTAATAAAAAACATTCCAAGGGGACTAGCAACCAGATCAAGGTTGAGATCCATATGCTGTTCTCTTGAATAGCTATTCCAATAAGACAAGACCAAAACATACTCTTACTAACGAGAGGTTCTAAAAAAGTTAGAAAAGTGGCTTGGCACTGAACAAACGCCTCGCTCTTCTTTCTCAACCACAATAACCAAGTGGATAAAATGAGAGTGAAGTCACAAAGTATATAATTATTCAAAAGTAAGAAAGATACAAATGGAATATATAATATAAGCCGAAGCAACGAAAGAACACGAGGAGTATCCCACAATATAGGTAAATTTTCAGAAGACAATGGCACCGGATCGTAACTTATATGGGGTGCATAACGTCTTTGTAACTCCTCTGGATCGTAACGTAACTCATTGGGTGGCCAATCAATCTTTCGAGGATCAATATCAATACGAAAGTCATGCTCCAAGAGAGCTGCTATTTCTGCTTCTTCCCTCCTTATCCAATTGTCCTCAAAGCCAGGAGGATTCGAAGGAGACTCGCCCTGCTGACAAAAAGTTCTCATAATCTTCTTGTTATTGTAAAGCTCAAGTCCATTTCTTTTATGCGATAGAACAAAAAAGCGTTTATTCTTCGAAAGTTGAGCTCTCACAAGCTGAGAACCTAAAGGATCAATCTGCAACCCTTTCCATAAAAAGACCATTGTCACTTGCTCTACCACAAAATTATATTTTAATCAAACACAATTGCAAATTGCTGTTGAAAAAAGTAACATTGTACGACTAAACACTTTATCTAGCATATTTAAACAACTATTACTTGTATAAATAATTCACAGCTCGTGTTAAAGATCAAAGAATCTGACAGTTCTTTTCTGGAGGATCCAAGGTTCTCTTCTCCAATGTCTTAGTAGCATCGTTGTTAGTTCCTTGCAAATCAGAACCTATTGATTGTTCTATCGCCGTCTCTTTTCTTTGAGATGAATTGGTGTCTATTTCTGGTTCTTTTCCTACTGTATTAGACCGGAACTCTTGAATTTCTCCCGTACTCCCACTTTTAGTGGAACTCGAACTTGGTCGATAGGAATCATCCCTACAAGTGTCACTGTCGCTTGTGTCTTTTCCATTTCCCAATTTCTTATTTATCTGAGCCGTTTCTTTTTCCTTACTATTGTTCTTACCACTTACATAAAGATATTCCATATAGGCCATATTGCGACCTACGCTTTGAGAACTTCTCAACGAAGCCCTTTCACTCAAAGCTCTTGCACGAAGTTCGTAACCAAAACTACCAGGAGGCTTGGCATTATCTATGTCTATCGATTGCGGGCTTTGACCTCCTACATAAATGTGATATATATTTCCTTTCGTATCTGCAGTATGAAAAGTACGGTTGGAAGGCGATGCAGCACAACATCGTAAAGGTTCTCTCGAATGAAATCTTGAGAGTGGAGTTGAATGACGTCGAAGGTCCCAAATGTAAGCACTTCCACCAACGGTGCAAGTAAGTGCATAGCGTCCTTGCGAACTAATAGCACAGCCCCATACTTCATCATCATGACTACCTAGAACACCCGTTAGGGGGTTAGTTGCTTGTATATCCCACAAGCGACAAGTCTTGTCTCCTGAAGAGGACAAAATAACTCGACCACAAAGTTCCTTTTCCGTTGTCCGAGGAACAGCAACTGCATGAATCTTCTTCTCGTGTCCTTGCAGAGATCGCAATATGGACTTGGTCTCCAAGTCCCAAATATGAACAATTGTATCTTCCCCACCACTAACGGCTCTTAGTACTCCTCCACTACTTCTGTCGTCTAATACTTCCACAGTAAACACTTCTCCTATGTGACCCCTTAGAATTGCAAGAGTTCTCGCTCCACCCGTTTGTTCTTCTGTTCCGTCATCCTTGTTCTTCCTAAAGCTCAGCGCCCTTTTCATGTTGCCTTGCTTATTAGATTTCGGGGTTGTGACTAGGGCTCTCTTGTAAATATCTTCAAGTAGCCATACTCTTAGCGTCGAATCCCCTGATGCCGTGATAGCTCTATCCACGGAGTAAGAAAGGGCAACACCGTATACAGGAGCTCGATGACCGTGTAAAACTGCAAACTGCTCCAAAGTTGAGGGAAACCAGACCCTACCCAACTCTGCAACTGAACCAGTTAGTATGACTGGTTCATCTGGCTTTTTATTGGGCAAAGCACAGTCCACAGCAAGCACTGCACCTTTATGTTCCAGCAGAGAACGTCTTGCCGGGCCGTGTTTAGAGATTGAAGTTTTCACTACTCTAGTAAACAGTCCACGTGAAGGCGAAGCATCTTCCTCACGCGGTGAGGCTGTCTCCATGGTTTCCCTCCCGGGAAGACTGACCGTGACAAGTGTCGTTGACAAGTCTACTACATGGGCAGCAGAGTCTCCGGCACTTACAACCGCCTTTCTTTCGTTGTCAAAAGGCAAGATTGTGAGAGCGTATATATCCACATCTCGATCAGGGTATAGCCTTGAACAAGCAACAGGAAAGGGAGTTCCAGTATCAAACTGAAGTGCAGGTGGTATCTTAGGAGTTCTAGGCCTTGTGATACCCAAGTCATGAAGAATTGAAGTCATGTTCGTTTAACTTCACGTGACAGCCAAACTAGCTCCATCATCAAACGACTCGCTGAGATTCTTATATGAGAAACGATTTTAACGGATTTCAAGTGGAACGTTTGTAACGCTTTCATTACAAGTTTCTATCAGGAAATGACAAAGGCGTTGCTTTTGAGTTTCTAATCTAACACTTCTGTGTACAAAAGTTTGTTATGGCTTTCTGGGAAGGTCTTTCTCTCTCCATTTTGTCGTATCTCTAAAGAAAGTCTTGTAGGGACTGTTAATAAAATTAGATATGATTGCCACTGGAAGAAAGTATTAGAGTCGATATGTTGCTCTTACGGGTTCTGACTATTCTGTGACTTATTAAGAAGGGCAGATGAACATTTTATCCTACCATAACAACTGCCAGAAACCATTGGCATTCAACAAAACGAGCACTTTTGATACAAGTCATGGCTCATCTACTCAATTAGGTCTTCCATCGATTTCTCCATTACAAGTGACTGGTTCAAAGTAAAACTTACAATCCTCTTCTCTCTCTCTGGGTCACCAAACTTATAATAATTAGACAAAACAAAATATTTGATTTCTTTGTTTAGGACTCAAAATTCTAAAAAAACCACTTCAAACTGCAATCAATGTAAGCCATACTTCATTCCGATTGAATATGGTCCATTCAACTAATGTTGAGCTACTCAAAAGATCTCGTTCACTTCCCGTGTTGCAATCGCAATATTACTTCATCTATGTGAGCTTTTACCAGCTGTAAGACTTCCTGTAGAATGTTTACAGACAATGGGCCTACTTTTTGTTTCGAGATTGCCAATTTATCTCCTCTTTGACTATTCCATATCCATACAATTGAGCTCATATTGTTTTCTTCTTCTTCAGATAAGTCCAAAACAGCATAATATTCTGAAGGACCATTCCAAAACAATCCAATAGGAACGACCCAAGGCCAATCTTCGAGTTTCTTCATTGGAAGTGTCACTTTAGGCTGATTTGGATCAAGAGTTAAAAGATCACCTGAGGTGCTTGCTCGTACTACTGGCAATTGAAGGTCCAACAAGGCACCATACAGTGCTAACAAGAATGTTTCAATCACATTCCCGTCTAAGCTGAGGCAATATGCAGTTATTTGTAAGTGCCAATAGAATTTATCCGGAACTATACAAAACGAATCTCTTTCTAGTATTTGTTCCAATACGTTTTCCAGTGACTCTTTTACTAAGAGTGCCTCCTCCAAAGTTCTTCCACTTCGAATGTCTCTATGGCAAACGGAAGGAAATTCAACTTGTACTAAAAAAACGAGTCAGCATCTTGGATAGGATCCGTGAACACCTCACTTACAGGAACAGTGTTGGCCCACGATTGACCTTGCACTTCCCTTTTTGGTCTCTTTCCACTCGATCACCTTCGGTTGAATGCCTATCAACGCCACTGTTCGCCCAATTGAGGCATTTGCTGACCCGTCAACCGTCGTAACCAGAGGACCTAAAGCCAAAGACATAAGTTTGGTTGCTTCAATGCAACGACTCAACAACCTTTTCTTAAAGTGATGTCTCGATATTCAGATAGCTTTCTTCCGTCGGGTCGAATACTTCTTCGCAAGAAGCCTTTGTAGAACTCCTTTGGTTGCACGGCATTCCAAATATCCCAACCCAACGAGTGCATTCAAAGTGAAAATAACAATTATGGCACAACAATTGACCAAAGCCATCAACAATAAAGCGCAAATATCGAGCACATTGCATCGATGGGTAACTTATGTAAAGGCTTGGAAAGCGCTAAGTGAAGAAGGAAAGGAGCAGTTACAGGTTATAGCCCAGCGTCTATTGTATTTGAGGTGAGAAGTCTTTTTGTTCTTGCGTTTAGAGACTGAGGAGAAGTGGAGAGCGGGTGCCTTAGAAAGTCAGTTGGATTCACGTGTAAGAAAGAATCTGCACGAACATGTGTCTATTATTTCGCAACACTGGGAGAAAATCAAAGAGTTGATTGCGAAACTGGAACTAATGAAACAAGGAATGCACCGCTGCTTTCGTGCTTTGGAGACTTATTGCCTTGATTCCAGCGACAGTGTGTTATTTGGTACTCTTTCTGTTGCTCAATTTAGTAAGTGGGAAGACAAATTATGATCTATTTCTGAACTTGAGTAGTGAAATATATAGAAGCTGTCAATGCTTCATTCTCTAGAGATTTTACTTGCAAGCAGCAGGTCCTATCATCTTTTTCGAACTATAGTTCTCGTGACATTCTGACGATATTGATTACCATTTGGTGGAGGCAACCTTCGATCGATCCAATAGAAGTGGATTTTGTTGTTGGAGCCATTGTTGCTGAACTTGCAATTGATGAATACAATATTCTTCAGGAAGACAGTGAGAGAACCTATTTGCAGCCATCTTCATCTTTAAATAGTTCAAACTCAGAAATTTTCTCTTATTTACTATCTTAGTCTCTTTGGATAGTCTTGATAGATGGTTATGTGCTGGTCGACTAGTCCCTTTCGCTTTCTATATCTATCTATCTATATCTATATCTATCTATCTATCTATATCTATATCTATCTATATATATATATTTGTATTAGGTTGTAATTATAAACGAAATAAGCGAGCATCATTCCTATGTTTGCAATTCTCAAAATAGAAATGCTTTATAAAGTTTTGGGCTTTTCTACTCTCCACATTTCTTCTTGCTTTCATGAAATCTTCCACAGTGGGGCTTTCTATAATTGCACTCAGTACTATAGCTTATGTTTTCGTTGAGTTACTGAGAAGTGCATATTATACTTCTCAACGTGACAAGAAAAAAACATTCTGGTCTCGGTTTATTTGTAGGAACAGTCGTATCCCTTTTATTGCCTTTCGTGTCTCACTGGAACCGAACCTAATTAAGAAGCAAGTAAAGTATGAAGGCATATCGTTAGTTGTGAATAGATATTCAAATGTTTATTTAGATACGTTTGTAAGGTTCTGGTTCCTGATTGGCGCCACTTGGAAGACGCGGAATTACGAGTGGAACGAGTGTTGGGAGGAATCACCAACCGCATCTTTTGTGTTTCAGTAAACAAAGATGCACCCAACCTGTTTTTTAATAAAGTTCTTGTTCGAGTATTTGGTGCTGAAGGAATCATCGACCGAGAAAAGGAGAATGAGATATTTGAACAGCTCGCAAAGAACAGGATAGCACCCAGTTTTATTGGAGAATTTGCCAACGGTAGGATTGAAAGTTGGCTTCAGGCACGGTGCATTAGTATAGAAGGTATTTTATTTTATGATATTATTCTAGAAACTTGTTTATTTTGTCTCTTGAAGAGATGAGATATCCAAATATCTCTAAAGCTGTCGCACAGAAACTGGCCATTCTGCATCGCTTTCAACCGCAAGGACACCGGAAGAGCTTACAAGATTCTCCAGTATGGGAAAGTATCTATGCTTGGTTGAAAGAAGCGAAAGTTGCTTTGAAACAACTGGAGAATACGGAGTTAGACGACAGCAGAAGGTTATTACTAAAGCAAATAGATTTACTTGTTCTAGAGAAAGAATTGGAGTTTCTAAGAAATACTTTAAGGAAAACTCCTTCTCCTATAGTATTTTCTCATAATGATCTTCTATTTGGAAACATACTTTATGATGAGATTTCGGGAACGGTGCATTTTGTGGACTTTGAATATTCTGGTTGGAACTATAGAGGTTTTGACAGTAGGTTTTGGTTTTTGTATATTGAATCTAGTGTTTCATGACTTTATTAGTTGGAAACCATTTCTGTGAATGTATGGGTGGTACAGACAACGGTATTCCAGATTACACAAAATATCCCACAGAAGAACAACAACATCTATTTTGTCAGCACTATTTAGTGTCTTATGGAGGTTTCGAGAATGTTTCATCCGTGAATGAAACGGATATAAAGTCTCTTATGATAGAAGCCAATCGTTATGCATTGGTAAGTTTCTTTTCGATATTGTATTTCACAGCCTTCTGAAGTGTTCAAGTTGTCACATTTCTATTGGGGAATGTGGGCACTTTGCCTTTCAGTAGATCAAACTGTTGACTTTGATTACTTGCTGTAAGTTTTCCTCGTCAATCCTTTTCTGTTCGGTTGGACTAAATTGAGACCAAGTTTTGGGGTGAATCGGTTCAAAGAATATTATCGTTTTCGTAACCAATTTCTTGAAGATCCATGAAATTTTATTGTTTATAGAGTTTTCAAATAAATTTCAACTCCACGTTTATTGTAAACTTCACCAGTTATTCCCTTATTTGTGAATTGAGCATTAATGTATCTCATGGATATCTCTCTTGTGCAGTTGGAGACTCTATGGAATGAATTTGAATAAACATCGAGGTATATCAATAATATATAGTCAAATATATGAATCCAGTTTCGATGAAAATCTATTATGACTTTCATTCATCTGTATTGTACAACCAATCAACGGAACTCGGGCTTTCTCTCTCGCGGATAACGAATTGTCCAAATGGACAGCTGTCAAGCTTGTGGTTTTTGCACTCAAATAACGAGCAGAGTGTGCCTTGGCAAACCTCAGTTTCGAGTAAGCAAAGTAAAATTGGCTTTGAGAAATCACAAACTTGTTGGAAAAAGGATACGACGATCATTTTCTACAGATCCAGTTGAAAACGTTACGAGTGGCTTGAGCAGAGACTTTCCAAACCAAAATCATCTTCGAGTTGCCCATACTGTGAGTCGAAAGAAGATTAGCCTTGTTGGTTACGTAAAAAGCAAACCGTTGCTAAGCACTTTACAGACAGGACAGATGATGTCGAGTTTAAGTCTGAAAGTTCATAGTATTGTCTTGGAGAATAAGTTTCCAAAACTTGCAAGTGAAAGCCGCAAGTTTCCTGAAAACTTTCTTTTAGAATTTTTTGGTCGTGTTGCTTATGTGGTTGTCCGAAGAGTAGAAGAAGACTGCAAAATAAAAGTTTTTGGTCGTTTAGGAGTTAGAAAAGAAAGTGGTAGTTTCAACGAAGTTGCTGGAAGCAAACCAGTGTTAATTTGTTCTTCTTTTGTCTTGTTGGAGTCAAAGAAGGAATCTGATGGAAGAGAAGAAGAGTTTCAGGAGATAAAGGAACCCTCAATTATTTTGAGAAAACCTGAAGAGTTGTGTGACGCCTCAATTTTATTTCCTGAGGAACATTCAATGTTTTCGTCATCGTTGCAGTATCGCCAGGATGAGAATTTAGATAATTTTGAACAATATAACAGACAGGAACAAGACACTCGTAATGACAGTTTGAGTGACAAAGATTGGTCACTGTGGGATAATATATTCTAGAATAATATCGTTTTCTCGTTTAAAGTGTTTGTCCAGGAGTTATTGGACACTTTAGATTTCAAGCATGAAAATTGAGTGCCTATCCTATTGGAGAGGAATGCAATGATATATATTACTTGTGATTTGAAAGAAAGTTGGAGAAAGATCTTGAACTTTAGAAGGTCTTCTTTAAGCCGAATGTTATTTTCACTCTTAAGCAGTTTTTCACAAGACCGGAGGATGTCCCATTTGATTCACTTTAGAAGCAGAATTGTTGAGGTGCTTGAGTGTGATATAGAAACAGTTTATTGAAATCACCTTGAAGATAAAAGTGTTGGTTCATTACATAAAAGGTATCTTATAGTTTCCCTTTTATGGGACGTTTCTTATTTCCATTTAAGAAATGGAAGATATTTAGTATATCATTCTCGGGTATATCACAATATTTGATGCATCTGAAGCTTTGTGTAGTATGATTATAGAGTTAGCCAATTCTACAGTTCCTATGACCTAAGCTTGAGTATATTTAAGTTGCTTTGAATGAGAGTTTTGCTTATTATGAGAAATGTGATTAGTAAGTCTTATATTCATTTGAAAATGATGTCGTAAGGGCGACTATAAATGTTAGTTCGTCTAGTTAAAAGTATCTTTGTTGGTTTCTTGGATAGCCTTGATTCTTTCAGAATGTCTATTTTCAAGCAAGGTTGTACACTGAATCTTAGTGCCCTTTGTCAAAAGTTACCAATATAACAATGAAGATGCTCTTTGTTCCTTCTAATGAAGAAGTATTGAATTGGCCACTGACTTTTGGGCATTGACTAACCATGCAAGTTGTCCTTTCCGACGTCATGCAGTCGCCTTGCTCTCTTGGTTTAAGAGTTACAGTAGAGTGGATAAAATTGCAAGAAACAAACGCGTTGAGTTTGATTACGGCCGACAAAAATCAATCATCAACCGACGTAAAGGAGCAAGAAAAGCGAGACTTGGACACCGCTCTTGACTTGGCAAAACGTTTTTGCTTTCAAGTAGGAAAACTTTTTGAAGTAAAGTTGCTTTATTTATATTCACTTTTTAAAAGTTGCTTGGCACTGATGGTGAGGACGGGAAAAAAGTGCAACTATGGCTACAGAAGTTGCTTTCGTTGACTCTAGTTGATCAAGGTATGGTTGCTTATTCCTGATAGACTACTTGTTGTGAAAATTTATTATTGTAGAATTTTTGTCAATATTGAACCAGCATCTATTATTTCGTTCCTTTTTGGTGGGTTATCGTGTCACCCTTGCTGACGTTATGGTCTTTTCAGTGCTTCACTATCAGCACTCTCTTGAAACTTTAGAAAATTCAAAATATCGGTACTTGAAAACATATAAGACACACCAGCTCACCAACTAAATGTTTTTTAGGTTTCTTTCTCGTTGGGCTTCATATATACGACAACTTCCACCCGTTACTTCAGCACTTAAGAATGTTGCCGATTTCGATTTTCAAGGCTGGTCAGATGTGATGAGATTGGTCGGTTCACGAGCGAACTTTGAATTCCTTGAGCTTCCAGTGAGTCAGACTCGAGCATAATTTTAGTACGGCCCTGACAGTTGATGATAATAGAATGCTGAATATGGCAAAGTTATCACAAGATTTCCACCAGAACCAAGTGGTTATTTGCATATTGGACATGTGAAGGCTGCGCTTTTAAATGACTTTTTTGCTCGGCGTTTTCATGGTTTGTTTAACCTGCTTTATTCTCAGAAAAAACATATGTAAACATGGTTTTAGGAACGTTGATATTGAGATTTGACGATACCAATCCAAGCAAAGAAAATATGGAATTTGAGTCGAGTTTCATTGAAGACCTTCGCCTTATTGGTGTGCATGTAAGTTTTTTTCATTGTTTTATTTTTTGTTTGACTTGTTTCAAAGGCCGATATTGTGGAATATACTTCAGACTATTTTCAACAATTGGAACTTTTCGCTGAGACATTGATAGAAGTAAGCATCTCTACTTTGCTTGAAGCTCACTATCATAATTCTTTCGGAAGGAAGGAAAAGCTTATGTGGATATGACTCCAACGTCACAAATGAGAGAAGAAAGACTAGAGTGCAAGGAAAGTGCTTATCGTAACAATGATAAAGAAACGAATATGAAGCTGTGGAATGAGATGAAATTGGGCTCAGAGCAAGGAATAAAGGTAAGAGTCCAGTCTTCAATTGAGAGAATAGTATGCCAACGACTTTCAAGTGCTGTTTACGTGCCAAAATAGATATGAAAAGTAAAAATGGAGCATTAAGAGACCCTATATTATATCGATGTTTGGCAAGTGTGTCTCATCATCGGGTAGGTGAAATAAGAAGGTGATATTGTGACTGGAACCAATTCGAATCCTTAGATGGGAACAAAATATAAAGTATATCCGACATATGACTTTGCTTGTCCTATTGTGGATTCGCTCTCTGGTGTGACGCATGCTTTGCGTACCAACGAATATCAAGACCGAGAAGCGCAGTATTATTGGATGTTGGAGGTATCTATCATCAGAATTTCGTATTTCATCTTTATGACTTTTCAAGGCTTGCAAATTAAGAAAGCCAATTCTTTGGGTGTTCTCTAGACTCAGTTTTATGTACACCGTTATGAGTAAACGGAAACTGCAATGGTTTGTTTCAAATAATTATGTTAGTGGCTGGGATGATCCCCGTTTCCCTACAATCCGAGTATGTCTTGAAATGATTTGTGCATTGAGATGTTAAGAAAAGCTTTAGGGAATTCGTCGTAGAGGAATGACTATTGAAGCTCTACGAGCATTTATTTTATCTCAAGGAGGCTCTAAGAACACAGTTTTGATGGAATGGGATAAGATATGGACAGTTAACAAACGTGTGATTGATCCTATTGCTCCACGTCACACTGCTATTAATAGAATGGCATACAGGTAAGCATGTCAGTTGTTGCAAGTCATTGTGTCTGATACAAAACTTAGAATTATTCAGATAACCAATGCAGTTGATGAAGTCCGCACGGTTCCCTTTCATAAGAAGAATCCAGACCTTGGTAACAAGATTGTCTTGCTCTCACGTTGTGTTATCATTGAAGAGGAAGACGCCAAAGAAATTAGTGTCTCTGAAATTGTGACTTTGATGGATTGGGGAAACGTAAGTTAAAGGTGTTTGTTTGAAATAATCAAGTTTCAAATTTTTGTCTTTTAGATTCAAGTTACGAAAATCAATGGAAAGGAGATATTTGCAGAGTTTTTGCCGCAAAATACAGATTTTAAGAAGACCAAGAAGCTTACATGGCTTGCGTTTGTTCGTGATTTGGTCCCAGTGAGTCAAAGACAAGAATGGCAACTTTTCTAATAATAGTATTGATTGCCTGTTTAGATTTGTCTCGTGAAATTTGATCATCTCATTACCAAAGCAAAAGTGGAGGAAGATGATCGCATGGAAGATATTATTCGCCACAATAGCAAAGTAAGCAATTGTCAGTAGTAAGTTGATATCACGTAAACTCTCATTAGATAGAAGAGTTTGCATGGGGAGATATCAATCTGCGCTTGTTAAGGAAGGGAGACGTCATTCAGTTTGAGAGACGCGGTTACTATATATGCGATAACATTTCATTGTCTTCTAGGGATGTTTCTGTCGAAGATTCTTATCTAACCCTTATTGAAATACCAGATGGAAGAGGAAGATGAGGTTGTGTCGAATAAAGCGCTTGATAGAGTTTATTGAAAGACTCTTTTTACATGAAATGAACTTCAGATTCAAAAGTGTTCAAGATGCAGTCGAAAGATGCGTTCAGAGGAATGAGTGAAGTTGAAATAGAAGAAGGAAACGATGAGAAAATGCGGGAGATATTCATGGCAGACTCATATTCCTAGCAAGCATTTCAAGAACAATTGAACTAGTCAAAGAAACTACTACTCTTGTCAACAAATATCCCTTTTATGATTTTATTTCTTAACTATTTGAAGACCGTGATACATTTCGCAAAACTATATTTTGAACAACTTTCAACTAGTGCATTCGTCTACTTGACAATAGCGTTCATAAATAACATCGTAAAAAGTTCAAGGGCAGCAACCCATTACCACGAACACGGTTACTACTCAGCATCATCTTTAAGACTGTCAGATAATGCAGAGTATCGATTTCTATTTCGACGAGCGTCAATGGAACTTCCATCGTTCCGTTCTTCCGAGAAATTGGACTGCATATTTGAAACTCTCTGTTTGCTCTTAGAATCAACAGTCTTGCTTTGTTGGTCTACGCTGCTTCCTCTACTCATTGCTCCTAAAGAAGAAGAAGAAGATTTCTCTTTACTCACTGGAGAATTAGTAAAACCATTTGTAGCCTTGGGAGTCTGTTTGTCCTTGGAAGCCTCTTCAATAATGGCTTGCAGTCCGCTAAATTTACGCCTTCTCTGACTTGTCTCTTTAACAGGCTCTGAAGAGCCCACAGTATTACTACTATTCCTATCTCTCATTGTCGTAACACCAGAATTTACTTCTGATCTTCTTGGTGTCGTCTGTTCCTGTTTCTTTTCTGCTGAGGACGTAGTTTCTTGTTTCAACAACTTATCTTGTTGTGATTCCAGAAGTAGCGCTCGAAGACTCCCGGCAACTTTAGAACCAGGACGTGAGCTTGCATAACTCTTGTTCTCTTCGGTTGCAAATTTAGATGACGAGTTCGTCACTTCTCTGCTTTTATCGACTTTCGGCAACTTTGCGGTCTCTTCCAAGGTCGGGAACTTTTCTTCAGCTGGTTTTGTTGTCAGCGAGGAAGAATCTTCGAACCCCTTTATTTCAGTAGCTTCACTTGACTTACTGTCAGCTATCTTCCAGCCCGTGAATTTGTCTTCTTTTGGCAAATCCTTTGACTGTTCTTCTTGAGAAGTAGCCTCCTTCTTCAAGTTAGAAAGTGAACGACCCTTTGTGTGTAGAATTGGCTGTCCATCTTGCTTTTCTTCCTCTTCTGCCCAGGAACCGATACTTGAAGAGCTAATAGAAAGAAATGAAAGCTTTTCCAGTCCAGCAAGTGATGAAGAAGAAGGTGTGACATCTAAGTTAACTTCGTCGCTTTCTTCGGCTTGCTTCCTTGAAATTGTTTCTTTTTTCATTTTGTCGTCAGTTTTAGAAGTTTTGTTCGATGAGCCAACTTTTTTCTTTTTCGAGTCCTTTTTAGAAAAGAACTCGTCCAGTTTGTTGGTCGTCGACATATTGATGGATTTCCTTTTCCAATTGCCACCCAACAAAAGAATTGTAGTGATTTCTTCCGTTGTTTGGAAACTGCAGTTTTTAAAGGATGGGAGAACGTAAAGTCTTAAATAAATATTATCCTCCGGATTTCGACCCAGAGAATCTCCCAAGGGCTAAGAGACCCAAGGATAGGTTAGAAGCAGTCCGCTTCATGTTGCCAATGACCGTAAGGTGCAAGACTTGTGGAGAATACATGTACGCAGGGAAAAAGTTCAACGCCAAAAAGGAAACTGTAAAAAACGAAGAGTACCTTGGAATCAAAATATATCGTTTCTATGTAAAATGTGCGAGTTGTTCTTCTCCCTTTACTATCAAAACGGATCCAAAAAATGCCGACTACGTTTGTGAACATGGAGTTTCTAGAAATTACGAAATCTGGAAGCAAGAGGAAGAGGCAGAAAGAGAAGCAGAGTCTTTACGACGAGAGCAAGAAGAAGATGCCATGCAAGCGCTGGAAAACAAAACAATGGACATGAAGGAAGAAATGGAACTTTTAGACACCTTGGATGAGCTGAAGTCGTTGAAAGCACGGCAAGCAAAGCTAGACCCCGACTATCTTTTATTTAGACAGAAAAGAATAGCTGAGAGGAACGGCGTGGCAGACAGTGCAAACGATGAAGAGGATATGCTGGCAGAGTGGTTTCATCCAAGGAAGAGACAGATGGTTGTTATTCGTGCCGAAGAGAAGGAAACGAGCGATACTGTGTTGGCTGAGCCTACTCGCCTAGATATTCAAAAGAGAGAGCGTTCAGCACCACGGAGTTATTTTGCGAATGGCAAGTTTCGTTTGAGTGCGGTAAGAAAGGAGCCGAGAGCGGACTCTTGCCAAGATTCGAAGGAATCGAGTGAGAGTAGTGTTGTTGGTAAAAATTTTAACGTCAGGAAAGCATCTGTTCTGAGTTCAATAGCGGCTTACAAGAGTGACTCTGATACCGATGAGAATAAACCCTCGTGAAACACACAAGCGAAGAAGCTATGACCTTATTATTGAATTTTTTTCACTTCACTTAGAAAGTAAAATTCTCGTGAAAGGCATAGTTTATTGTACATCTTTAGGATCGACTCGTACGGTCTTATACTATCAAGGAACGTTAGAATGTATGATTCGAAAGTTTTTGTAGATCCTGCGTGTTGAAGAACAAACTTGCTCAAGCTAAATATCTAACCTTTATAATATGAATCACCTTGGTAGGCTTTTTGGAAGATAATCAAACGTTCAACTAATTATTCCTTATTGAATAAATATTCTCGGCCCAGTGAAAGTGTGGAAGTAACGTGTCACTAAAAGCTGTCTGTTATTGCTTAAACGTCCGACAAAGATATCAGAACGCACTTTCCGATAAAGATTTATTACAGGTCCTATAGCAAGTGTCTAACAGTTGGAAAACTTAATATCACTCTAATTTGTTCTCAAGAAGAAAATACAGCTTGACTGACTGGCCGTCAAGAGGAACATGAACCAGCCATATGTTTTTTATTTCATCTAAAACTTATAACTTGTGCCAAACAGAACAAGATGACTGTGTCAAAGTGTTGTCAACTCTAACAAGCAGTATTCATTTAACAAACTTTATTTTCTATATGTAACATGGCCATTTCTTGAATATTTTACTCTACGAGAAGACGATGCAAAGTGCTACTCAATATTATGGTTCCTGTTATTTCAAGCTTTTGCGAATGCATAGTTTTGAAATATTCTCCCATCCAGCTACATTGCTGCACCGACAAAAGAGAAAGCTCATTGAGACACAACAAAAGCTAAACTTGTGCTTTCGTAACACTGTTTCGATGTGGATTATCCTTCCTCATTTGCATAAACTGATATTCGATTTCATCTCGTTGTAGAGGAATCGATAACACTTGGATAAGCGAATTTGCTGTCTAAACTTATTTTTTATTTCGTTTCAGGTCATCACTATGCTATATGTTGAAAAAATGAAAAGGTACTCTTATATTTACGAAGTTTAGATAGAATCATCTAGTAGAAAAAAAAGCTTCAAGTTCTGAGGTCACCAAAGCAAATACAACTACACTGATTCAAAGTTGCCATCAAAACTAAACAAGCCCAGTTCTTTCTTGTGTATTTCAAAGAACAACAAATTATACTATTTAAACATCCAATTCGAAACGGGATTTCTTCTCTTTCTTGTCTTGGACAAATCTCTTCTCCAAAGAACCTATTCGCAAACGACAATACCAAAAATCAACTAAATGTCTCCGCTTGCGACATTGTTACTTCTGACTGAAAGACTCTCGCTTTGTTGAAGGGACCACATATCAGCATAGACACCTAATTTACGATAAGGTGCAATTCCATATCTCAATAACATAACTTTACCTCTCTTAGCTAGCAAACTCGAATGGGAACCTTGCTCCGCAGCCTCTCCATTCATTAAAACGATAATTTCGTCAGCATCTACAATGGTGCTGAGGCGATGAGCAATCATTACACAAGTTCTATTTTGAGAAATTTCTCGAAGCGAGCTTAAGATCTCTTGTTCAGTGGAAGTATCCAAAGAGCTCGTAGCTTCATCACATAACAAAATCGAAGGTTCTAACAAGTACACAAACAATAAAGAAAACAATATCTACAAAGATGCCCATTTCATACCCTTCAAAATAGTTCTAGCTATTGCTACTCTTTGTTTTTCACCTCCTGATAATTTCAGACCTCTTTCTCCAACCAAAGTATCGTATCCTTGAGGTAATCGAATGATAGAGTTGTGAATGGATGCTGCTTTTGCTGCAGTTATAATTTCATCCATCGAAGCACTGGGCTTCCCATATGCAATATTATAAGCTATACTCTCGTTGAATAAAACAGTATCTTGTGGTATTACTCCAATATGGCTTCGTAACGACTCCACATTGAAATTGCGAATATCTTCACCGTTGATTAATATTCTACCTTTTGAAGGGTCATAGAATCGATATAATAGACGCAGAACTGTACTTTTGCCACAACCACTGGGTCCCACAATTGCAACTGTTCGCCCTGCAGGTACCTCAAAAGTAAGGTTTCGTAATACTTCTCGCTCATTCGAGTATCCTATATAGTACTTCAGAACGGCTTCATTGAAAACCTTCCATGAGACTTACCGAATGTAACGTTATCCAAAGAAATCTTGCCCCCACTACGCGGAAGGATCAAAGCAGGCAGTCTGTTACTATCCTCAACTTGTGGACGCACAGCCAAGATGCCAAACATTGCCTCCATATCCACCAAACTTTGTCGGACTTCACGATAAACAGAACCCAGAAAGTTTAAAGGTATCGAAAGTTGGAACAATAAACCATTGACCATTACAAGGTCACCAACAGTCATTGTACCAGCAACAATATCTTTAGCTGCCATCCACATAATCGCTGTCAAACCAACTGAAAAAATTGCATTCTGTCCAAAATTCAAAAGACTCAAAGTTCCCTTCAATCCAAATCATTCGAGTTTAATAAAAAAAAGGAAGTTGTCCACTTACTTGTGTTTTATAATGTGCCTCTCCATATTTTGCCAAAAATTTGTCATACTGCTTTGTTTCCAGGTCTTCAGCATTAAAATATTTAACTGTCTCATAGTTAAGTAATGAATCAACAGCCTTATTATTGGCCATATTCTCTGCTGCATTCATTTCCTTTCTTATCTTTGTGCGCCATTGAGTAACTGCCAAGGTATAGGCAACATACGACCCCATAGTGGTAGCAGTTAACCACACGTAACCCGAACCACAATGATATGCCAAAAGACCGCAAACTAGGCTCAACTCGGCAATGGTTGGTAAAACATTGAAAACTAAGGAACGTAATATAAAGTCGATTCCCTTTTGACCTCGGTCGATAGAACGAGTTAGTGCACCCTGTTATCATTATTAGTTAAAAACAAAATAGTCTTCAAAAGGCCTCGAAAGGAAGTAGGAGAGTTCTTCAACCAGAACCATTTTCCGTGCCTCATACATACCGTTTGCCGGCTAAAGTGAAATTTCATATCCAAACTGTGAATATGCCTGAAAGTTTTAACCGCAACGTCTTGTATAGCTTTCTGAGCAACCTTCGAAAAGATCGCGTTTCTCAGTTCATTAGTAAAGCTTGCAGTTACACGAGCAACACCATAACCTAATAAAGCCGCAACTGGAAATATCGAAAGCATTCCTGCTTGGGTTACGGGAACATTAAGACTGTCCACGACGTGTTTGAAAAGAAAGGGTACTTCCACGTTGAGCAACTTTGAAATAACCAACAGTCCCATTGAAATTCCGACACGTTTGCGTAAAGTAGGATCATTTTTTGGCCAAGTATACTTGGCGAGTTCTTTCAGAACCGTAGAAAGTCTCGCTGGTTTAACTTCCACTGTCTGGAAAGGAACTGCTGCAGCTTCGGAGGTCGATTTGCCCCTCAAAAGCTTCAATACACTTGTTACTGGAAGTTTCCAACGTACTAGTCTCTTCCAAGTTGAAGCCAAACCTCGTCTATCCTCTTCCACGAGTGTAGGTACTCCACTATGCAACTGTCTGAAACCTTGGAATATGCGAAAGTTTGTCTTCGTCTGGAAATCCTCAGTGAGTCCTACTTGTGTCAGACCATAACCTTGTATGACTTTAGCAGAAGCTCCAACGCTTGTTTTAGGGAACCAACGGAGCCTTATAAGACAATGCATTAAACTAGCTCTGTACATGGAATATCCGTTATTCATTCAATCGTCGCCACGCAGGATAAACAATTCTGTCTATCAGTATCGAACTGAAGAGCTCGTGCACGTATTGTAAGTCTAAAGAGCAGCTCTCTTGGTTTCATCATTCTTATATACTTCTACAAACGTTATGTAGAATTCTTAGAAAAACAAGCTGTTTGTTTTTCCTACAAGGTGTCTCTAAGAGAATTTCTGACTCTCCAACACGCCGTGTTCATATTGCAGGAACATCCGGGCTGCTTCTTTCGTTAAAGTTGTTTAGTGGTTGTTCTCGCGTTCATCTATTTCTTGCTCTTGTAACAACGGTAACTGAAATCCTTTTACTGNGTAAGTTCCGTGACTTGATTTTCATAAATTATTTATGCAACTTTCTGTATCAAAGAAAGTGCATTGAAGTTTTTTTTTTAACTGTTTGAAAATTTTAAAGAATTTTCTTGTTCTGAAGAACTTGTCTTTCTAATATTAGATTTGTTATACCTGTTCCGCAGTTTCCGCTTGAGAAATCAAAATTTTCCTAAACGTTAGAAGAGGAAACAGGCAATTCCCATGCATTAAAATAAAGAATGTGAGTCATAAATGAACATGTAAGTAGAATTTTATTTTACAGAGAAACACAATAGGATACGAAGTCGAGAAACCTCGGACTAAACGAAAAATTTGCAAAAAAGATATCTAAAACGAAGTGGATTGTTCATGTTTCAAAGCCTTGAAAAACTCATGCCATGTATGTTATTCTCATTATATAGTGTTTGAAAGAATCAGTTTCATCCATGAAAAATGCTGAATGCCTTTGACTTTTAGAATTTTAAAGAAAGGTTTCGACAAGCGACTGATTTCACAAAATTTGCACGTTTGAACAAAGCCGTTCGCCATCTCATTTATTCTGAAAATTTGCGAACTTGTGTATAGTGGTGAAATAAACAAAATGTTCTTTTTTTGCACACACACACATATATATATATATATATATATATTGTTGGATATTAGAGAAAATACCTTGGGAAAAAATCACTCAAAGAATTGATTATTTCATTATTCCCCTGTAGTATTTGCTGGTCGATTAGCTCAAGTGGTTAGAGCGCCGTGCTAATAACGCGGAGGTTCTGAGTTCAAGCCTCAGATCGACCATAAATTTTTTGCCCCTAGAAAGGATTCTCAATTTGAGAGGTAACATTGAAGGACTTTGCGGTTAAAATTGCTAATTTGTTTGATAATGCAGAAAGTCGAAGGTGTATTTTGTAATGTTGTTTTATTATTTTACCAAACTTTCAGATACAAATGTTCACTTGAGAAAGCCTTCTAGTAAGCTGGGTACTTTAACACTTTGGAGATGTTAGGCTACGTGAATTGTGTTTCCTAGTCCTGTTTCATCAAACGCGTCTTGAATGAGGTTCAGAAATATTTCTCTTTTTGGATTTTATTGTCCTGAAACACTTCTAATTGACTTGCTACAAATATTTGGAAACACCCTTTGACTCAAAGATTCCAGCATGATTCCAGGGTTCTTCGACAGAATTTTCTCGTTGCATCTGCTGAAACCTTTGCGAAGCGAATTCTTCGAGAACTTTGCTGAATATGTGCAATTTTCCAAAGTTTATATCTGATCAAGGAAATCGTTTCCAACTTCTCAAGAGCAGCGTCATGAGAGCGTTAGTATCAAAAGATTGTGAGAAGCACTCGAAAAATTACTCTACGTCAATTCTTTCAAAAGAAATTTTTTTGTTATATGAATTTTTCTTCTGAGAGAGCATTGGATGTGAAGTGACGAATAACATCAAGTAATGCCACATAGTTGATTTGAATCAATATTAAGAAATTTGCACAGAATATCATTATGCTCAGCTATTGATGATGAAAACAACTGCATTTCAACTGGTATTAGTATCAAGTGTGGGAAGAAGTCGTACTACGCAAATGGTGTAACCTTGAATGGAAAGGGACCGTTCTAGGATAGACCCTCCGATCCGTTTACTTATATTAACTTTGTAATAAAGTTAAAGCAAGAATCTCGAGTAGCCCTTTCAAGCGTTATTTTGTCATTCTATCCTTGCGGATAGGATCTGAATTCCTTACATAGGACGAACTAACTCCCGTCCGAACTGGACCATGTTAATATAACAAAGGTAACGAAATATTACCACAACGACAGTCGAAACATAATAGGAAAGTGTAGCGATATTCTTCAAGCAAGCAAATAAGCGTCAAAAGGGCAGTAAAAAGGAGTGCCTATTCCAAATTTTCTGTACGCAACAGAAGATAAATATTGTTCTTGGATCTTAACCTCTTGAAATCATAACTAATTCACGATTTATCGTTTCGGGGACGATGGTGGCCAACGGTGAACCGGGTGTTATATACATAGGTCATTTGCCACATGGTTTCTACGAAAACGAACTGAAGGGCTTCTTCTCACAGTTTGGGGAGGTGTTGAAAGTACGAGTTGCAAGGAGCGTTAAAACGTTTCGACCAAAGGGCTACGCTTTTGTAATGTTTGCAAACCGTGAAGTTGCAGAAATTGCTTGTAGTGCAATGGATGGTTATTTCATGTATAATAAGATTCTAGTGTGTAAAGTGGTGCCACCTGAGAAGGTTCACCGGAAGATGTTCAAAAGATTCGTTAAAATCCCTTGGAAGAAATTGGAAAAGACTCATCGTGCTTTGCCCTTAACTGAAGCCCGCAGAAAGAAACTCTGGAGCAAGCAAGAAAGAAGAAATAAGGAGCTAGAAGTAAAACTGAAGAAATTGGGTGTTTCATTTTCTTTGTCATAAATTGCCCAGTTTTTAAGCTGACACCTTTGATCCACCCTTTAATTGCTACTCGGCCCTTTGTAACTGCTACTTGTAGTTGAAGAGAGTCATTCCGAAGAGAGACTAGTCAGTTGATTCTGGCAAAAATACAAATTGTTCGAACAACTTGAAACCATTTTTTTAACTCACAGACGCCTTTGCCTTTCAAAACTGGAGTGTCTGAATGCAAGAGTCACCTTTTCAAAGAATGAAACCTTTCATCCATGTCCTATTCCTTTTGGGCGCCATCCTTTTTGAAGCGTTTAGACTGTAGACATATTGAATTGATTGAAAACACTTATTGCAAATTTCTGTGATAACTTGATTGAATGCTCTATCGTGCATCTACTTTGGTCTATCTTCATCATAGCTGAAGTTGGCTCACGAAATTCTTCTGATAAGTTGAAAGTACTTATCGTACTGCGTGATTGTTTCTTTGGTAACAAATCAAACAAATATGACAACTGGATACCATTAGTTCTTTGTGTAACTGCAGATAGGAAATAGTCTCTCCTCAAGATCATAAATGCGTGCTTTCCAAATTATATTTATTTGCTGAAAGCATTATTCCAGTTGTATCCATTCCTTGGTGTAATATCTTTGATCTTTGCGAATGTGGCATTTGTGTGAAAATATGAAAAACAACTATCCATATATGGACAAATATTTCTACACTACATCTAATTGATAGAATCTGAGACTTTGGGAGAAGACAACATTAATGAACTGCAAAGAAAAAGTTCTAGTCTTTGTGTTTAAGGCTACTTTAGAACATTATATTCTTCATCATCCTTGTAAGCTTTCTTCTAAAATTTGAAAAGATAAATTGTAAGACAAGTCGAAAATTTCAATATGAGTCAAAGTTTCTCGAAAGTTGAAAAAAAGATCAGCCCCGGCGGGACTCGAACCCGCAATCTATGGATTAGAAGTCCATCGCCTGAGACCCTGATGATTGTCCATTAGGCCACGGGTCCTCACAACATAAGTTGTGGTAAGTTGACAATATATTTCACTATACTTTTGCGAATACGACGACTTGATATCATGGTTCTTTACAAGTTAACTTGAATAATGAGAAAATCGGTTTTGGATGTAGCATATGTAGCAAAACGTTCTTGAATATGTACGTTTGTATTCATAAAAGAATCAGCAGTCGTTGTCATTCTTTTGCGTGATACAAGCCGCTTCAGTAGAGAACAAAACACTTAGTTTTCTCTATCTGAACTCTGATGCCATTCTCGGAAACCGGCAATGATTTAGCGTGACTGTGCAGATGCAACGCTTACCATGACATTTCTGAGAATGTAGAGAATTAAAATAATTTATCAATTTGCCAAGGCTTACAGACTATGACCGGCAAAATGGCTAAGAAAGCTATGTCGCTACAAAAAGTTTTAAAGAATCAAACGTAGAATAAAAAAGTTCGATCCAATTCATAGACAACACTACAGGAGTGTATCTCGCTTTGCTTCAAGAACCGGTCGGCAATGATACTCTCATATGCTCGAAGCCACGACAACTATACAATGACTCTAACAGTAAAACGCAATCATATTAACGCAATCTTGAGTTGCAATAACGATCAACTATCCTGGAAAGAACTTGAGGCAGCAAGACTTGCCCGAGCCATTCCGGATAACTCCCTTATCTGACTACTGTGGGCAACAATAAAACTTAAGCTGCAAGTTACTCGAATTTCACTGTTGAGTAACGAGATTTGCGTCTCCATGAATTGGGACGACAAAGTTCTTCCCTTTCTGAGTTATTCTCTTTTAGGCTGTCTGCGAAGTGGGGTGGGTAAATAAATTGTTTATAGCACACAATAGGTCCAACCTGTTGTACATAAAACAACTGTCCATTAGCTATTTTTAGCAGTGGTCAAGGAGGACAACACCTGTTCGACCATGACCTAGTGTGGGGAGGCGGATGAGGGTTGAAATTTTTAAGAGAATCACGAAATTCTCACCGCACAATTAGTGACGACGGATGCAAAATAATTCTCCGAAATTCCGTTGGTTTCCATAAGAAGTTTTTTATGGCCGTAATCCATTCGATTATTGTTTTAGCTCAAATGGGCATGAGAAGCCATTCTTCTCGGAAGCAGTGCTTTCAACAGAGTTACGTCTTGGGAGGTACTCGTGTTATTTGAATTTTGCTTTTCATTCGTTGTGTATACTACTCACGTAAAATGAGTCATCACGAAGAAGACTTGTCATATGTTGAAAAGTATCGTTATTTTCCTTTGATCGAAACGGTACACAAGTATTATGGAGGAACTAACCATAAGGAACGCTTTGAAAGCGCCAGCACGAAGGTGACCTTGTTAGGTATCGCAAGATTCGTAGAGTGGCAGCTTAGTTCGTTGGGCTACAAGTGCAACAGTACCGCAGAAGATTTCGAACAAAAACTCGGGAAAGATTTCTGTAGCTTGATTGGAGATTTCTATGCCATCCACGTCAAACCCGTTGTATTGTGCGAAGAAGAAACAGTCGAAGAGACAGACAGCCTAGTCCCGTCAACTTATGATAGCAGCAGCTCCGAAGACGACTTTGACAAAAAAGGCAGAAGGTTCAATCAGTGCCCAGATTACCAAGTGCCCTCGTTGCAAGTAAGTGAGAAAGCTGGAATCAAAAGCAAGAGACCTCTCTCTGACTCTGCAGCTGAAATATGCAAGACTGGTATTGCGTCTACGAAGTATAGAGGAGATACAGAGATCTCATTTGCACGCATATTTCAGCTGGGTACTGTCAGTCAACCCCTAGACTCAGAAGTTCCTCCAGATGCGCCATATGATGGCCCTCCCGTTCTTACTATGTCAGGGTTTGGTGAACTTGGAAGATTTGGTAACCAAGTTATTCAATATATGTTTCTGAAATGTTGCGCAATGGTTCATCAAACATCTGTTCAGATTCCTCCTTGGATAGGAGAATCGCTATTTTGCATTAGGGACAGTAGAATTGTCAGAAGGTTTCCTGCCGTGGTGGAATGTTCGCATATGAAGGCAAATTCCACTTTTACGGATACATTCATGAACTATATAAAAGTTTCTAACAATGGGAGAGATGTTAGAGAAGTTGGCCCGGATATTCTCTTGAACAAAGGCTGTCACTCAGATAGATTGTTGAACGTTGATGTCTGGGGGTGGTTTCAATGGCATACAAGCATTTATAGACCTTTTCGATCGTTCATCAGTAATTTGTTTCGTGTAAAACCCGACCTGAAAGCATTTCTCGATTCAGAGATTGAGAAGAAGCTTTGTCGTCTGGATAGTTCAGCTACTTTGGTTGGTGTCCACATTCGACTGGGAGACTACAAAGATATTTCGGCAAGCTCATTTGGTTATTGCGCTCCAACCAAATGGTATCTTGAATGGTTAGATTCTATATGGCCGAAGTTGAAGAATCCCGTTCTCTTTATTGCCTCTGACGAGATTGATGTTGTGGAAAGAGACTTTGCCTTGTATAACCCCAAGACATGCCGTTCTCTTGGTCTAGAAATGCCAAAAGATTATCAGGGCCTTGGGGCGGACTTTTTTCCAGACTGGTATATTCTTACGCAGTGTAACATTTTAGCTATTAGCAATTCTACATTCAGTTTCACGACTTGTCTGCTGAACCAACGGGAGAATGCCAAATTCTACAGAGCTCATTATGCCGACCGTATTGTGGAAATTAGTCCCTGGAACACCGATCCTATCGTTCATAGAGAACCTTGTAACTCTATGTTGATGAACGTGTTGAACACCATACAGTTAGTTTATGAGCAGCAAGGTACCAAAGCAGCTTTCAAAAATGTCTTTTTACACCTTCCTTTGTATGGAATCCGTTCTCTGATCATGCGGACAGTCTTGAGCCTCAAAAGAGAAGATTGGCGTAAAGGCTTTTTAGATTCGTGTCTTTTTAGGAAACGCAAGTTAAAGGAAACCTTTGCAAGTGAGGAACACCAAGCCAAAAGATCAAAAGTCCTGAAATGACGCTTCATTTTATACTGTAGTTATCCACTTTGCAAACAATTTTGGGATAAAACAGGGAATCTCCTTTTTCTTTCAATCCAGAGAATATTTGATGCGTTTTTTATATAGTCTTTGTAGTCAACTAGTGTTGACTTGTCACTCCTGCACAGTACGTTCACCACCTTTGTATCTCAGTGTCCAAGGAAGGTAGTTGATGTAATATATTGTTTATATAGGAGATTTTTCAACATCGGTCCTTCCGTTTGGTTTCCACACACCAGTCAAGACAGCCACAGTTTCAAGCTCCACGTTGTAGAGGGATGGAAGGTACATAACCACAACATTGAAGACGCATCAAAATAATCACTTATCAAGTATTTTCATAGTAGCAGAACAGGGCCAAAATGAGACAAGTCAGTCGCTCTTCAAAATTTGGGAATGTTTCTGCCAAAAAATTCGAAATCTTATTAGGAGATGTCTAAACTCCTGTGCATCTCTTCGCGACTTCATCTCTTTTGAAACCCTTGTAGCCTCAATCACAAGTTGAAAGAGTGAGCTTACCGAACCTTGGTGTCATCGCAAGCAAGCTGTAGATGTTGCTTCATGAGTTGCTATTCTAGGCATTCTCATCTTCTTAGGGTGAAATGAATATTTGATATCCTCTTTCGCAGTCAAATGTACAAGATCATAACGAGCAGATAAATAACACTATATCCTCTTACAGCCAACTCATATAGCAAAAAGATAAAAAGTTGAATTATTGAGTAGAACAGGTGCCAATATTCGAGTGAAAAACATAACCAATCTTACTTTTCAACAAGCTAAACTATCTAATAAATCTGCTGGAATGGAATAGAGTCTAAGTGACAAATGAATATTTAAGAAAGCCAATGATTCTTCAAATCCTCAGTTATAAAGATCCAACTTCTTCAGTGTAGTTACATCAATTGGGTTATTGCCATCCTAAACACAGATTGTCAAAGGTATTCATAGAATTGTTTCAGCATCTATACTAGACGAGAATATTCAGAAACGAGGAAGGAAGTCATATATTGCACCTTTCCGGATACCATTCGTTCGCCTCATTGCTAAGTTTGAAGCACGAATATATATATATATATATATACAAGAATTTGCTTTTAAGAGCAGCTGCCAAAGCAAGCTTGAAGAAACGAGCGGGCAAAGAGTTTCTTAAATCTCTAGAAGCGAGATAAGTCGCAACTTCCACAAAAGTTCAAGTCTGTCAACAACAAACTTGGCTTCTATGATATCTTCCATTTCTTCGATTAGTTCTTGTATAATATCTGCACATGTATATTTGTTACTGGACGCCAACTGCAAAATCGATGTATCAATGTCTGAGCCAGGTTGATGAATCTTTCCAGTCATATCAACTATTTCAAAGTTGACTTCACCGACGAGTGGGTTCTCTAAAGTATGAATTTGGATGGGCTCTTTTAAAACAACTCTCATGGAATGATAAGCTTCAGGAAAGGATTTCTTCCGAAATAATCTATCTTCTAATAGGAGCCAGTCTATCTCCGTTGAAGTATCCAAAAAGGATTCGAAGGCATCATAAGGAGTCTCCACTATTGGTTCTCCACGAATGTTAAAACTTGTGTTTAAAACTGCTGGAATCTTTGACAGTTTATAAAATTCTGAAACTATCTCGTAAAACCAAAAATTATCCATTCTTCTTAATACTTGAACTCGAGCAGTCTTGTCCACATGTACCGCTGCAGGAATTTTAAGAATCATCTCTTCTTTGATAGATAATGTGGCTGACATGTAACGACAACTGTTCGTCATATACAATTAAAAGCAATCTCTAGTCACTAAATGCTACTTACCTTTCGGAAATAGCTTTCAAAGGAATATTGAATTCCAGTATATCAACAACATTCTCTTCCAAAATTGTAGGCGCAAAAGGTCTAAATGACTCACGGAACTTTACTCTCCTATTAAGTTTATCCTTCATATTCGGATCGGCAGGATTGGCCAGAATAGAACGATTGCCTAAAGCACGTGGCCCACTTTCAGCTCTCCCACGATAAACTGCAATTACATGATTCCTATACAACTCTTGTGCAACAAAGACTGTGATTGACTTCAACCTATCGTTCATCTCTTTGGATGGCTTTATTTCCTCTATCCAAGGCAGATACTCTTGTACAGCCTCTTCAATATCGTCGTTAGAATAATGAAAGCCCTACAAATAGTTTCATTTTCATTAAATAGCGAGAAAATTCACAACTAACTAGGAATGGAGAAACTATTCTTGAAGATGTTTGACTCCTCATGGTATGCGAAGATATGTCGTATCTCTTAAAGTAGTGATATCCATACAAAGCGCAACCAATCGCAATACCTTCATCTCCAGGATATGGTGGAATCCAAACATGACGAAAGCAAGTTTCTGAAAGAATCTTTCCATTAAGTGAACTATTCAAGAATAGTCCTCCACAGAGTCCAAGAATCGGAACATTGTGCTCCTTAGAAAGCCTCCTTATCAAAGAAATGACGATATCTTCTGTATCCTTTTGTATTCGATAAGCCAACGCTGCGTAAAATTGAAATAAATCTTCATCACATTCATTCCATTGATTTGGATAAGGAAGTTGCTTTAAAAGGTCCCAATGAATATCAAGTCGTTCGGGCAACTCACCAGAAAGTATGTTTTCATTATCCAGCCTCATTATCCATTCTTTCATTCTCGAAGTTCTACCTGTCTGAGTCGGAATATGGTATGCCGCTAGTCCCATGACTTTACCTAGTACAGAATTATCACCTTGTAATAACAGCCAAAAGAAAACTTTACCACAAGAATTCCAATCTCCAAATATATGACTCGCAATACGACTATACACCGCACCTATCGATTCCATGTCTTCAAATGAATGATTATAGCACTCTGCTGGGGATTTTTCGCGGGACCAACGTTTCCATATCAAATCGATACCGTCCTTTGAACAACGATAACAACTCTCTGCTTCTCTCAAGTTTTCAAAAAGTTGGATGTTCTTGGGATAACATTTACTATTCCATTGGTGTTTCCACTCTCCAGGCTGTCTGCTTGTAACATGCATCAAATCATGAATATATATGTTTGAAGTGGTATCCTCATTTGCGAAATGGTTTGCTAGTTCTCGGCTTGAGTCTCCCATACCATCCATAACAAGTATTAAGGAGTCCTCATTCGACGCAACAGCAGCTTCAAGCTGGGCATACACTGACCAAGTATGTGCCAAGTGATGGCTTATCTCTATTTTCGGTATTCCCGGTAAAAGATTATATGGAGAGAGATACTGCTTTGGATAATAGTTCATCTGGCTTGTCCAGGGCAGCTTTTCTTCGAAAGCGCTGATTCCATAGTGGTGATTATTCTGGACCACGAGAACTATGTCTTCAAATGCAACCCCCAGTCTTGCAAACATATGTTCCACTAGTTCACCAACATCATTTCCGTCATGTTTGCGTCTTGTAAACCTTTCTTTTGCATAATTTACAACTATATCTCCCGTGTTGCCATTCACCAGGCAAACACTGGCATCGTGACTATATTTGTTGATACCGACGATATATTTGCAATATAACTTGAACAGTCGTAATTTGAAACAACCCTGGCGCTTGCATCGATAACCAAAAGTTAGTTTTCTTTGTTTTCCAGTGAGACTTGCGTAACAAGATAGGAAGCCCACATCGTAGCTCATTTTAGGCCGACCGCATTTGCTATTGTTTGGTTTCCTACATTATATTGAAGCTCACAAGTTATTTGCTTAATGCGCTCATCTTAGTGGCTCTTGCAATATCATTATACTTCTAGTCATTTGCTTCTAGAAACTAAAACACAGTGAGAACAGATCGTCACCAAGACAAGGGACATTCTGTACTTGGCAAATAATATAGTTGACATATCTGAGTAAGTGTAAATAGAGGAGATGATTCTCATTTCAACTTGGATAGTTGTAAGATAATCAATATCGTTTGAATATACCATTTTCTTAAAAGTTGATTTCCATATTTGAAACTACGAGAATATTCAAGAATTGTCTTAGAAAAGCTTAAAATGTGACATTGCTTTTAGAAATGAACTTTTCCTTTGGACTAGATGGACTATTCGGAATATAATTAGCTACATGCGAGGTTTACAGTGGCACTATCGTCAAAATCTAGTCGTTGTACACAATAGGGGAAAAATAAAGACAGGTTGTTAACTCATTTAGTTTAACAAGAGACAACGTTGTAAGTTTGTGAATTGCTCACAAGAAGATTCATACTAGAAAGTTCCAAAATAAAATTCTTTCACGAGTGAAACCTATATCAACTTTTAAGTTTCTTCTTCGTTCTTTGGTCCAATTAATTAGTGAGGTCTGGAGATGAGATTGTGTGGTTCAACAAGCTGCACTTTCATAAGTCAGAATATCAGTTTTTACTCTCACTCCGCAGTTTTGCCCAGTCGAAAAATATGCTATACGTTTCGTGAAAGCTGGAATTTGGCTACAACGAGAACTGTCAAGAAGAGCTTGTTGGTACCTTGTATTGCCCGAGTTGAAACCGCCCCACCCAACAAGGTTGTAGTGTCTCCCTCCATACTTTCCGCGAACTTTGCAAAACTTGGAGATGAAGTCAAAGCTGTAGATGCTGCTGGAGCAGACTGGATTCATGTGGACGTTATGGATGGACAGTTTGTACCAAATATCACTATTGGTCCACTGGTTGTATCAGCACTGAGGCCCATCACCAGGAAGCCGTTGGACGTTCACTTGATGATTATTCAGCCAGAGTTGCGTATTCCAGATTTCGCAAAGGCAGGTGCCGACATAATTTCGGTGCATGCTGAACAAAGCAGCACAATCCATCTACACCGGACTCTATCACAAATTAAAGAACTTGGATGCTCTGCGGTAGGTTTAGTGAAAACTTGCTTTTGCGATTTTTTTCAGGATCGCGTTTTTCTTAGGGAGTCGTTTTAAATCCAGCTACACCTGCTTCAGCAATTGAATATGTGTTAGAGTTGGTGGATTTGATTCTTGTCATGTCAGTGAATCCTGGTTTCGGAGGTCAAGCTTTTATTCCGGAAGTACTTCCGAAGATATCACAAATACGTAAAATGTGTGTAGAGAGATCGCTTAATCCTTGGATCGAGGTAGATGGTGGCGTCAAATCGAGTAATGCTCATTTAGTCATTCAAGCCGGTGCCAATGCGTTAGTTGCTGGCTCTGCAGTTTTTGGTGCAACAGATTATGGGAAAGGTAACTATTTTGTTATCGTATTTATATGATACCAACTAACTTATGGTTAAGCCATTGCGGAAATACGAAACGCTAATATCTATGCTCCTTCTGCGATGGTCTGATAAATTTAGGAATTGTTCCACTTATTAAGCTTGAGCAGTCGTCCGATATTGGGGGGAAGAAGGTTCCGTCAGTAAAGGGATCAATAAAACACCAACTATGGAGAAAAGTGCTCCAACTGCCATTCCGAAACTAATATCTCCCTTTCCAACGATATCTGAAGCCCAACCTATTGACTTTGCAGGTTAGAAGCCATGGAATAAACCAAAATGTGCTTGCCTGCGGTGAAATTTCCTACGACTTGAGCTACAACACAAGAGGCATTGAGTACACCCATATATAGTCCAGTATTGGCTCCATCCAAAACAGAAGCAACCAAAGCAAAAGGCAATGCATTGAATATTGAAAAATGAATACCTAATAGGGAAACTAACATTACAGCCCAGACAGTATTCAAGTTCACAAGAATAGGAATTAAGCAGAGAAATCCGAAGAATATTTGAGACATGGCATAGACCTTTCGTACTCCTAACAACTCAACGAAAAATGTTTGTACTGCAGAGAACACAGTCATTACCAAAGAAAGACCTGCCAAAGCTAGAGCACCAATTCGAACTCCTTCTTCATAAGCAGTCCTGTGTACTACTGAGTCCACAATTACATGAAAAGAATGAATGTTTAACCTTTGAAGGGATCCTGACGCTTTCTGCGGATCTCCATGCATAACGCTCTTTCCAATCCAGTCTGTTGTATAAAACTGAAACGGACTAAAAGCAGCCCATGATAGGAAATACACCAATGAAACTTTGCTCATTTCCTTTGGCATGGAAACAAAAGAACGCCAAACGTCTAAGAACACACCAAGAATGCCGCTGGTAGACGAAACCAGAGATGCAGGCTGACGTCCTAATTATTATATCAATGAAAAGTTCATTTCAATGTAAATAAGACAAACCTAATGGTCTTTCATGGCCCAATAGCAATGTAGGCAATACACTAAGCGGAACAAGTATCATACCCAAGCTGAACAAAAATCGAAAGTTACTACCAAATAAGGGTACCTAATAAACAACATAAAAAGGTCTTTCATGGCAAGTTTACAAACAATACCTCTGCAGGAACAAAACGCCCAAGTAAGTTTCCAAACAAATTTGACAAACCCATTACACCAGTGAGGATGGAATTAGCTTTCGTTTGTTGCTCAGTATTAACTAGATCAGCTACAATAGCTCTTGCAGGGCCTTGAACAACATTGATGGCAATGTTCAATATCCTGAATCATTTTCAACAACAAAGCATTAAAGAATTACAAGAAATGATATAGATGCTTACCAGAGACCAATAATACCTAATGTTACGGTAAAAGTACAACGAGGTTGACTGCCTTCTGTGGGTGAGTGACAAGCATTCCTTTCTCCAAACAACGAACCCAACGGATCAGCAGTGGATAAGACTAACATTCCAAACACAATCAACAAGGCACCCATAAAAATAAAGGGCCTTCTTCTTCCCCTATCAAAAAGTAGAATATATATTCAAAACTAGTATTCTTTTCCAAAACAATATATACCAAGGATGCCTGCATCGATCACTCAAGACACCAATAACTGGTTGCACAATAAAACCACTAAACGGTCCAGCCAACCAAATGAATGGAATAACGGCATAGCTTACACCTCTTTCTCGAAACCAAGGCGTCCCAAAAGCAAATTCGATGGCATAACTAAACTGCACAGCAGCCAATGAAGAAGTTAGAGCCAGTAATTCAAGATTTGTTTTGTCAGGTTTCTCCGTATATTTCTTAGAGCTTTTGTAATCTTCATCGGCACTTTTCAGACTTGTGTACGGAATATTATCAAGAGTTTCGTTACTATCCGATACAAGAGGAACCTTTTCTGAAAAACTCATGTCTAAGACAACCAGTTGGAAGCAAATTGATGCGAAATATAATTATCCACTAGTCATTGTAGAACATGCCGGATTCCAAGTACTTCTCTACCACAAACCGTGGTGAACTCTTTGAACTTAAGCAGCAGTTAAACTCTCATAGTAATCGTTCAAAAAGAGACGCACTAAAGCAAGTTATAGCCTCCATGACAGTTGGCAAAGATGTTTCGTCTCTCTTTACAGACGTCCTCAATTGTATGCAGACCGTGGATTTGGAGTTGAAGAAGCTTGTTTATTTGTACCTCATAAACTATGCAAAGACTCAGCCAGTATGTCATATGTGTAATTGAAACGTTTGGTTGGTGTAAAATTGACCTTGTTTGTAGGACTTGGCAATTTTGGCGGTTAACACTTTTGTGAAAGACGCTAGTGATCCCAATCCGTTGATACGGACTTTGGCCCTCCGAACGATGGGCTGTATTCAATTAACTAGAATTTCTGAGTATTTATGCGAACCGCTTAGGCGTGCTTTAAAGGACGCAGACCCCTATGTTCGCAAGACTGCAGCCATTTGTGTGGCAAAGTTATACGAAGTTGATCCTGCTCTGGTTTCAGAATACGGATTTATTGGTGTTCTGAAAGAACTTATACTAGATAGCAGTCCAATGGTAGTTGCGAATGCCATTGCGGCCTTGGGTGAGATAGACGATTCACTTCCTGGTACACTGGAGCTTAGGCCTAATCTTGTTTCTGGACTTTTACAGTGTCTCAATGACTGTAGCGAGTGGGGTCAGATATTTATTATTGATGCGGTGTCTAGTTATGTACCTTCGGGAACAGAGGAAGCTGAGAGTATTATCGAAAGATTACTTCCTCGTTTACAACACGCCAATGCAGCAGTTGTTCTTTCAAGCATGAAAGTTATCGTGAAGAATTTAAAATACATAAAATCTGTTGAATTTGCTCGGATGGTTCAAAAGAAGTTGGGTGCACCACTAGTTACTTTGGTTAGTGCAGAACCTGAAGTACAATATGTAGCTCTGAGAAATATCAATCTTCTTGTCAGGAAGTACCCGGAAATATTACAGAACGAATTCAAGGCTTTTTTTTGTAAATACAATGATCCTCCTTATATCAAAGAAGAAAAGCTAGAAATCCTCGTAAGACTTGCAAATGATGACAATGCAACGAAAATTATTTCTGAATGTAAAGAATATGCCGCAGAAGTCGATGTCGGATTTGTTCGAGCTTCTATACGTGCAATTGGTCGAATTGCTTTGAAGATAGAAGCAGCTGCCAACAAATGTGTGGAGTGCTTACTTGATCTTGTGCGCACCAGAGTAGTTTATGTGGTTCAAGAATCCATTGTAGTAATGAAGGATATTATGAGAAGGTATCCCAATGAGTTTGAAGGTGCCATTCCTGTATTATGTGAAAATTTGGAGGCATTGGATGAGCCGAATGCTCGCGCCTCGTTGATTTGGATTATTGGTGAATATGCCGACCGAATTGAGAATATTGTTGAACTTGTTGAAAGTTTTCTGGAAAATTTCCAAGACGAATCGGTGCAAGTTCAGCAACAGCTTCTTACATGTGCGACAAAAGTTTATTTAAAATGCAATGGTTCTTGTAAAGTGTCGTTGGAGAAGATTTTAAATGATAGCATGAAAAACTCGGACAATGCAGACCTTCGTGACAGAGCATTCTTCTATTCAAGACTTCTTCAAACGGATAAAGAACTTGCAAAGTCGGTTGTTCTCTCACGCAAACCTCGCATAGTGAATAGTCAACAAGATCTTGATGATTCTCTACTGAACACGTTATTGGATGAAATGGGAAGTCTTGCAAGTGTTTTTCATCGGTCGCCTCATGTTTTTCTAGCGAATTCGAAACCTCTTCCACAAGTCTCCGTAGTGGATGAAGAATGGAAAGAGCAGAATTCTGAAGTCCTATCTGATGATATTTTGGAGCTTTCTTTGTCAGATAAACAACAAGTCGCAGACATTAACCACGGTATTGGAAAGAGTTCTGTGGATGAGTTGTTTGACTTGAGAGGAGCAGAGCCAACATCCTCTCAGAAATCAAGTGAGCAGAACAACGATTTATTGTCTTTGATTGATGATCTTTTTTCCAATTCTGCAACACAGAAGAATACTGCTGTTTCTTCAGAACATTATGAGAGCCCTGAAAAACGAGTAAGACTATTGTTGCCAGCTTCAAAAGCTAGAGGTTTAGAAATTTCTGGTGTTTTTACCATCGAAGGCGACAAAGTTCAATATATTTTAAAGCTGCAGAATGAATCAAATGAAACAATGCGAGAGAACGCCATTCAATTCAACAAGAATCTATTAGGAATGATTCCTTCACGTTCAAAGTTAGATGTTGACCAGTTGAAACCTAAGGAGAGCGTGATATGCAAGATCGACCTGAGGTATGTACCGTCTGAAAAGGATTCCAAAAAGGGCTTGATCTTTCAGATGGCTCTGAAAAATGATATTTGTGGCGTGGTTTACTTTGGAGACAAATTGGATGAGTCCAATTTGATCGTATTTCTTCAGGCAGAACATATTGGAAAATTATCGAAACAAGCATTTCTTGACGAATGGAACAATATTGGAAGTAGTCATGAAGTTGTCAAACGAATTTCAGTTCCAACAGGTGTTTCTCTTCCTGGTTATTTTGTCGAAAAGTTGTATCCATTGAAAGTTTTCCAAGTTGCAAGTTCGCCATCAAGACTTTGCTATTTTTCCGCACGCGTTATGGAAGAAATATTCATCTTAGTGGAACTTCATTGGACAGATAAAAGCAATGATGTGGAGCTTTCGTTGCGTTGTAACAGCGTAGTTGAGCTTTTGCGAATATTTGAGCATCTAATAGAAAGAGCTTTGAGCAAATAAAATTGACGGCTTGTTAACTCTTTGAGTTGGTTTGATTAGTTGAACCATAACTCACGTGAACTATGATTTCCGAACGATGTAGCTCAGGAAAAGTATAAGAGTCCAAAGTTGAAAACTAGTTGGTAACTGCTTTCCACAAATTGTACAAATTAGATTCTTTCTGAGTCTGTCATCTTTCCAATCTTTCAAAGCTACAGCTGTTAGCGAAACTTTTTGAGTCACAACTTATGAACTTCTCGTTGTAGATGCTGCGTAAATTTTGAAAAGCCATTCGTCCTAGTGTTCTACGTTATTTTTTGAGGCCTTTGAAGTTCTTTTGTCCTTTCTTCCTAATTGGCAATAATTGTTTATCATGTAAGGTGATGTTTACATTTGAGGTAAGACTAAAGGAGCTTGAAATTGTCTGCAGTTTTTATAAAAAGCTTTTTTCTGAGAAACTTTGCTCTTGCTGTTTTCGGTATTGCCGAGAACTCTTGGTTTGAGTATTATTCTCTCTGTAAAAAGTCTCAGTACGCTGAAACGATTGTTTCAAATTCTTCACAAAAGTCAGAAGTCCTGATCTTTGAGAACGATTGCTTTTGGCATACGAGCAGGAGATTCATAGTACAAACAGCCCATAAAGTTTCAACCCATAAACTTTTGCTCCATTGGGATATGTCGAATAGAGCTGGAGATGGCAGCATTTGCATCGCCACCAAGCGTTTCAGTACAATATTGGATTGAAACATATATAACTTATATATATATATATATATATATATATATATATATATATCGTGTATCCTAGTTCAAGCGGTTGGAATATTCTTGAGACTAGAAAATTACTGAAGATAGGAAATTACAAATCGAGTTAGTTAGAAGCGGATAAAGTTGCGCAAGTGTAATAGCAAAGACTTTAAACATATATTTATGTATTTGTTTGTGTGTTCGTCACATTTCTTTGTACTTGATATAGTGAAACGGTTTGTAAACGTTTCGAGAGGATGTCAATTTGATGCTTGTGGGCAAACTTGTAAAGTCACTTGGATGTTCATATATCTTCAAGAGTCTCGTAGCTGTAAGTCACTGTCGTGAGCTACTTTTTGGAAGATTCAGGGGAATGGAAACTCACGCAAGTAAATTGCCTTTGAAATATTCGGAAGTGCCTTCTTCGTCCAGAAATATATCAGTGTTTTCGTCTTCGTTTGATGGTGGTTACTTCCCGAAAAGTGAAGAACTTCCTCTTCCTCTAAAGAGTCAAGGAACATTTAAAAACCCGTGGAGTTCTTGGAGGGACAAACGACTATGGGACTTGTTTCGTTGGTTAAGCACGACAAAAGATGAAAGCAATGTTCCGAAAAATCGGAATGAACTTGATCTGTTGCTACCAGTACAACGCGTTAATCGTGCTCTACTCGAAAAGCCTCCTAGCCAGGGGACGTTTCGTCTGACCTGGTTGGGACATTCTTCAGTATTAGCCCAGTTTGATGGTTTTAATATCCTTACCGACCCTGTCTTTAGTGAAAGGTGTTCGCCGTTTCAGTTTATGGGTCCCAAGAGAATACGGCCAGTGCCTTGTGAACTAGAGGATTTGCCATCCTTGGATGTAATTCTCATTTCTCATAATCATTACGGTAGAATAACCGAGAATCTCTTTGTTTGTCACTGATTTTACTTTTCGCATAGACCATTTGGACAAGAACACTTTGAGGGATTTACTTAAATCTGAGAGACATCGACAAGCAATTGTAGTGGTTCCTTTAGGTGTGAAAAGCCTCTTGGAACGACTTCATGTGGATACGAGGATCCGTCAACAGATATATGAGTTGAATTGGTGGGAACACGTTGATGTAGATGGCAAGTTGAGAGTTTTTATGACACCTGCTCAGCATTGGAGCAGAAGAACTATTTGGGATACGAATCATGCGTTGTGGGGAAGTTTTGCAGTAATTGGTAGCACTATCAAGTTTTATTTTGCTGGTGATACAGGTTATTGTCCAGTATTCCAGACAATAGGAAGATATTTGGGACCTTTTGACTGTGCAGCTATTCCTATTGGTGCCTACCATCCAAGGTTCGTTTGAAGTTGCTTTGGAAATGGTTTAAATTAGCTCCTCACATTTATGTATTTTCATATATTATTTAGATGGTTTATGTCACCTCAGCATGTTGATCCTGAGCAGGCATTGAAGATCCATAATGATATTGGGAGTCGTTTTTCAATTGGTATACACTGGGGCACTTTTATTTTGACCAACGAATATTTTCTTGAACCTCCTCAACTATTAAGGAATCTTATCGCTGCAAATAAGCTGAACCTCGGAAGTTTTCGAACTTTAAGACATGGAGAGTCTACGCCGGGTCCATAGTACAAAATCTAGAAGCCATTGAGATAATATTTAAGTAAAGGTATTACTTATGTCTAGATGAAGTTTCATTGACGAATGGAAGGTAAGAAATGTTGAGTATTTCAGTTTGAGTTACAATATTTGTAGAACAACAGTTTCTCTTTTCAAATTTTGTTCGATTTTTTTGGTTTTGATTTTGTTGCGTTGTATAAGAATCTACTAGTTTGTAATTCCATTGAAAAAATAAGATTCAGAAAGTTGGGAAGTTTCTTCTATAGACATGTTTACTAATATAAATTTCCAAGTTCTTTTATTTATACGTACCCAAAAGTTTTAAATTATGAGAGACGATTGAATTTTTAGGTTTAACTAGTATGATGCCAATAGCTTTGTGTATTGATACGGTGGAATACAACGAGTTAAGAAAATGTCTATCCAAAACATCAACTTGTAAAGTAATTCTTTACGGTGACAACAAGTTTGCATTGGAGCTATCACGCACATTCAGAAGCTAGGAAGTTGCCAAGCTTCAAGGTCGCCTCTAATAGAAGAAACAAGGTCAAATACTCAAAAAAGTTTCTCCGTACACTCATAAAGAGTAGTCTGATACTTTTATAGCTATCGAGAGGAAGCTATATATTTGATAAATTGTTGTGGTAAATAACTTGAACAAAGGAAACAATTATGGGTAGCAATCGATTCACAGAGAGCTTCAATTTCCGCTTTCTTCTCTAGAGTCAATATTCTTTCCAGTTCGGACGAAAGTTCTGCCTCGACTGTTTTTTCAATGCTATTCACCTAACTTGACCTTTACGAAAAAAATTCTAAACACATCGAAAACTTGCCTCTCGTAACATTTGAAGTAGTTTTTGTGCCTTTGCTCTATCCCGCGCTGTTATACTTAAGGTTGCATCGTATTTTACCCTTTCTACGTCCTCCACGGATATACCTATCCAGAAAGCCAAACTGCTTAAAGCTCTAACTGTTGTCAATTTGACGAGTCAAAGAAGGTCGGTGACCTTACTCTTTTTGCAGAGACTGTAGGTGACACAAAGCTATATGGACGCCATATGGATCTGCGTCTACAAGGAACAGAATAGGCGCTTCGGGACAGTTGACACGGAGCAGAACCAAAAAGTCCGAAAACGCTTGCGAGGGATAACCTTTACGGTTTAGATTTATGCCGTACTTGAGATTAGAATTACCTGAACTGCTTAGTAATATGCCTTTTGGAAATCTGTCGAAAAACTGGTGTTGAGTGAGATGGTGAAATACACTGTTCTTCTCTACAATCTACAAACGAAATTTTCAATATCAGAATATATATGTTCTCTCGCGCAAGTTTGTTACCATGATGAATTGGGCATCTGTTTGAATGTTTTCTATCTCATATGGGGCTTCTGGAATGGATACTCCAGATGACGTTTTTCCGATATCTATTTCTGTACCATTTTGGAAAACAATCCGTAAACCTCCTGCTAAAAGTCCTCTAGGTCCTGCTACGACCATTAAATAGTGTCGAGGTATTGACAAAATGAAACAAAGACGTTTGATTGCTCGGTCGGTTTCTTTCTGGCTACGAGCTACTTTATGTTCCGAATAATAGACTGTAAAAGGTTCAATGGATTTGTTTAAACTTTTGAGAATTTTCATACTGTCTCGTTTTGAGATAGCTTTTTTATCACACAGACTAGTTTGAATGATATCCGCAACTCTCCAAAATATTACGAGTCGACGAGAAGGCTGCAATCCAAACTGGTTTTTACTCATAAGCTGATAGAGAAAATTGCAAGTGTATTGTTCCAATTTTAGTTTTGCTTCCATGGAAGCCTTGAAAAAGTTGGAATCCTGAGAGAGTTTCGACATTGTAAGCTATTTTTAATAATGGTATAATGGCGCGATTGACGAGGCATTTTTTTCCCTTTTACAGTCAATTTGCAAATTGACAAGAACGTGGAATTTTGGCAAGAGACAAAGAAGGAAAAATATAGAGGGACTTTAAGGAGATTATTCTGACTTCTTTGTTCCTTTCTTTTTTGGTTGTAGTTTGTTAGTGCGTCGTTCCTAATTTGAAAGAAGTTTTCGTAATTTCTTTTATCCAAATATTTTTCCCCTCGTAGTATTCTGTTTCCGAAGCAAGTTGGTATGTCTTTATAGAGTTGTTTGTACATGGTGAGGTAACTAGTTGAGTATTCTTTTTACTCGAAAGAAATAAAAGGGTGTAACTACTTTTGTATAGTCAACTGCAAACTGTTGTTAACGATAATTCTGTCAATTTCAAACTTGCGACTATATTTTGGAAAACGCTCAATCATTACAAGTAATACCCAACTATGATTGCTGCTTCCAACTCACTAGAGTCTTTCTTTTTTGGAGTTGTTTCAAAATAAAGTAGTGTATGCTTACACAGCGACTCTTTATTTTCCCATACAACTTGAGAAAGTTTGATGGTTGTAACTTTTTCAGCAACGTACAAAAGCAATCATGTTGGGACCAAGGTTCAAAGAATAATCATCCAATCATTTGAAATGTTGAGGACACTATGTAGAGTTTGAAATTTTTGTTGTACTTTTGTGTCAAAGGACAAGTTATTCAAGTAGTAACTCAACTTTTAGGTTACATTTTTTTGGGGGTTTTTTGTTCTATTTTTTCACAAATAGTCTTGCCTTGTCAAGTAGAAGAGAGAGAGAGGAGGGGTGTGAGGGTTTATCCTCTTTTTTTTATTGTATAGAGCTATGAACTCTTCTTCTTTTGTGTGTGTGTATACAATAGGGAGTATTGGAAATGTTCTCTCCTTTTGAAACTTTGCTTTTGAAGGAGAGTTTCGACCTCACTATGAAAGTTTGAAGAGTTTTGACCTTTTGAGTTGTTTTTATTGAGTGTATCCCCTCACACAAGAGTGACAATTAGGAAGATGGGTTTATTTTCTAGACACTCGTATATCTATATATATATATATTTTGTAGTGTAAAACAAGAGAGAGTTGGTTTTTTTTGAGAGGGGTTTAAAAGCTAGGTTTTTATTGTTTGTATAATAAAAAAAGAGTGTTGGTTTGTTTTCCTTTTGTTGAGTTTCAAACTGTTTTGTTGCCACGTGTCATCATTTGATTCATCTCAAAAGCCCGCGCAACGAACCGTCACTTTTGGCTTTTTAAATAGCATTTTTTTCCAGAAAAATGAAGCCAGACAGACAAGAAGAAAACCACTTTTACTAGTGTTCAAAGACGAGTAAAGTGGAGTGATATGCGAAAGTTGAATGGCTTTATGTATGGATGAAGATGATGATTGAATTGGGAGTGGGGAATCCCTGAATGGGGGTAGTCCCTTTCCAATGATACATGATTTGTAATCCATCTTTGCCATTGATTTCAAAACTGTGGGTAATCAGAATGGTTTCAAAAAGAGAAAGAAAGAAGGAGGATGTTGAAGATGTGCTTGTGCGTACTGCATAGATGTATGTATGTATGTATTTGCGTGTCTTTATGTCTCCTCTTTTTCTTTGTCTCTTTTGGAATTTTTTCTGTATACTGCATGTTGTGATGTATATAGTATGGTTAGGAGTTGATGTATTAAACTACCGATGATTTGGTAATGTTATTTTGATTCAAAAGTATGAATATAGTTTCCATCTTGATGAGTTAGAGATTATTTGGCTTGAATTTTTATTCGCCGCTCATCTTTATAGAATGGACTATATGTTTTTTGTCTTTTTGAAGGAAACCTCTGCTACTCTATTTTCATTTATGTATTGTCATGATTTCATTTTTGTGTGAATCACAGTACTGAATGTAAAATAGTAAGTAGTATTTTAAGAGATGTATTTTCTTCCAACAAGACAAAGGAATGAAACAAAGGATGGTTTTTTCAATGATGAATGTTATAGATGGATCCCATCTGTGTGTGTTTGGGGTTTCATTGAGACGTTTATTATTCGAAAGAAAAAAAGTAAAATTTCCATCTTTTCCAGTTTAGGAAAAGAGGAAGAGGAAGAAAAAAGGTGAATATTCCACCAAAATTGTGTACGACACAAAGATACAATTTTTTGACTTATGGTATGTACATTTTATGTGTGTATATTCATGTTGTTTCTATTGTGCTGTTTTTGTGTGTATATCAATCAATTTTGTGGACATTTTCTCTCTTTTCTTTGTGTTGTATATACATGATACCCCGTTGATCCTGCGGGTCGCGTATGCTTGTCTCAAGGATTAAGCCATGCAAATGCCAGTATAAGCCACATGGATGGCGAGACTGTGAATGGCTCATTAAAACAGTTATAATCTACACAATGTTAGTTTGTTATATGGATAACCCTAGTAATGCTAGAGCTAATACATGCCCTATTTCCATTTTTGGGAATTGCACTTATTAGTGGTCCTACTTTACACTTTTCCTGTCACAGGGTTTAGTGTTGAATGTTGAATCATGATAATTTTGTGGATTGATAGTCTTTTTACTATTGACGCATTGTTTGAATATCTGCCCTATCAACTTTTGACGGTAGGATTGAGGCCTACCGTGGTGTTGACGGGTAACGGGGAATTAGGGTTCGATTCCGGAGAGGGAGCCTGAGAGATGGCTACCACATCCAAGGATGGCAGCAGGCGCGCAAATTACCCAATCCTGACACAGGGAGGTAGCGACAAGAAATACTGATAGATAACACTAAGTGTTATTTTATTGGCATGACGTTTATGTAAACGCGTAACGAAGTAACGATTGGAGGGCAAGTCTGGTGCCAGCAGCCGCGGTAATTCCAGCTCCAATAGCGTACACGAACGTTGTTGCAGTTAAAACGCCCGTAGTCTGAACTGTGAGATGTTTTTCATTTTACTCTTTTTTTTGAAAGAGTATGAATGGACGACACTCATTTTGAAATGAATGTTTGGATTGATCTTGATTGATTGATTTTTGACATTGATTTTGATTTACTGTGAAAAAATTAGAGTGTTTCAAGCGCTTCTTGTGAAAGTATAGCTTAGCATGGTATAATAGTATTTATGTATTGATAAGACTTTAGTAGGAAGTTTTATTGATTGAAAATGCATCAATAGGGGTAGTTGGGGCCATTTGTATTCCCTAGTCAGAGGTGAAATTCTTGGATTTTTGGAAGACGAACAGTTGCGAAAGCGTTTGGCAAGGATATTCCCATTGATCAAGGACGAAAGTTAGGGGATCGAAGACGATTAGATACCGTCGTAGTCTTAACCATAAACGTTGCCATCTTAAAGATGGTGTATTGATTATTCAATCGTACATCCTTTTTATTCGGGAAACCAAAGATTTTGGGTTCTGGGGGGAGTATGGTCGCAAGTCTGAAACTTAAAGGAATTGACGGAAGGGCACCACCAGGAGTGGAGCCTGCGGCTTAATTTGACTCAACACGGGGCAACTTACCAGGTCCGGACATGATCATGATTGACAGATTGATAGCTCTTTCTTGATTTTATGGGTGGTGGTGCATGGCCGTTCTTAGTTGGTGGAGTGATTTGTCTGGTTAATTCCGTTAACGAACGAGACCTTTTCCTGCTAACTAGTTATATTGTATTTGAAGATATACGATATATACTTCTTAGAGGTACTATTCGTTTTTCACGGATGGAAGTTTTAGGCAATAACAGGTCTGTGATGCCCTTTGATGTCCTGGGCTGCACGCGGGCTACACTGATGCGATCAAATAGTTGTAAGAGACCATTTCTGAGAAGAGTATGGTAAACTTTGAAATTGCATCGTGCTTGGGATTGAATACTGTAACTGTATTTATGAACGAGGAATTCCTTGTAAACGCGAGTCATCAACTTGCGTTGAATACGTCCCTGCCCTTTGTACACACCGCCCGTCGCTCCTACCGATTGAACGATCCGGTGAAGCGTACGGCTTGTTTTATTTTTTGATTTGAGAGGGTAAGATGAAAAGTACGTTGAACCTTATTGTTTAGAGGAAGGAGAAGTCGTAACAAGGTTTCCGTAGGTGAACCTGCGGAAGGATCATTCACAGTTGTAAGGTATATGGATAGGTTGATGTGAGAGAGGTATATAATGGGTGGATAAAGGGAAGAGTGAGGAAAGTATGCGAGTATTTTCTAAACTTTCTTTATCGATGTATATCTATTTTTCTATCTATCTATCCATATATATCTTATATACACCCTGTGCACTGCACGAAAGGAAGGAAGGGAGAGAGAGAGCGGGAGAGAGAGGAAGCAGAGAATGAGAAGAGAAACGAGGGAATAAACGAAGAGTAAGAATGAGAGGGGAGAGAGAGAGAAAAATACTCTTTCTCTATTTCTCATTGTTTCTCATCATTTCTCATTGTTTCTCTATTTCTCTATTTTCTCTATTTCTCATTATCTTTTTCTTTTTCTCTCTTTTTTATTTTTCTCTCTATTATCTATTTTCTCCCTTTTGAGAGTATGTTACCAAAAATAGAAATAATCTAAAAATAGCAACTAGAAAAAATAAAGCTCTCAACGGTGGATATCTCGGCTCTCTTTACGATGAAGAACGCGGCAAAAAGCGAAATGTAGTGTGAACTGCAAGTTTTCGTGAATCATTGAATCTTTGAACGCAAGTTGCGCTTTCAAGTTTATTTTTCCTTGGAAGCACGTCTGTTGGAGTGTCTTTCATATACATCATTTATTGGGATGCAATACTCAAGTAGATGGATGGGAAATGACTTGATGATCATTGAATCGAGTTTTTCGACACGAGTTGGTGATGATAAGTTTAATCATCATTGTATTTTCTTTCAGGGATTTGTTCATTGTATATTTATACATATGATGATGATGGATGAATGAATGGAAGAATTGTACGATTTGTCTAGAGAAGAAGACAGTAGAGTACATGTCTTTATTATTTGAGAAAGATATTCATTCTATTTGTGATGGATTTAAAGTGACACATGTCATTGTTTTCAATCATGAGTTGATTTGAAAGTCTTTCCTTGATATAATGAAGAATGAAAAACAGCATGGTCATGAAACTAGGATAGGTATTGAAAGTGATGAGAATTGATATTTATTTTCATCGTCGTGATCATTTCCTAGTTTTGCAGTCTTGTTGTATGTACGTATATATGTACTTTACACTGTTCTCTTCGTAGACATTTTGCTATTATTGAGACCTCCAATCAGACGAGGTTACCCGCTGAACTTAAGCATATTATTAAGCGGAGGAAAAGAAACCAACTGGAATTCTCATAGTAGCGGCGAGCGAAGTGGGAGTAGCTCAATTTGAAAATCCTTTTTCTTTTTGAAAAGGAGATGTATATTTCAATGTTTTCTAGTATTTGCATGAAAGAAAAAGCAAATTTCCTGGAATGGAATATCGTGGAGGGTGATAATCCCGTTTATCTTTTTCAGTGTCATGCGTTACGATACTAGAAACGGTAGAGTCGGGTTGTTTGGTAGTACAGCCTTAATGAGTTGGGTGTTATATATCATCCAAGGCTAAATATGAAAGAGAGACCGATAGCGAACAAGTACCGTGAGGGAAAGATGGAAAGGACTTTGAGAAGAGAGTGCAATAGTACTTGAAACCGTTGAGAGGGAAGCGCAATCTACTAGTGTTTTTTTATAAAATGACCCTGGAAATCCTAGTTTGCAAAAATTATTATATTTTTTTGTGAATGTTGGTTATTTCCATGGGATGTCCATGTACATGGTAAAAGTAGATGCAAGGCTATATTCAAGTTGCCCATGATTTCCGAAATTTTTCAATTTGTGGAAATGATGGTGTCTGTGAATGTGGAATGTGTATCTACTTGACTATGTATGATTTATCTCAAGTATCATGGACGAAATGGTAGATTTCGACCCGTCTTGAAACACGGACCAAGGAGTCTAACGTGACAGCGAGTAGAAAGAGCCGTATCTCTCATTCTACGTAGTGTAAGCGAAATTTGAAGAGTGATTTTTTTTGTCATTGAAGAAAAGCAACTCGGTTCCTTTTTTCTAAAGAAAGCTGGAAATGTAG